TTTAACGGAAGCATCGTTTCAACTACAGACGGAACGGATGAAAATGTCAAGCCAGCCAGCGAGAATTTGAAAGGCAAGTTACCCTTTCACCAACCTGAAACCAGTTTAGAAATCTTCTGCAGTCAGTATAAGGAACAAGACTCGCATTTTCAACACCAATTTCAAGTCGGCCCGTCTATACGGGAGAAAACGGTGTGTAACGCAAAGTATTTCCAACAGACTGCAAACTTTCATCCACAGGTGCCTTTCCTCCATAATTAAGATCAAATGGCTGGCCGGCCAGAAAGAATCAGTAACAAGAAACTGCAGAGTGGAAAGAACCAACCAAGAGCCGATCGCCCAACAAATATGTAGGAGAAAATGGAGATGGATCGGGCATACATTGGGGAGGCCACCGAATGACATCACGCGCCAGGCCCTCGAGTAGAATCCAATTAGGAAGCAACAAATGGGTCGTCTTAGGGTGACATGGAGGAGACCGTGTGGGGAAGAGATGAGGGAGTTTGGCCAGTCGTGAATCCAGCTGAAGAGGACGGCAGAAAATGGAACTAGGTGGAGATGGGTTTTTGAGGCCGTATGTCCCACTCTGGTCCCAAAGGAACAATAATCATGACGTTTTTAGTCACTAAATGAACATCTTCCTAGTTTTAATTAAGGGGATGTATTGTCACATCCCGAATCCTTAAGTCTATCAAACAGCCTAAGTCCTGATGGTGTACCGAACATTTTACTTCAAGGGTGTGCTGATATTTGTGTCAACCTCTCAGACAAGTCTCTTTAAGGATCTCACGCAGTGTGCTCATGAAGGCAGTAGAAGCACTTTAGATGCTACTGTTGTACTCCACCACAATATTGTTTGTACATTATGTTTCATTTTATATAGTATAACTCATCGAGAGGAGTGTGGACTACCTATTGGGGTCTTTGAGATGTCGAGTGCCAATAGCTGGAGACAATTGGTGATATTGCTCAAATTGGCTTTCAATAACATAGATGCTCCTCACTCTTTGTAGTCCGCCACATTCGATTAAACCCTTTTGTTTCTTCATGTTGCTACTCTTTCTCCTCCACATTTCTGCTCATGACTTGGAATCTCTTTTTCCTTTTTTGTCCAACTTTGAATGCTACATGGGATGTGGTAACTCGGCAAAGTTTTGTGTTGAAGCCAATCACTCTTACTGGTAATAAGGATATTTGGCCTAGTTGGTGTGACTGAACCAGCTACAACGCTGCCTCTTCCAGCGTTGCTGTTAACTCTGCTGCCACAGTTAGAGGCAATTTCCATCAGGTTTTCAATGCAGGTATTCAGACACTGAGAAGCGATCCCATGGTCCATGGATTCCAACTTCAGCCTGTTTGCAATATATGTCTCTCATTTGCTCATTCACGCATGGAAGTCCCTTGGAATTTATTCAAATCCATCACAGCTTAAGCTGTGGAATTAATGGGTGCTCAATACCGAAGGCATTTTTAAAAGTTCATCGCAGGTAATCAGTGCGAGTGGAAGCAACTCATATGTAAGAAGACGTTGCCTTTGCTAAGAGAAAGTTGAGAGCCTACTGGAAAACTTTCAAATAGTGAAAACCTTACACATTGCTAACTGCCTAGACTTTCTTCACACTACGTTATTGAAATGGGAAACAGTTAGTTTTTTATTTTTTTTTTAATTTTCCCCAACCAACAATTTTTTTATTTAAATGTGGGTTAAAAACTTTATCTTTTTCCACTTTCTAATATAAAATTTTCCATTTTTTTTTTAATAAAACAATATTCTAATTTAACACAGTGTGTTATAAAAAACACTAATTTTCGTTTATTTTGGACATTAGAGTTTTTTAGATATATGTGTCAATATATATGAGAAGCCAAAGATGATTTACACTAATTATTTAAAACAATTTCAGAGCTTTCATCAAAAAGGAGGGAGCGTGCCGCATGCTGATAAGCAGTATGGTGATGACACAAATGTGAATCCTCTGATCTTTAGGGCAGTAACTGCATTTTTGCTGCTCGAGAATTGAGTATTAGTTAGATCTTAACATAAAAACAGTGAGGGTTGTAAGATCTAAAATTTAATGTTTTTGCTCCTATCATCTACAAGCCTGCCCAGGTTCTTGTTAAGATACTACCTCGTGGGCCCTACAGAAATTCGTCAGACATCCTACAGGTCAGCTTGTCCTGCATGTTCTATCGTTCCAGACCTTCGAATTTGCTTCTCGCTAAAATATTACTTGTATACTTCACGATATTTTTATCTAATTACTATTATACTCTATTTTATCTTAACTACCTGGTCTTTTAATGAAGTTAAAACTTACTCTTTCATTCGTATTCTTCGCCTCCTTAAAGCCTGGTTGATCTGTTGCAAAACAAACAACAATGTTTGAGCAAAGCTATATTTTCATCGAAAACGTCATAGTTTCCATGGTGAGACCTATATGGTTAAAATAAACAACAATAATAAATATCAATATTATTAGAAGGGTATGATAAGCACGGGACATCTAGATTAGTTAATACACATAATATGAAGGTTGGCAGAACAGGACTAGTTAGTTAGCGTATCAACAAAATCATAGTTTCTACACAGAATATATATAGTATATATAAATTTGTACTACTTCCATACTTGTAACCATTAGCTCTCATACTCCTTGAGGACTCCACTTGCTTTCTTCTGTACTGCCATCGTTTGTCTTCTTTTTTCTGCCTGGCCGTTTTAGCTTTCATATGAATTTCTGGACTAGAATAATGATATTTGGCTACTTACAATGATAGATGATCTGCAAACATTACTGGGCTCATATCCTAAAACAACCTCACGAATTACCCATTACCTTCCTCCACGACGCATCCTGGATGACAAATGTTGAATAAAACCTCTATACCAATAAAAATCCCTATAACTCTCTGTTCGGTGCCAATAAATCTGGTTATTTAAGAAATAATGAACACATGCCGATGGTTGCATTTGTATTCTCAATCACTCGTGTGATGATAATTCCCAGCTACTAGATGCTAAAATTGTCTTTTTAAAAGGATTAATTGGTCATTATTCTGGTTCCTGGCCACGCATGGACTGAAAATCACCTACTGCTGTAACAATGCTTCTTTGTGTGTTTAGATGAACACTTACTGCTGTGGTGAGTCAATGGCAGTTTTTTCTTCCCTTCACGTTCCCCAGTGGAACATAGGGCTTCAAGCTAGAGGCTTGAAGTTTCTGTAGCAGTGTTTATTTTACAGGATGGGGTTGCTAGCCTCATGCCCAACCTTTCCTCTTCACCAGCATTATTTCTGGCTTAGTGAGGTAAAGCAGTGCGTCGGCTGGGGATCGAACCCCGGACCATGTGCATGGTCGGCGAGCGTCCTAACCGCTATGCCACCGACGCACTAGTGGCAGTTAATATTGCTAATAACACTATTATCGGTGAACTAACGTTTTACGAAATAATTTTAACACTCCCCAGAAACGCGAACACCAAATAGGATACGCAATTTGGTTCAATTTCCCTAATGGCGCTGCTTAGTATTATACTGTGCACATTATAGGTATTATTCCATAACCTTTTCCTATGTATATCTTGTGCAAGTGAATAACTGTAAATGTGCTTACCCCTCGCATGTGTTTTTCATCACATTGATGATGCCTGTACCTCATGTACAAAAATTGAGAATATATTATTACTACCACAGCAGGACTAAGTGATTATCCCGTGGCTTTCAAAATCTCATTAACCTACATTGCACATAGTGGTGTACACAGTCTCTCTTTTACCGGAAACTACTTCGAGGTTCTTCATTATGCACTCTGAAACAAGACAAAAACTCCATTGGGAGATTGCTGATCCTGGATTCGTGATAAATGCCTTCTGACAGATTTTCTACTACCTATCAATAACTGTCGATTTATATATTCATACCCTAATCTCGCAAACTTTTCAGATAACGGAATTAGTGATGCAGAAAACTAGGTGTGTACGCTCCATTTAAATAAATATATCTATCATTTGTAAGAATAATAATAATCATTCCACAAAAATAACGTGAAATACCCATGTGAATATACCTACCACTTTTACAGGAAAGAATATGTCTAGGAAGAATTAGAATGAATTTTGTTAAAAAGGATTTCAACGACAGAGTATATGGGATGATCAAATCTTTCGGAGTTGTACTTTTTGAAATAGCATGTTCTAAATCGATTCCTTATGAGTCGGTAGTTAGACAAATAAGTATGAAATGTCGAGTCATGGAAACAACAGCTATACATACGTAAGAAAAAACACAGTATTTTGTTCAGCGAAGAAGTATCTCTTTTCAACGACTTCATTTTCAAGCTGTACAGTGTTATTTATATTAAGGTAAAGGGCATTAGGTGGCACTAGAAATTGCTTAGTCAATATCTATATGATAATATTAAAAAAATTAGAATGATGTTTTGAGGAGGTGGAGTTGAAGTGAATGAATTACAAAACTTTTGAAGATTATTAAATAAGTGAACTGGTATAAAGATTTGAAAATTGTAGGTCAAGTGTCGTCTGAAAAATTAAAAGTTTGATGATGATAACAATAAAGACGGTGAAGTGAAGTGGAATGAATTCAAGTGGTAAGACAGAACATAACAAAAGATTATTACTGTGACTAAGGTAAATAAAAGGGTTTGACAAGACATTTTTGGATGCATAATTTAGGTTTTTGTCCATCTAGAGCTAGAGGTTCGGCTATGCATAAGCGGAGAAAACGTAGGCTTTTGGAGTGATCGGATTTGTTCCTGCAGATGACTTTAAAGGATAAATCACACGACGCTCAGTTCTCACTGCAACTTGTTGTATGCATCTTTTTTCACAGATGATGCTGTAATTGTGCTAGCTAAAATTCCTCAAAGAGTAGCAGCAACCTTGAAATATGTATGCTGGCAATTGAATAGATTTCGAAGTTTTGGCGCTATGTATAGTATTTGACCTAGAGGTCGGAAGGGCGGCTTGTTCGGCTATGACGATATGACCGAACCGAAGGTTGTTCCTTGTTATCGCGTTGAGTAGTTCTTAACTTTGTGCCCTTTAGTCTGGGCTTTAAAATAATAATTTAGACGTTTAGTGTGCCATAATTTGGCTAGATCAGCCTTTCTTTTAGAATACACCCTTGTAAGGGTGTATTCTAATACGCACTTATAAGTGCGTATTTACACGCTAATCAACAAGCAGTATCCACCTGACGCAGGAAACTGTGTGGAATGCTAGTATGCAGCATTATTTAACGATATGGAAATGCAAGTACGAGTGCAGTGTGTGAAACACTGCTTTTGAAGTTGTTCAATGTGGTTTTTCACCCTGTAGGCAAAGGGTGGGTGAAATGCGACACAGAATACCCACTCATTCCCACATTACCCATGACACTTACAGGCTTAGCCTACTCTACTTAGTTTTGAAAGGAAAGTCACTCACCTCACCTATGTTCACGAAAAGTTATACTGGGAATCTACGTTTGCTGCGTGATTCATGGATGTCGACCTTATGTGGGCATTTACTTAAGTAAACCTTACGACTGACCCTAAGTAACTAATCAGGGTCAAGGAGCAGTAAAAGTCACGAGATCGTTAGAGAGAACGCAATATGTCGTGGTGTTCTGAGATCCGTCAGCATATATGTATATATATTCTTTAATCTACTGAAAAATCCATGTCTTCCCAAGAAACGACTTATCCTGTCGAGCTTCCCCTACATATGCATTTTTTAGTAACTCCAATTAATCCATTATTCGCAAGGTAATCAAACACTCTGGAACTCATTAAGTAAAGCCAGAATAGCAGGCATAACGTGATATGGTTATACAATCTGTAAATTCAAGTGGTTTTCGAAGGACATTCCAGATTTATTGGTTGAGGATAGAAGGCTTGGAGCCTATGTTAATCCTTTTCTAGTAAATTTCTGTGGTTGTCCAAACCCTTCTTGGACGAATCAGTTGAGGTTGCAGACACCACTTCTTCTGGGAGTCGGTTCCAAGAGTTTATGACTCAGTGTGAGAACCAGTACTCAACAGCAATATGATTTCTTCTTGGTTTTTGGACTCTCCTGCTATGTCCTCTCAGGTGTTCTGACCTGGTGGGAAGGGAAAGAGAAAATAGGTCAGGTTCGTAGTCATTATTTAGAATTGTAAACATTGTTATTAAATCTCCTCTCTGCCTACAGTTTGACAGGGAGAAGAGATTTAAACTGTCTAATCTTTCCTCGTATGATAAGTTATTCATGCCGTGAACCATACGTGTTGCCTTCCTTTGAACCCTTTCTAGAATGTGTGAGTCCCCTTTTAGACAAGGACTGGATGCAGTTTTCCAGTCTTGACCTCACCAGAGATGTATATAAGGAGGTGAACATATCTCTGGTGATTCTAGTAAAGGCTCTGCAAATTGCCCATAAGGACCTGCAACTAAATGCAGCCACCGCGCGACAGTGAGCTGTAGTTTTTAAGTCGTGGCTAACTATGACACCTAAGTCCAAGTGAGTCTGAACTGATGGAAGTGTTGATATAAGTATAAAACTTGGGCACTGTGGTAGAGTATAACTCCATAATGGATAAGATTTTATTTTAATAAATCACACAGTGTTGTACAGTTAAATTAACTGATGACGTTTCGAGCACAAACTATTGCTCATAATCATATCAAGTTACACAACTTCTTTCCTTCATTTATATACATGTGTGGAATCGATTAGATATTGGAATAAAATTCAATATGAGATAATGTACATTCAGAAATAATAGTACGAGTGTTATTAATCCATTACAATTAGATGGGAAATACAACGAGTGTTTTTATAGTCATAATAAGTTAATTGTTAGAATGTTATGATGTGTTTGAATGGAAATAGAATTTTTTTAAAGATTATTTATTATTCTCTTCTGATTTGACCGGAGGTAATAATATCTTCCATATTTCTGGTACTTGCATTGAGTCATTTCTGTTGCATGTATTGGGTGTACACTCAATGAACAAGGATTCCGTAATCAACCTCTCTCTCACCTACCTATGTTGCTCTTTAGAATTTTAACCCTATCCCACCCTATTGTGTGGTTGTTCGTTAATGCGTGAAGTGCAATTGCTGAGCTTTTTTCTAAATTACTTATCTTTTCAGGGTCAACCATTCTTCCCTTAGCTAAATTCTTATGTTCTGATAATCTGACTATCCCCGGCCTACTAGTTTGACCTATGACCTATGAAAGGTCATTAAGCTGCGAACTCAGACAACCCGAAAACCCTTAATCTTCAGGTTCTTTTTGCTGTTTCGGCGTCGTTCGCTTAATTCTAGGGCCGCAGACTGTCTTTTGACACGGTCTGCTAGGCTTAAGTCGGCACGGACATATATGCCTGATCCTTTAAGAATTTGAGAGTTGCTTAGAATAGCATCCCTCTCTTCCTTCGAGTTTAGTACGACTTTGAGGAGACGTACAGGCTGATTTACTGTAGGGTCAGGCTTTTGGCCGATTTTGTATGCGCTGTGTATTGTAATGCCTGATACTGTTTGTGGCAGTAGCTTATCTAAAAGGGGCTCGACCAAGTTAACGTCATGCCCGAATCTGGCCTTGGGATCGGGGGCCAGTGACTCTTCCACTATGTGGAGAATGAGCGACCTGTCAGAGAGATCAGGTTTGCTTGCCGTGGCTTTCTTGCTCTGCGGCGTAAGTTACTTTCTGTCCTTCGTGGGCAGTGTAGCTGATGTGTTACCCTTATCTTGCTTTTTGCGAGAGACTACATTACGCCATTCATTGGCGTCCTCCTCGCTAATCGTAGTAGGATTTATCTGCCTGCTATTCACCGGTGTGAATGAGGCTTGATCTACCTATCCCTTGGGGACTTGAGCTACAGGTTTTCGACCCCTGGTACGCCTCTTCTTCGTGGCAGTCTTTCCGTTACTGTCACTGGAGGGCTTATCCGGTATCGTGGGGGCAGCGTGGGTGTCTGGAATATGGTGGTTGGTGCTCTTCTGTGCTGAAGGGCACTCACTCATTGACAGAGTCGCATCGGGGACATGTGCTGTTTTGTCGATGAAGCTAGTCACTTCATCGTTGTCTGAACAGTAGTCGGTCTTCTCCTGTGGTGGAAGACCCTTGCAGTCCATGAGCTTTAGAGCCCCACTGGGAGTGGCAATGGCTTCTGTTATACGCAATTTAGTTGTACTACAGCAGTCATTGCACAACCAGTTTCCTAGAGGTTTGCAGCAACGTCTGTATGCTGCAGGAGTTAGGTTTGTGCACATGCTATGAAACCATCTCTTGCAATTATCACACTGCATTCCCTCATCCACTGGAAATTGGCACATAACCCTTCCGCAGCGATTTCTTTTGATCGGCATGCTTTTTAGAGCGAACTGGGGAAAAACAATTTAAATATGACTTTATATGTATATAACCTATATAAATTAGTGATAAAACACCAATGAGTGCACAAAAATAGACGTATATAACTATTAAGTTATAAGAACACAATTTCCTACAATTTAACAGACTCAAAACTAAAAAGTAAACTTCGATCAGAATAAACTGATTTAGAGTTAATCTGTAGACTTTTGGAGCGTATAACACAACAAAAGCCAAAACTAAACAAGAGCGTGTAAAATTCACTCCCTTTTCAAAGTTCGCGTGGTTGCTATGACTTAAATCCACCCGCAAATAATTGAGTGCTCCAAAAGCACCATTTCTGGTAAGTAAATACAACAAATTTCCGAGGCTCTAATATCATAGAAAGTCTATTGTTAATAATACCCACATTTTTCTTGTGACCTTCATATCTGGTCTGTAATTCATTTATGTCATAATTACTAGTGGTTATGTGTAAAAAACCACAATCAAATATTATGCCATGTGGAAATGATATAAGGACACGCGATTCAGTAGTCCCATCACGTTAATTGAACGATTTGTAGTCGTATGTTTATGAATAGTTTTTGACCCTGAATCTCATTTCCTTTATCACACATGTATTGATAATTCTAAATTTGTGTCTATTAGCAGGACCCATCTGCAGTGTCTCATTCACACAATGTGGAAGGTGTGTCGTGTGATGTCGGTGACATATTTCAGCGAATGGTACTTTCTGGTCGCTTTTGTAGCTGGGCTGAATTTGACCAAGCCTTTGAACAATTTATGAAGGTAAAAGATAGCAACTTGACTACTTTTCTTTAAGGCGTCACACACTTCATACTGTGTTACTTCAAGTCGTGTACTTGATAAAAGTGGACCAATGAGATATCAATTTGTGCAATATCACTGCACTTTTGGAGGCAAACGTCCTCCTAGAGGTGCTGGTTTGAGAGAAAAAGTGTAAGTTGCTTGTATATATATTAATATGATTGTTATAGAAGCAGAACACTTGGCTGTGAATCTAGAATAAGGGTTCGTTACAAGACTGGAGTTTATAGAATCATATCCTCCCAAACTGTACATAACCATCCATGCACCGAGGAATTTCTGTCGACTGAAATATGTAGACGTAAATTATCAGCAGATGAAATGGATACCGATGAATCACTCCTGGAAAAGGAAACTGATGAGCACAAAGTAATAGAACTAGCGCACCAAAGGTTAGGAGAAGTCGTGTCATATAATGGTTCGACGAATATACAGGTTAAAAATGACAAGCGTAAGTCTGTTAATAGTTAAGTTCATAGTTGAATACGCTTTATCCTGTGCACATGTGATTGCAATTGTACTTACACTGCACTATGCTTCCTCTTGCTGTTAGATATTCCAGGAGATAGCAAACCGTTGTCCTGTCAATACATCCTCTTCGAAAAGAAACCACGTTCCCCTTCCTCAGTGCGACAACCAAGTAATACTTTCCGGAATGTGTACGAACGTCTTCGAACGCGTTTTGTGCGTCTTCACAAACGGAACTCGGGTGCTGCTATGCGAGAAATGCGTCATACAATCAGGAGACTTGACATTCTATTAGAACGTGTACGACAGAGGACTTTACGAAGCCCGCCAGCTTCTGTTAATCGTAATTCTTTGTAAAACTTTTTCTTTTATATTTATTTTGTATATAAGTTCATAACAAAAGGTCTGTGTACAGTGTTTGTATCAAGCTTACCTAAAAATGAAAGTTTTACTTAGGCCTTATTTGGCTATTTATTGAATAAAAATGGTTAGGAGTCAGTTAAAAATGAAGACAATAATGTCGGAAGGGGCGGGGAAGAATATGCATTTTATTTGTTCCACATTTGTGTGCCGAAGCACATTAGTTATTAGCTCAATGTTGATCAAAGGTAGCTGTTAGTATATATCATGACTTGCGCACAATCGCCTATAGAATTCATTGAACTCTAGCGATATGCACTGTCGTACGACTTCAACATCAGAATGCAGAAATAGTACTGAAATGGCGTGTTTAACAGAAAGCTGCCTGATCATATGCTATTTTTCAGCACTGCACAAAATCAAAAGTTTATTTTGAGCATTATGACCTAACCTATTTTTTCCACATAACGCACGCACATTATGAGTTATATTGTTCGTACTTTTGCATTTTATTGATACATGTAAAATATTGTTGGTTGGAGGAAATCGGCAGCAAGCTTTGGACCTAGGTTTCGTGCAAGTTGACATCCGTCAGAGTGACGATGTCTCACTCACAGCCATAAAGGAGGATGGAGTGGACTGCTGAGCAGTACACCCGCCCTTTGATCGATAGCCGGATATCACGTCTACTCCAGAAAAGGCGTAAACTGGCATATGTGAAACGAGCCTTCTATATCCGTGTTGAGATTTCGTCAGCGATCAACCCTGTGGCGTTGGCTGATGCAACTTCCCAAATAAGTGAAGTGGTCAACGCGCTCTACCACTTCACTCCCTATTTCTAAGCTAGGAGTCAGTGTCTTTCAGTCCTGTAACATCAAACCCCTGTTACTCAATAATAGACGACTATGCATTCTTGATAAATATAAATACGATTGTAAATGATACGTTGCTAAGCCATTCAAAAGACAGGATTATATATATATATATATATATATAGTCTATTAACAAATTTATGGGTCTTAATGTTACCTGAACTCCCGTTGGTTTACTCTTCTTTTAAATGTGCTAAATTAAGTTATTGGTTGATTTTCATAGTGAACTGTTAATTTCAGACTAAAGCAAGATTATCACTGTGTAGCATAAGAGTAACTGCATAGGCATCAGAACCGGTGACAGTTCGAACAGTAACGTAAAGTAAAGACAAGCCATAGTAACTCAAATCCGGCAAATATTTTATGATAACAGTTGTATGTTAAAGAATTTGACATTATCAAGTGTATATATGAATGCAGTGTCAAGCGTCTGATACTGATGTGACTGACTCACCTTTAACTCAACCATGTTATCACATCAAGATATTGATTGAGTGATTAAGGTGATAGTGATATACATCAATTTACGGGAATGTATTACAATAGATGAGTGAACTAGAATTCTGACACATTTCTTTTAATATATTTGAATGACCTAGATACATGTTGTTTACCATGACACATTAGTAACACGTCATTTGCTATCTATCAGTAGGATGAAAGAGGAAGGAATAAGTCACGCCCTTATGCCTTCAGAGTAGTCTAAGTCAATCAAACCCCACACCTTGTAAGAGTAGTATATAAACACGCAGATAAGTCTTCTCACTTATTTCCCCTAAATCCACTAGTACTTTTTATTTCATAGTTGATTTGCTAACAAACTTAAAGTATCATAACCGAAACCTCGGTGACCTTGAACAACCAATCAGAATTCAGATGCGGAAAAACTGGCATAATCGTTAGAAAAATGTATTATAAACGTTACAAACGTGATATTAAACTGGATAATAGTCTCTGTGTTGTAGAAACGTCTTCCAGCCTCTCCTAGGATAATCAACAGAGAAACCATACCATACCCGATAGATATATTCATCGATGTGACTAAAAATCATGGTATTTTGCTACAGTTCGTTATATTCCTGGCATTACCAAGCGCTGAATGATTGGAATCAATGTTCCATCACTTCTGTTTGGTATTGTTTCCACGATACCTTTGCGAAGTGAAGTGTCGTAGATTTTAAGCATCCACACTTGATTAGCCCTTCTCCTTCCCCTGTTGCACTTCTTTCTAATGAGGATGGTTTCATCGATGTGAACGACTAGTCCTACTCCTCCACGACAGTCAGTAATCCCCTCCGACTTCCATGACGATATTTCTCTACAATGTTGATAACACTGCACTGTAGAGACCAGGCTATTTTCTATCTTAGCTGCTGCTGACCTTACAGCTCTTTGTTCAACAGCACATAAGGTGCAGGATATCCACAAAAACAGTATCTTAGGAATAATTCAAGTATTGCGCTTACCCTCACGAACAGATTTTCTCTTATAACATGAATTACATTTATAGCAGTATTTATCTCCAATAAGGTTGTATGGCTTTAGCGTCATTAGTTTTTCCTTTACGTTCCCAGTGGAACATAGGGCTGCTTCAAGCTAGAGCTTTGGAGTTTCGGTAGCAGTGGTTATGTCTTTTTAAGGGGTGTGGTTGCTAGCCTCATGCACAACCTTCACCTTTTACCGGCTTAGCGAAGTAAAGGAGTGCGTCGGCCGGCGATCAAACCCGTACCACAGGAGTGGTCGGTGAACATTCTACCGCTAAGCCACCGACGCACGCTTTAGCGTCATAATATTTCCATAAAGTCAACTCTTAGTCACTCCAATTAATCCATTATTAACACAGTAGTTAGAATGCTAGATCTTCGCGGAACTCACTAACCAAATGTATAAACGCAGGCATGATTTATGTTTGGAATGACCTACAGAAGCGTTCGATTAATCTGACTGGCCATTCAAGGTCAACTTTGAAAGACCTTGACTATGGCTATGATACTTTAACTTCACCGGTTTGCTTTATAATACATTTAATAATCATTATAATAAAGGTTTTTGTATTTCCCAATGAATGAAAAACAAAATGATATTGTTTTTACTGACGTTTCGCTATTTAATGCTAATAGCTTTATCAAAGTATTATTAAACCGGAATTTACAAAATCTCAGCATATATATAACAAACAGTTAGGGGGTGAGAAAATAGACATAGGTCAAGTTAAAGGGACATATTGAAAGTAAAAATAGCGATGAAGATAACTATACCAAATAACAAAGGTAATAGTATGTCTGTTATGATATCGAAAAAAGAAAGAAAAGTTTACTAACTTGATCATCGTTCGTCTGTCTGGGGCATTTTTTAGTTGTTAAGTTGGTGAATTGGTAAAGATAACAAAATCATCATGTGTAGATTGTTGGATTTGATAAGTGTATGAGATTATAAAAGCAGCGTGTGTTTACATAATGAAAGTGCTTATCACATTCGTGTTGGTTTTGTCACTTGATGGGGGGGGGGGGGGAGGTGTTGTAACCAGGTCAGATTCTGTTTTAGTCCATCATTCCTATTCAGGCAATTTTGATTCCACTTGATATGAAGTGCTTCTGATATTAAACGTTCTTTGTGATTTCTGAAGTTTTTCTGGATTATTTCAACATTGTCAAAATCAATTTTGTGGCCTGATTCTATAGCATGTAGACCTATGGCTGATGATTTTTCGAGTCTTTGTAGTTCAACAGGATTCTTCGGCGGTCGAAGAGATGCTCTACGGTGTTCATTTCTTCTGATTTTGATTTCTCGAGAAGTTTGTCCGATGTATATCGCATCACATTCTAAGCATTTTATTTTATAGACACAATTAGATAGCGAATCTTTAGGGATTTGGTCTTTTATATGGACAAGGTTGCTTTGAAGTGTGTCTGATGTTTTGAAGAAAACTCTAATATCGAGCTGATTGAGTACTCTTCTGATATCGTCTGACGTCTCTTCTCTATATGGAATGACGACTGTTGATGTCCATGTTTTCGGGATGCGTTTTCGGCCATACTTGATGTCTGTGTTGATTTTGTTGATGAAGTTCCATGGGTAGTTGTTTTGCTTGAGAGTTTCAGTAATGTTTGATATTTCTTCTTCTTTTTCTTTCTCGTCGGTTATCAGAGAGTGTGCTCGTCTAAGAAGACTTGAAACAACTGAAATCTTTGCGCTGATGGGGTGTGATGACTTGAAGTCTAAATATTTATTTGAGTGGGTTTTCTTCCTGAATATGGATATACTAAAATGTCCGTTTTCCTTTCTCTTAACTAGGCAGTCTAGAAATGGTAGTTCACCGATGTCTGATTCTGCTTCCGAAGTGAATTGGATTCTGGGACATACACAGTTTATTTTCTCCAGGAATGAATTGTGTAGATCTCGTTTTAGTACTACAAAAGTATCATCCACATATCTTAACCATATTCATACTTGCTGCAAATCATACCTCCAAGGTATTTTTACGAGAAAGAATACATAACTGCAACATCAAACTTGAATCTTATCGAATGAGAATCAAAAATATAGACGACTGTTTAACATTACTTGTTACAAGTCATATCTATGAATCCTTTCAAAAACTGTTTAATGAACGAGAATCTCATTTTCATAATGCCACAAAAAGAAGACAAATACAAAAATTCTTAAAACTCGAAGAAAAGAAACAACCAAAGAAAACCTCAACAAATGATATGAAGAATATTAGAGCCATACATAACATGTCAGACAAGATACTAACCGAAAGTGAAATCTCATTACTACAGAAAGGTCTGAATTTCAATATCACCAGAAAGCCATTATCGGTCCAGGAAATAGCACCTATCATTGAACCTGCTCTACAACAATTCACCAATGAAGAATCACAACCTGTTCGTCAAAAGATATCACACATATTAATGACACAACGAAACATACCATCTAATCTCAACAAACAAGAATATGAAGCCTTAAGAAATTTGAAGAAGGACAAAAGCATCGTTATAACGAAAGCCGACAAGGGAAATGTCACCGTGATTATGAACAGAACGGATTACGAAAAGAAGGCAATCGAACACCTATCTGAAGGACCATACTTACTCATTGAAGAGAAGAAGAAATCCGCCGAATTCAACAAAATGAAAATAAATACAAACAGAGTCCTTCAAGAAATGAAACCCAAAATTGGAAATCCTCTCTGGTTTAAACTAAAACCAAAGTCTTATGTACCTTCAAGATTCTACGGTCAACCAAAGATACATAAACCCACAGTTCCATTGAGACCAGTAATAGATTTCACCAACTCACCGACATACAACCTATCTAAATACTTACTCTCGATACTACAACCACTACAAAAGGACACTCAAAATATTGTAAGGAATTCATATGATTTCAAATCCCCAATAGAACACCGAGAAATTGATAAAGAAGACATTATGGTAAGCTGTGATATTAACTCATCATATACTAGTATGCTTATTACCGAAAGTCTTGATATCATTTCCAGTCTACTAGAATCAGATACAACGCTATCACAAAGCTGTCCACTGGACACCAGCAAAATAACTAAGAGCTGTCTAGAAAGTAATTATTTTACATTTAAAGGGAGTTTATATAGACAGACAAATGGTGTTGCTATGGCTTCACCAGTCTCCCCAATAGTTGCCGACCTTTTCATGAATAGATTCGAAAATAACATCTTTTCAAGCAAACTCACTCCTAGAATATGGTTAAGATATGTGGATGATACTTTTGTAGTACTAAAACGAGATCTACACAATTCATTCCTGGAGAAAATAAACTGTGTATGTCCCAGAATCCAATTCACTTCGGAAGCAGAATCAGACATCGGTGAACTACCATTTCTAGACTGCCTAGTTAAGAGAAAGGAAAACGGACATTTTAGTATATCCATATTCAGGAAGAAAACCCACTCAAATAAATATTTAGACTTCAAGTCATCACACCCCATCAGCGCAAAGATTTCAGTTGTTTCAAGTCTTCTTAGACGAGCACACTCTCTGATAACCGACGAGAAAGAAAAAGAAGAAGAAATATCAAACATTACTGAAACTCTCAAGCAAAACAACTACCCATGGAACTTCATCAACAAAATCAACACAGACATCAAGTATGGCCGAAAACGCATCCCGAAAACATGGACATCAACAGTCGTCATTCCATATAGAGAAGAGACGTCAGACGATATCAGAAGAGTACTCAATCAGCTCGATATTAGAGTTTTCTTCAAAACATCAGACACACTTCAAAGCAACCTTGTCCATATAAAAGACCAAATCCCTAAAGATTCGCTATCTAATTGTGTCTATAAAATAAAATGCTTAGAATGTGATGCGATATACATCGGACAAACTTCTCGAGAAATCAAAATCAGAAGAAATGAACACCGTAGAGCATCTCTTCGACCGCCGAAGAATCCTGTTGAACTACAAAGACTCGAAAAATCATCAGCCATAGGTCTACATGCTATAGAATCAGGCCACAAAATTGATTTTGACAATGTTGAAATAATCCAGAAAAACTTCAGAAATCACAAAGAACGTTTAATATCAGAAGCACTTCATATCAAGTGGAATCAAAATTGCCTGAATAGGAATGATGGACTAAAACAGAATCTGACCTGGTTACAACACCTCCCTCCCCCCCCCATCAAGTGACAAAACCAACACGAATGTGATAAGCACTTTCATTATGTAAACACACGCTGCTTTTATAATCTCATACACTTATCAAATCCAACAATCTACACATGATGATTTTGTTATCTTTACCAATTCACCAACTTAACAACTAAAAAATGCCCCAGACAGACGAACGATGATCAAGTTAGTAAACTTTTCTTTCTTTTTTCGATATCATAACAGACATACTATTACCTTTGTTATTTGGTATAGTTATCTTCATCGCTATTTTTACTTTCAATATGTCCCTTTAACTTGACCTATGTCTATTTTCTCACCCCCTAACTGTTTGTTATATATATGCTGAGATTTTGTAAATTCCGGTTTAATAATACTTTGATAAAGCTATTAGCATTAAATAGCGAAACGTCAGTAAAAACAATATCATTTTGTTTTTCATTCATTGGGAAATACAAAAACCTTTATTATAATGAATATCATATACCCAATGCCCAAATTTTTTCAAACCGTTAAAAGTCAACTTGGTTTGGACATATATAACATTTAATAATCATTTGAAATGTATGTATTAGATGATGCCTCAAACTTTCAAATTCCCAAACACTTGTGCTTGAAATGAGCTCGTTCAAATTTAGTAAATCTATTGAAATTTTATTTATAGATTATGAGTAGTATGTAAAAGCGTCAACAGAGGCTATGAAGATACTTAATCAACAACAAAACAATCACTATCAACGGGAGAAATTCGAAGGAAGTCACTTAATTAAGCAGCATTGTTTCAAGTAAAGACGGTATCGATGAGGATGTCAGAGCTAGAGACCAGAAACGGAAAACCGTGACAGACTTTTATTCATCTGAAATCAGTGTCAAAGTCTCCACCAATCCGCATAAATAACAAGATTAGGATTTTCAACACTAATTTCAAATCGTTTCGTGCTTCTATAGGTAGGGTTGTGCGTCGGTGGCATAGTGGTTAGGACGCTCTCCGACCATGCACATGGTCCGGGGTTCGATTCCCGGCCGACGCACTCCTTTACTTCGCTAAGCCAGAAATAAAATCTGGTAAAGAGGAAACGTTGGGCATGTGGCTAGCAACCCCCACTGCTACAGAAACTTCAAGCTTCTGGCTTGAAGCCCTATGTTCCACTGGGAACGTGAAGGGATAAAAAAATAGGTAGGGTTAAGAGACTCGGTGCATCACCAAAAGCACTTCCAAAATGCTTCAGACTTTTATCAACAGCTGCCTTTGCCTGCAGCATATTACTAAAGATCAGATGGTCAGAAAAGATAAACAACAAGGAACTCTGACAACAAACCAACGAAGAACACATTGCCCTACAAATATGTAGAAGAAAATGGAGAAGGATCAGACATGCACCGAGGAAACAAGTGAGTGATATCGTGCATTACTGATATAAGTATAAAACTTGGGCACTGTGGTAGAGTGTAACTCCATTATGGATAAGATTTTATTTCGATAAATCACACAGTGTTATACAGTAATATTTACTGATGACGTTTCGAGCACAAACTATTGCTCATAATCATATCAAGGCACTACTCACACAACTTTTTCCTTCGTTTATATACATGTTTGGAATTGACCAGTGACGGCTTCATTCTGCGTATTAATTCCGCTGTAGATTTCTTAACCTTATTCATTATTGTATCTACAGGCTTCTTAATTTCCTCATATGGACCCGTCTCAATATGTTCAGTGACTTTCTTGATATAGTCAGATTTATCCAAAACTACTGTGGAGTTTCCTTTGTCAGCTTTTGCGATGACAATGTTTTTATCCTGTTTCAGACTAATTAGAGCTTCTCTTTCCGATGTTGTTAAGTTTGATTTTGCCTTCTTTTGATTTTTCAGGGTTAATGCACATTGTGCTCGAACCTCTTCTGCTGTCGTCTTATCTATTGAACCTAGTGCTACTTCTATGTTAGGAATGACATCCTCTGGTTTTAATTTACTAGCTATTACATTGAAATTAAGGCCTTTCTCAAGTACTTTTATCTCACTGGAGCTTAGTTCCTTGATGAGAGGTTGATGACCCATTTTGTTCTGTCAATAGAGGATGAAACGTTGACATCAATTTCATTTATTGTATTTCTTTTCTTCCATTAGTTTGTTGAATTTTTTTATTTGTGTGGTTTTCGATTTTTTAAAATTCTGATTCTCTAGCTTTTTCGGATGTTTCGACAACAATTACATAATCTTTCTCATTGACCATACATTTGAGTTTGTGTTGAGTTTTTCAATTTCATTTCGTATATTATTTAGTTTCACAGTAATTCGATGTAGTTCTTCTCTTAGACATAATCTACTGACATGTTCGGCTACTGATGTTATTTTTCTTGAGTGGAACCTGCATGCGGAACAACAGGTCGATTGCCTCCAACTATCTAATATCATCAAATCAATGTGAACCGTGATGGCGAGCTACCTAGAATGGTGGCCACATTGTAAACCTGACTGAGAGAATTCAGTCTGTACCAAAGAAGGGACTAGATACATCACACTAGTTACTAGTGTCCAATCAAAGTATCCACTACAGTCCTACAGGAGGTCAATCGCGAGCCCGAATAGCTGACTCAGTGATAACGTCTCTGACTGCAGCACTGGCTGGTGACGCGCGAGTTCGAATCTCAGAAGGGATATGAGTTCCTTCAAGGTTGCAGATACGCCTTGCTGACGAGTGCCAACTAGCCCGAAACCTAGGGTCGAAGGCTTCCTCCCGATTGCCTCCAACTATCTAATAACGAGTCGAACAGAAGTTTGATAGTGATGTGAGTGAGATCGTGTCAGGAGATGAAAGACTGCAGAATAAAAGGATGCTATGGAGATGTGCTGTTGAAGCCCTATGTTCCACTCGAAACACAGAAAATAATAGCAATAATAATGTAGAAACGTGAAAAAATTATTTTTGTCGTTATGAATAAACTCAAAAACCAGAGGCTTTCTTCGCAATAGACATTTACCGTTCACCTCGGTAAGATTTACATAACACCACTGTCAACATAACATACTCATAGAAAGATTTCCTGAAGAGATGATGATGATGATATGTACATGTTATACTGAAAAAAATAATTGAAAAATTACATTAGAAGTTAATTGATGGATGATGATGACTAACAGTGGAACCCAGGATGCGCATTTCGTCCTATTTGGAACTCGTCAGCCATCTGGATGTACCTGCATTCCCCAGTGAGTGATAATGTCCCCACCGAGGCTCGAACCCAGTGCCCATAAGAAAAATTATATTCATTAAAAATATTTTTTTTAAAAGACAGTACAAACCGCAAAAATATATCACACTGAAAAAAATATTGACTATTATCAAAAGCTGCGAAATAGAAACACGTTCGTAACGAAAAAACAAAAATAGTTATCACATTAAGCGTGTGAACACACCGCTATTTCAAAGCAGTGGATAAAAAGCGGAAAGAAGTAGGCATTCTCACAAAGGCGGTGTAAACAAACAAAAATATATCACAAAACAAAAAAAATAAATTCCTACAGGCAAGTTATTCTTTTGTAGTTCAGAGAGGACAGGACACCTGGAACCAATTAGATATGAATCAAATCTGATGGACTAATACCCATCAAGTATTCTCTGACTCGTTTCCACCTAGAACTACGCTGGTGATCATCAGAAGATACAAGTATATCAGAAGAATGAATATCTGACCTATTAGAATCAAAAGAATCATTTATACAAGGGAGATTTTCTGATGAATTACAGTTGGCATCCATATGTTGATTTCGACCGGTGGATTCTTTCATTTTTTCTTCTGTTAACCAGAAATTTTCAATAATTGATGTCAGGCATTGTAGATCGTTGCTGGAATTGAATTGCAGAATATGTTCAATCCATTTCCAAGAGTCAATCGATGAAATAAACGGAAGACTTGTAGACGAAGAAGTAATAATAGTCAGAGGATTATTATTGAGCATAGATGTTTTCACCATGGAATTGTTGGCTATCGTAGAAGATTCAGTTACATTCAAGTGTTTATAGGTGAGGGGAATTAATTTATTGACAAAATTATTTAACACTTTGTCAGGGAATGTTTTAAACCAAGAAAAGTGAGGTGAATAATCAACTCCGCTTTCATTTATAGTAGATGTGCATACTAGATGCTGAAAAAGAAAGGACAATAAAACCAAAGAATAATTTAGAAGACTGATTTTTGAACAAACAATATTTTCTTTTCGATAACTTCTTCTTCGTCAGATTCTGTCTGTTTACTCCCAGCTAGACTGTACTAAGATGAACAGCTTTCTATCAGGAGTCAGCAAATGGTCTTTGTCTAATGGCCTTAAACTAAATCCTTCCAAATGTCAGACTGTTAATTTCAGTTTCCGATGTAAAAGAAAGTTAAATGAAGCCGTTGGTTCCTATGACCTATGCAAACTTGATGATAGTGATATAGAAACTAAGTCTGGAGTTAAGTATCTTGGATTAATTCTTTCTTCTGACCTATCCTGGTCTTCCAATGTCTTAGCGATTTCTAAAAGAATATTTCGTCTGACTTTTTACATTAAGAAGTTAAGGCACTCAGGCATAACCCAACCACTCCTCTTACAGTTTGTCGACTCGCGTATTTTACTTATTCTTCTTTACTGTTCACCCTTATTCTTTCCTGGATTGCTTGAAAAAGACTATATCATACTTCGTAGAACACTGAAGACTGTCAGTAGGACGAGTGGTCTCTCATTGGGCCATATCGTTGACATCGTCATTGATGATAGGCACTTCATGTCATGCAACAAATTTGCTAAAGGAATTTTGTCAGACTGTGAGCACCCACTCTACCCGCAGCTCCAACCTTGTGTCTCCTCCTCAGTTAAAACAAGAAGTCTTTTCAGAAGACTTTATGCAAGTGCGTTTAGATATAGAAATTCCACTATACCATATTTGGCACGTACTTTATGTGATGAAAATAGTGTTAGGTATGAACTAACTAACCTTCTTTGCACTACTAAATAAACCATTTCCTCCACCCTTTTATTGTTATTGTACTTCTTATATTTATAGTCCTCTCAATTTTTTGTTTATTTTTTTCATAAGTGTGAACATCATTTAAGCTGTATTATAACTGTTAATTTTGTATTTCCCCTCACTATACTATATCAACAGAACATTAGATTCAATAATCTATAACATGTCTATAAAATGCTAAAATTTCCAAACTGAATCGACAATACTGTTTGACACAAACTTACTGCTATTATGATTATTATTACTACTATATTTAATATTCTCAATTCGTGCTTCGAATATTTTTTACTTTATATGGTAAACGTGGACAAATTCCTCTGGTTAATTTTGTTTTAATTTTTAATTTTATTTATATTTTAAGTAAATCAGATGCAATATTGTGACAAATGCTGAGAATTCCATTCTGTATTATAAGTACTGTTTTTGGAATGAAGTAGATTATTGTTATTATTTTTAAAAAAAGTATTGTCCCTGACTGCAGGCGGCACTGGGTAACGCGCGAGTTCGAATCTCAGCAGGGATATGAGTCCCTTCAAGATTGCAGATATGCCTTGCTGACTGGTGAGTGCCAACTAGCACGAAACCTAGGTCAAGCAAGGCTTCCTGCCGATTGCCTCCAACCATCTAATATCATCATAACAACTTCAATGTTTTAAATAACATGGGGGATCAGGAATATTAACATAACACTAAACCGTATATCAGATAACTTAGGAAAAACGATATATAGAATCTATGAATTGATGGATTCCACAACAGTCTAAGGCAGTAAGTAATGGTGCAAGACGCGTCGTTTTTTCGCACGCACAGTTTCCGTTATTTTAATTGAATTGCAATGGATTCTGTCGTTAGAATTATTCAGTATCTAAAGGTTTTTGTCAATCTCTTTGTTATCCGATAGATGACAGAAAAAGATTCATCAATGTTATCCACCTATTCTTGTATCTATCAATTCAACTGCCCCTGTGGAGTCAGTTATCACTGTGATTTAGTTTTTAATGTCTGGGGACACCTATCAAGGTGGCTAACTAGAAGTGTAGCAAAAATTATCAACAGTTTGATATCAGATCGCCATATCCAAACCACTATTGGAGAGTCTTTTTCTATCATCTATACCGAATGATTCAAACAACAGAATCCATTGCAATTCGCTTAAAACACCTGGAGGTATGTGCATGTGGAAAAGAAACGCGTCCAAGCATTGGTGTTATCCTGACCTGTTGTGTAATTTATAAATTCATAGACATTCAAGTACTGGTTTGTAGTGAGAAGTCGTGACCAGTAGGGTGCACAGGTCGAGTGTGTAGACAAATACTCGCTATTTTATGAATTGGCAGAAGTTGGAATTCATGGACTGGCCACTGGATCGGGTCCCAATGGTTTAATGGCCTACGAGCTGGCTCGCCTTGTAACCAGAAGGTCCTGGGTACCAGCCCTGTCGGTGGGTGAGTACAGCTGAAGAGTTCTAAACTACGCTGACGAAACAGCTGTCCAGTACTCTCAGGTTTACCAGTGGTTCTCTAACTGATGTTAGCTCATGATGAAATCCTGTAACAAATTAACAGATTTTATATTATTTTTTAAAATTATCTGACATCCAGTTTAGTGTCATATTGATGTATATTATCCCTTACAGTTGGTTTTGAACCCTAATTTGTTAATATTCCTGATTCCGTGTTATTTAAAACACTGAAGCTGTTAACAACAGTAATTTTTTCAAAACTATTATGGATATATAACTGAACAAAAAGATAGGAAATATAAACATTCCTTAATAGAACTATGCTCACAAAACTATTCATTTCTGAGATAGCATCAATTTCAAGGGTGACAAGGGTGATCACTTGCGGAGGTAGGTGGGTGGGTGGGCGGTTGACAAACTGCACCTAGCCATAGACTATATCGTTGATGCAAAGAAAAGATTCTAAGAATTAGACCAACCACTGTAGCCAATGAAATTCTAATTTCTAGAATCATATGAGATCTAACTAGGACTATGAGAATACAAATCACAAAATATCTAGGTGGGTTTCAAAACAAGACATTTCTTTTTCTTTCAGTGGAAAATATCAACTCGCTGAGACACCAACAATCAAATAGCAATGATTGTGTTAGAACCCATGAAGTGGCTGGACAGTTCAGTGGTAGAATGTTTGCCGGCCACGTGGTAGGGGTCCAGTCTCCAATCTCGACAGACTCAGTCCTAAACCTCGCCAATAGTGAGCTCGCGAAAGAGGGAAGGGTAATTTAAGGCTAGCAACCACATTCTGCAAAAAATAACACCATCACTATTGAAACTTGCAAAAGGCTTATTTTCTCAGCTGGGAATGCAAACAACAACAAGAAAGAACTCACAACAAACGGTTCCATAAGCTATTTATCTAAATTTACTGGTGTCTGATAAGAGTATCATCTACTTCATTTCCACTGAAATTTATCACATAAGATTGTGAAGATTATCAGTTTGACTCTGCAAGGAATTTAAATCTTGCAGGTGATTGCATGATGACTAGGTGTACGAAGAAGATGTAGTTTTAAAACTCAATGTGACAAAAAAGTGAAGTGACTGAACATATTCAACACTTATTTGGATAGTCAGTCCCATCACTTATAAACTGACATAGTTATTTCGGCACGGATTCTAAATAAATCCTGCTACTTTCAGAAAACTAAACAGTTCACTCATTACTGAGAGTTGAGTGAATTTTCGCTTACAAGACTGCATCCTTCACTCTATATATCTTTTTCTTGATACAATGTGAAGTTTAGTAAATGAAACCTCTTAGTTTGATTATTATTATTATTCCCTTAAGTTCTAAGTGGAACAAAGAGCATGAGCATAAGCAGCACATCCCCGTTTTAGCGCTATTCTCTAATGCCTATTATATTTGACTGCATGACTGACTGCCCATAAACTTTGATTTCCTAAACAAACACTATCTTCTCCATGTCACCCTCGGATGTCTAACTCATCATTGCATGGAGGATTTCATCATGAGCTGACATCAGTTAGAGAACCACTGGAAAACCTGGGAGTACTGGACAGCTGTTTCGCCAGCCTAGTTTGGGACTCTTCATCAGTACACACCCACCGACAGGGCTGGAACCCAGGACCTTCTGGTTACAAGGCGAGCCAGCTCGTAGACCATTAAGCCATTGGGACCCGATCCAGTGGCCAGTCCATGAATTCCAACTTCTGCCAATTCACGACATAGCGCGACCATTTCGCAATGTCTTCTTCGATGAGTTACTGCCTCATCTTCAACCTGCTGTACTCTACTGATCACGGCTTCCCACTAGAACCCCAGGTCACTGCCTGAATAGGGCCAGTCGCTAGTGAGCATCAGATTAACTCATCATTTCCTATTCAGGTAGAGCTTGAAGATTTGGCGTGTGATGCCAATTAACGATCCTTACAGAGTATGAAAATGCATTGCCATTTCCTTCTGTATATTTGTTAAAAGAGAAGAGTTCTTGGTTGATTCATTGACATAGTCTAAAATCCTAATGGAAATACTTTTGATGACACATGCCAGCCAAGTCACTGAACTATACAGAATCACTGACGAACTTGGCACATAAGTGTTGCAAATCGGGATCTTGTTGCTTACGCCGAATGCAGTAGAACGTCTGTGTACATTTTCCTATTGTGGTTGACTTTGACAACTTCATCCGTACAGAGTCTGTAGATATGAACAGGTGTTTTTTTATCCTACTTTGGGAGTGATCAAAGCAGTGTGGACGCATCACCTCACGAGGAATCGAATCGAGAATATTCCCGTCAATAACAGATAAGTGAATTCTAGGTCTTGTCAATTCGTAATATAGTGCTACTGTCAGGTATTATTTTTATTATTATTTCCTTTAATTCCTAAAGGAACATAGGGCTTCAGCTGCACGTCTCCATTGCGTTCGGTTCTCTGGTAAAGTTTTCACCCAACTCCAGGTCTGCCCACATGCTTTCATCTCCTCTTCACATGATCTCCTCCAAGTCACCCTTGCACTGACGACCAACTCGCCGCTTCCCTTTCGGGTTCCACTCGAGGGCTTGTCTAGTGATGTCACTTGATGGTTTCCTCAGAGTATGGTTAATCCATCTCCATTTCTTCCTGCTTATTTGTTGCACAATCGGTTCCTGGTTGGTTCGCTCATTGCCAGAGATCCCTGTTGCTGATCTTTTCTGGCCATCTGATCTTGAGTATTGAGCGAAGACAGCTGTTGATGAAGGTCTGCAGTTTGTTTGAGGTGCTCTTTATGACGCGCCAAGTCTGTGATCCGTATAGAAGGTTGCACTGACTTCACATCAGAGTTGAAAATCCGGATCTTATTTTTCATGCTGAGTGCTGTTGACTTCCATTGTCAGGTAATACAATCAATAAGCACCCCTTCACCATGATATAATGGAAGCTGAGATCTACAACTAGGGTATTTTCATAATGTAATTTTTTTTAACTGTTAAGAAAAAAAAACGATCATATTGAACTTACCTGATCCAATGATCCAGATAACCAAGTAACCATTTCGTGAGTATCATGATCATAGATAGCAGTTGTAAACCAACCGGGAATCAATGAATCTTCTTTAGAATAATTTAATGATAATGATGATGGTGTTATATTCCACTGTGTACATTGTAATGCTAATGAACTCCAATGGCAAATTATCATACAGTCTACATTTTGATATTGTAAACGTAAACCAACTTCAGATGAAGTATAAGGACTAAAAAGTAAGGCGGATATGATGAGTTTATTTTTTGTAATATACAGAAGAAAAAAAATCGTATTTCTTATTCACTTATCATAGTAAGTGTTAAGTGGTAAAATATGCTGAGTGAAATCGAGGTTAGGCGTAGAGTGTGTTAGGTAGGGAGGGCAAGTGAATAGATGAGGTTGTGAAGCCAAATCGAGTAAGATGGCTAACAGGCATGTTATGCATGCTGAGCCACCACCATCTTCCACGCCAAGCAATGTTAGCTGACAAATATAAGATTAGGTTGGAAACAAGTTGAGAATGGTTGATTCAACATTCTGTTAGTTTGAGCCAACGACTACCTGGTTGTAGTTGTCAACACGCTTGAGATTGTTGTTCATATTGCCTAAAATCATTTTCAGTGGTGGTACTGCAGTATGCATTCACTCTTTTTTTTATCTCCCAGATCTATTAAACCCTGATGTTATTACACGTTACTACTTCTGTTCATTATTGTTCTTTTGAATATCTTTTTCCTCGCTTATGTCTACCATTGTGTCGTAGATGGAGTGTGGCATCTTGAACTGATGCACTTTCGTGCAAAAGTCCTACGTTAAAACACAGTAATCCAGTCAGTCAAGCATAAGGAGGATGCAAACAACCTGTAATATAGTGTTTAGTTCCCGACCGATAACTGCTACTTCGACGTGGTGGTCTGATATGCATACTGCAGTGACCCAACAAACTACATCGATTCGAACTTATGTTCCTGTGGGTCCTACTATGCCAGGAAGGTTTTCTGGATAGCGACTAGGCTAAAAGCAGTTGCTATGGTGTACATGGGATCCAGATACCAAACTGATCGAATGGTGTATGCACCTATACTAGTCACCAGCAACTATGATATGATTATGAGCAATAGTTTATGCTCGAAACGTCATCAGTTAATATTACTGTACAACACTGTGTGATTTATCAAAATAAAATCTTATCCATAATGGACCTATGGTCAAAGACAGTTAGTCTTTTCATGTCTTCCAATCTCAACGGCCAGGTCTCATAGCCACAAAGGAGCGGATTGCTAAGCAGTACACACGCCCTTTGGTCGACAGTCAACCAGATACCGCGTCTACGTCAGAGACGGCGTAAACTGCAATATGCGAAACGAGCCATCTATATTGGTGCTAAGATTTCGTCAGAGGTCAACCCATTGGCTTTGGTTGATACAACTTCCCACCCAAATAAGTGAAGTGGTCAAAACGCTTTACCACTTCAATTCCTATTTCTAGGCTAGGAGTCAATGTAGTCCAGTCCAGTTCTGTAGCATCATCTTACATTTGTTGGGAGCGAATCGCATACCAATATTCGAAGATTGCTGCTCCTCAAAGTGTTCTTTCTACCGTTCCAGTCGTCTATCCTGGGTGCTAATTAGGGTACCATTTTTCTCAGAGATTATTTCACTTATCGTTTGCCGTTTACCACCTGTTTCCTTGATAAGCCTAAATAGTTGTCTGGTATTACCAATCACCGATGCCTTTCCCATCTCATCTCGTGTACTGGGGATAAGCTGCCATCGATGATAATGCTTTATCTCTTATTTAGTAGACACTTGAGAAACCATAGGTTGTGAATATTTCAAATACTCGCGAGAGTAGACAATACCATAAGAAATCATAATTTACTAGATTTAAACTAACTGAATAAAAGAAATTATATGCAATATGTATTGATGAAGGTTTTCAGGTAGCCGCAAGTTTTAAGCAGGCCATCAAAAACCCTAATCGACCAGCAACATGCAGGAACAAAAAAAGCAATTAAATCAGTAAAGCCGTCAATTTCACATATTTTTTGTTGTTGCTTACTCTCCATATTTACTTGGAATAGTAATTTCTATTGAATTACTTGTACCGTGTAACAAACCCTTGCTAGTTTGAGCAATCAATTCTGCAGCTCCAGCAGCCGGTTTTGTAACTACACCAACAAGTCCACGACCAAAACCACCAAGTGTAGATAATAAAAAGTTATAATTTCTTGATTGATCAACAACATCCAGAGAATTGAAAATGTCTAACGATGTTGATGATGACAACGATGAAGATGATTCAGGATTGTTTGGTTGATTATCGATCGTTTTGAAAATAGCCTGTAATGGTTGATCAGCTATTCCAGCTATAGCGCTAAGCAAGCATAGACCAAAACTGCTCAACCCCAATTGAATACCTTCACCAAATCCTTTCGGCGTACGATGTCTGCGTATATGATCTTGATGCTGTTCATAATGAGGATCCAAGGAGAGATAATCTAAATTTCTAGCTAAACTTGATGCCATTCCACTGATGGATAACAGTAAGCCACTGAAAATGCAAAAAGAGAAGATAATAGTTAGTCAGTTGTTGAAATATTAAAAGAAAACATGTTACAATTTGAAAGAAGACGATAACAAAAATGATTTCATATTTCTCCGAAACAAACAATCTAACGAAAGCAATTAAAGGGTACTTAATGAAACTTTAAATAGTATCCATGGCAATGTATAATCAGTAGGTGCTACTTTGTTTTGTTTTACTCCTTGGCCTTCCCATTGGAACATAGGGCTTCAAGATTTAGCTATGGAGTTTTATTAACAGTGATGTTTATGCTTTGCAGGGTGGAATCAGAAGCCTCACACGTCCAACTTTACCACCTTACCATGCTTACTACTACTGGCTGAACAAGATGACGAAGTGAGTCAGCCGGGAATCGAACACTGGACCATGTCGGTCGGTCGGTTTTCGACATAGAACTATGCACATATGTGCGGCAGTTCAAGTCGCCACACTCCATGTAGCACACAAAGAAAGAGAAGAAAGTAGGAGAAATGCATTATAGAGACAGTAAACAGAGGTGTGAGACAAAGGAATAGTTATAACGAAGGACAATATAGTTTCATTGGAAATCATAAGTCACAAGGAGTGGATGCATCTGCGCCACTGAGAACGATTTTGAGCCATATCACCAATTGTTTCCAACCATTGGTTTTTACCGTCCCGACGACCCCAACCAGTCAGGAAGTCTACACCTTCCTACGTGGCTTAGACTAACTGTTATGGATTTCATTGACTGGTGCCATGTTTTGGTTTGACCGCCGCTAGCTCTTTTCCAGCCTGACCCTATATCAGCTAACATTGCCCGTCGAGGAAGACGATGACTAGGCATACGTAGCACATGTCCTAACCATCTCAGTCGATGTAATTTCACAGTCTCGTCTATTGATTTACCCACCTTACCTAGCACTCGACGCCTAACCTCAATATTGCTCACCTTATTATACCACTTCACGCGCGAGATAGAACGCAGACACCTATGATCGAACACAGCTAATCTTTTCATGTCTTCTGCTCTCAATGGTCAGGTCTCACAGCCATAAAGGAGGACGGAGCGGACTGTTGAGCAGTACACACGCCCTTTGGTCGATAGTCGGATATCGCGTCTACGCTGGACCATGTGGATAAAGTTGGGGAGTATTTTACCACTGGAACACCGACGCATTTATATGTACTGTCGAAGGGAGCATGTAGAAAAGATTAACAACAATAACGCAGATGCATCCACTCCTTATGATTTATAACACCCAATAAAACTATATTGTTCTCCGATACTACTATTCTTTTTGCCTCATACCTCTGTTTACTGTCTCTATTTCACATTTCTTTTTACTTTCTTCTCTTACTTTGTGTGTTACATGGAGTGTGGCGACTTGAACTGCTGCACGTCAGTGCAAAGTTCTACGTTGAAACCAGTCAGTCAGTCAACAACAAGGAACTAGGGGAACGAACCAACCTACAATCCATCATCCAACAATATGCCGAAGAAAATGTACATGGACACCAGACAATGAATAGTGGGTTGAGTGACATCATGCGCCAGGCCCGCACTCGAGTATAATTTGAATGGGAAACAGAGACTTATGTGTGGGTCCGAGAGTGACATACTTGTGGTTGTGCGTGTGTGTGTGTATGTGAAGGAAATAAAACCTAGTGAGCAATCTAGGAGTCAGGTGAGAAAGACTGCAGAGAACAGCGTGAAATGGAGGTGTACTGCTGAAGCTTTATGTCCCACTAAGAACCCAAGGAAGTAATTATAGTGCCGTCGCTTAAACACCTGCATATGACGCTTTTCGAATAATCATCTCTGTGAACATAAACAACACTTCTGGTTTGTATGAAAAGGCAAACAGTTGTACAAAGTTATTTTATGCAAAAATCTCTTGAAAATGAATTGCCACAAACGGTTCCACATTGCCCCAAGGTGAGAATTTCTGTCAGTGCTATTATTTTGTACAATGAGATTACGATATTTCGCAGATTTCTAAAAATCTTTTCCAATTGGAACCCACTGAGCTTGAAGTACTTTGAAGTTTCAATAGCGTCAATGGTGTTGATTTTACCCCTAACTTTCCCTATCTTCTGAGCTTACTATCAACTAATAAATTAGGCGAGGTTTAGGAATGAGTTGTCCGGGAATCGAACCTGAACCTCCTGCTGACGTATAATTTGCATGTTAACCAGTATTATTATTAATATTATACGCAAGGTGATAAAATCAAACCTATTGTTAATATGCTTTTACAGATGTATAATAAAATAGTAAAGAAAAATAAAATCATATTACTGATTTACCCAGTTGTTCGGCGAGTAAGTGAACTAACTCCTTGATAGAGACGATACAGAAATCCAATATTTTGATTACTCTTCAGTGAAATATTAACACCAGTCATTGTTGTAATAGTCGGAGTCGGAGATATACCACTTTCTTGAGATACAAAGGCACTTGGATTAGATAACGTAATCATGGCTATTTTGCTCTCGTCTTCATCAGATTTCATCTCAGTCGAACGTAAATGTATCAAATCATTAAGACCATTAACCAGAGAATAGAGTAGACCAGTTACATTACCTAATAAATCTAAACTACCAACTAACCAACCAGAACGAAATAGCATTTGAGTAATATAATGCACTGTTAGCAAATATTTTAACGAACTCCAATATACCAATGAACCATGAACACTAGTTGAATTGCAAGACTGATCAACATCTGTTACATTGACAAGTTTAAATGCCGTGAAATTCAATGGAGCTGAATGACACGATAAATATAATCGAAACATTGCACGTAAACTTAATTTGATTCTAAATGCATCAATGACTAATTGTTTAACTAAAACACTACTTTCATTGATTATTTTTGGCGGTAAAATGGCATTTGAAACACCGCCCAGTGAAGATGTTTGATCAGTGTTCAATGGACACGATAAATCATAATATCTATCAAAAATGTATAGAAAATTATTAAATAATTCAAGAAAATCATAAATTAAAGAATCTTCTAAATAAACATCTAAATTAGGCGGATAAAAAAATAACGTAATAACAGGTGGAGAAGTTGATATGAATGAATTCAAACATTGTTGTTTATTCAATGTTACATTGAACTGACAAATAATTTTTGGTCTTTTCAATTTAACTGTTTGTAGAATTACCGGGAAATCATACAGATTAGTCCATGCATGACACCAATTATCTAACTGTAAATGTTGTAAGCTAATTTCAAAATTGTATTGTTTATTTACAAGGATAAGTGGCTGTTGTTGTTGTTGTTTATCATCAGCCGGAAGAATATTATTATTATTTGTTAAGCATGAATCTTTCATCAATACTGTAGCGCATAAATTCACTAGTGTAAAACGTAGGAATTCATCGTGTGGTGGTAGGATTTCATAGAATCCATGTTTTATACCCGTAAATGCTGATGACGTTGTTAGCGTAGACGATGATAAAGATGACATAGGCGATGTAGATGTTGAATTCTTCTTTTTCTTGTTAACATTCTTTTGATTTATTATTCTATTCTCAATGGTGAGTAAATGTAGACAAACTTTATTAATTATCAAATTGATTTTGTTGAAATATTTACACGAATTCAGTAGAGAAGTCGGCAGTATTGATGATGATGACGTGAATGTAGGATTGGTAATAGGCGCGTTTTTATTCATACAATTATCAAATAAGTGAACAATTAAACCAAAGGAGCTGTTATTCAATGAATAATACAAATGAATTGATAATTGATCATTAATGTGTTTCCGTGTCTGCCATAATCCATTCGGCAGTTTTAATGCACTATCAACAGAAGAAGAAGAAGAGTACAAATCTTTGAGATTTATACTAATTGGATCTTTCAAAGAACAACAACAACGACCAGTGTCGCTTGCATTGCTTTCTTCCTCCAAGTACAGTTTTAATTCCAGTGAGTTGAAATGAGATGGATCAAAAAAATTCAAGCTTAGATTTTCTGCAGTATTGTTACTACTATTATTATTATTATTTCGATTCACAGTATCAATATATAGTAAATCTAACAGAGACTGTGGCATAATTGATATTTGACGGTTCGGTTGGCATTTATACCGTAAGTCAGTGTCGACAAATGATGCTTTCAGTATTCTAGTCATTGAATCACTGAAAAGTCTTGTATCTGACTTTTTAGGCCTGCCAGGCGATGAAGATACTTTTGAGAAGGTTAACTCATCTAACAAGTCGACAGAGTATACAGATGAATGAGTATTATTGAAAAGGTGTATTGAAAAGGGATTTAGCGTTTGTAGAATTGAAGTTTTATTAATATGTATAACTATTTGACTTGTTGATACACATTCCATTGTACTGATGAGTAAAGTTGGACAGAAAGTGGAATTGTTAAATGAATAATCTGTAAATACGAAAAAAAAGAAAATGAAGTACAGTTAAACACTTATGAACAGAGACTTGTATAAAGATAATCTATTGAGGTGTAGATTGACTGCTTAGTAGGGGAGTGGGTGGGGGTAAACCAGTCCCATGCATCTAAACCTTTGTATTGGTACTGTCCCAATCCTGTCAGTAAATTTGGCAATGCAGTCAACAAGTTGGGGGTAACCAACCGTTGTGGTGATGTCAGATGGTTGGAAACTATCAGCAAGAAGCCGTCGACCTTAGAGGACGTTGAAGAAACTGATGTTCTTCCAACGTTGAGGACAAAAACGTCTTGCGGACAAGTACTAACAAGCACGAAACCTAGATCCAGGGCTTTTTGCCAACTGTTTCCAACTGTCGAACATAAACAATAAGCTGTATACAATCCTTATATGTATGTTACTTTGAAAATTTCCATTTTATTAAACATATCAAAATTTGCCAATCTCAAGAGCTCCTCCATAAAACAGTCTGGTGCGGCCGAAGATGGATGGACTTCGGTCTTCTCCTCGAAATGCTCTCATGTAGCTATACCTTCATAGCCTCTGTCAAGTAAGTCTTATTCACTGTCTTCATGCGACGGGGGTGTTCCTCACATAAGCGAAAAAGCTACCTACCTACCTACCTAGGGGAACTGGGGAACCCTGACTCCAAACCTGTGGTGTACATCGGCTCTAGAATCCGAGAGGATCGAAAGGTGTATGAACTTATTTTACTCACTGGAAACTACGAGAACGTAGCTCCTAACGTTGCTCCACTACCTTGTGGATTACACTTCAGATCAAGTTGCTCGCGGGTGGTCCCTTTAGACAACCATCCGCTTGAGTCTAGGCGTCCGAGCAGTATACCAGCTGTCCGACGAACTATGAGATTTTTTGTGGCGCATCTGTTGGAACCTATAATGCACCAAAGCTATTATATATATATCACAGTGAGACAATGTTATTTTCTGGATTAAGAAGTGTCCAGCACAATTTATTGTTCGTGCACATATCACTTGTAACCACAAAACTTCGAAACTTAATTCTTCTAGTACTCTTTCTTCCTTCTCAATTGTCAAAGGGGTAGTAGAATTTCCCAAGTGCCTGAGACAGATGTTGAACCATTCCTACTGCACGTAGTTTCGGTTGAATGGATAAATAAACCTTCAGTTATCGATGTCTTGTAAATCTCATCCAAACCAAAGACAATCACCTTGCTCGAGGGAGATGAAGCTCAAGGGTTTATATATATGACTTTCAGTCAATTGCTTTCCCATTTCGTCTACTTCAATTTGGGTAACTGGGTAATATTACCAACCCCCACCCCCCACGTAACATAATGTCATTTTTCCATTCGATATTTTGAGCTTCTCAAATAAGTATTATAAGTGACTGTTTCAAGAGAATCTTACATGAACAGAAAAAGAACACACCAAAGTATAAGTCTGTTTCATAATCTTTGGTTGACGCAGTGTGTGTGTGTGCTGAATTCGAACATTATCCAGTTCTTTGTGTTAGTTAGATGGAGTGTGAAAAAAAGAGAAAAATTACATGTTCCTGGTCAGCTGGTTGCCACAGTCCCTTGTTATCTATCCTTTCTGACAGGCCACTTGATCTTCAATATCGAGCGAAGAGGGCAGCTGTTGATGAAAGTTTCCAGTAGTCCGTTGAAAATGATTCCAGTGACATGCGCCCCAAGTCTTTGATCCACATAGAAGCACTGACTTAACATTAGTGTTGAGAGTTCGGATCTTGTTTCATATGCAAGTAGCGTATATTTTCACACTGATTTCAAAGATTTGTCTTGTTTTATATATCCTGGCTAGCTATGATATCCTCATCCGTGCCACCGGCAGCTGAGACGATATTACCCAGACATGGTAAGTGAAAGAGACGACTTCTGTAAGATTTCACCCAATGATGTTGATAGGTGCTTGCTGTTGTTGTTGTTGCTGGTTGGGTACCTTCATTTTCTCTCTCTTCTCTGTATCCACCTAAAGTCATTTATTTATTGCCTCTTCTGCCAGTTTGTTAGTTTTCGTCTATAGATCTTCAAGTTTGCAGTGACATTAGACAAAAATCATCCTCAAAGCCCAAATCTTCTAATCTTTGTGTCGGACCAATATATGATCGTCTCCTCACTCCCCACGGTTTGCTGGATGATCCAGTCCACAACAATCAGGAATATCATTGGTGATGGGAGGCAGCCTTGTCTTACTCTTATCTTCACTTCAAAGACCTATCTCAACCTACTGTTGTGTATGACTTTACATATGGCGTCATCACACAACTATTGAATGAAGTTGATACAGGTTTGTCACACGCCATAATATTGAAGTAGCCTTCAAATTACTTCACGGTCAACACTATCGAAATCCTTTTCAAAGTCTATCAAGCTGAAATAAGGAGTTGATTACTATTCTATGATCTGTTCGATGATTACAATGTGGTCCGCGAATGATTTGCTTTTCCTGTGTTCCAAGTGGTGGCTTGCATGCAGAGCACATTTTAAGCTCTCTAGACTGATCCACAACGGAAAACTCAGGAGTCAGACAAGGGTGCTTATTATCACCAATGATATTCCTAATTGTGGTGGACTGGATTATGCGTCAGACAGTGAGAAACGGGAAGACAGGGATATCCTGGACCGACGTGAAGAACCTAGAAGACCTGGATTTTGCGGATGACTTATGTTTGATGTCACACAAAATCGAAGACTTACAAGCGAAAACCGACAAACTGGTCGAAGAAGCAGCGAAAACAGGACTCCAGGTGAACATAGAAAAGACAGAGGTTATGAAAATAACCAACCAACAACAACAACAGCAGCAGCAACATACAGCGCCAATCACCATCAACGGAAGGGATTTGAAAGAGGTTACTTCATTCACTTATCCAGGGAGCATTGTCTCAACTACAGGAGAAACGGACGAGGATGTCAAATCAAGAATCGGGAAGGCGAGAAACACAATCATCAACCTGAAACCAATCTGGAAATCTTCGTCACTCAGCATCAACAACAAAATTCGTGCAGTTGAAGCCCTATTTTCCACTAGGAACCCAAGGGAACGATCATATTACAATAATAGACTGATGCAGCTTAACACTAAGCTCGTGGTGGGCAAAAGCATGATTCCGCGCCAGTTCTTGAGAAGGCTTAAGTAGTCCATGCAATCGGTACGCAACTTTCCTACTTTCCAAACCTTTTGCGATAGTATCCAAGCATTTAGTCATCACCTAAGTATGCAGAAAGATGTAGAACTCAGTTACCCAGAACAGCTAAGAACCTTATTTCAAATTTCCTGTTGATTAATTTCACTCAATTGAAATGTTAATGATTCGTCAGCTTAGTGGATAAAATTTTCATGTTTGAAAGGATGGACACTAAGTTTAAGTCTCATTGGGAACACCATCACTTCCTAGAGATGAATATACATACAAATGATGAGTCCCGAAATGGGATGAAACGCCAGTCCTGGACTCCACTGCTAGGCATTATCAATCAAATAATTAGGTGAAACTGTTCACAGTACAATAATATCTTTTCGAATTAACCTCTTATATAGGTGTATGTATACCAAATGACTAATTGACTTACCTTCTAAGCTGACAGGAATAGTTACCTGACAAAGATATATAGGTATTGAAGACTGTTCAGATAGATTAGTTGTATTGTAAGGGAATTTTGGAATTCTATGCAATGGGAATACTTGTGACCATTTTGATTGGACAACAGTTGACTTTATTGATATCTGCATACAGTATAGCAGTTCAATGTTTGACAATGACCTGTCAATATCACGCGAAAGTGTCCACCATAGAAGAGGTTTACAGGAGTTGTTACAGACTACTTCACTGGCGAACTCATTCAATTGTGATGCGGATATCTAAATATCAAAGAGAACAAAAAAACTGAATTTTGAGACAAAATTAGGCGGAAGAGATTATTTCGATAACTTCCCTATAAGATTCGACACTTAGTCAGAGAACATTGACAACATTCATGTTGTCTTCCCTTTTATTCCTTTACGTTCCGAGTGGAACATAGGGCTTCAAGCTAGACCTTTGAAGTTTCGGTAGCAGTGGTGTTTATTTTTACGAGGGTGGGGTTGCTAACCTCATGCCCAACCTTCCCTGTTTACCGGACTTACTACCGGCTTAGTGAGGTTTAGGAGTGCGTCGGCCGAAGATCGAATCCCGGATCACGTGTGTGGTTGGCAAGCGTCCTACCACCCCACTGAACCACTGATGGACAACATCCATGTTATTTCACGTAATATCCAATTGTTAAGGTGAATGGATTACAGTGCGCAGAAGAATGTGTAAGTGATAATATGCATAAAAGTGTAATAATAGATTGAATATCAGATAAATTTAGGAAGAAAATTTCTGCAACAATTGAATATAATTAAAGCAATAATAACTTGTAAAAGATTTAAAAAGAGGAAACCTTCAGACTTCTACATCTGCTTTTGACTATGTACCTAGGGGCCTTTATTAAATAAGCTTTCGTTGACGCAAACAGGATCCTGGGCTAAGAGTCGGTTGCATTCTTATTTTTCTGATAGAATGCAGTATACTGCATATAATGGCAAATCTTCTTCTGCCTCGCTTACAAAAGCCGGTGTTCCTCAAGGTGCCGTCCTCTCTCCTTTTCTTTTTTCTTTCTTCCTACACGACCTGCCTCATTTAAATAGAAACTAACTTTGTCAAATATGCTGATGATCTGACTGTATCACTGCCTATCACTTCAAAGTCTGACTGCTCCAAACTTAATAGCTTTCTGTTAGACATCAGCAAGTGGTCTAAGTCAAATGGTCTTATGTTAAATCCTTCCAAATGTCAGACAGTTAACTTTACTTTCAAGCATCGACGTGACATACATGAACTAGTTAGTTCCCATGATGCCTGTAGCATAGATGGCACAGAAATAGAAACCAAGTCAAGCATTGAATACCTTGGATTAGTTCTTTCCTCTGACCTTTCATGATCATCCCACATATCATCAATCTCTAAGAAAATGTTTCATCTTACCTTCTAAATTAAAAAGTTAAGACAATCAGGTATCAACCAACCTTTACTTCTGCAGTTTGTAAACTCCTGTATTTTACCTATTGTACTCTATCGCTCTCCATTAATCTTTCCTGGGATTCTCAAAAAAGACTATATCATATTACGAAGGGTATTAAATGCTGTGGTATGCCACTGCGTGAGCTCGCCAATGTTATAGTCGGGAGACACATAAAATCCTGTACAAAATGGACAAAGGTAGTACTGACAGATCCCCTGCACCCCCTTTTTTCACAACTATCCCCTTGCATCTCATCAGGTAGTACGAGAAGTCAATATAAGAAGTTATTTGATCGCACCACTAAGTACAATAATTCTACAATACCCTATTTAGCCCGTATTTTATGTGATGGAGACACTGTTAGACGTGAAACATAAATTACTATGTAATTTGCAAAGTGAATCGACCCTTTCATTGTTCATCTTTCTGTAATTTTGTGGTGTCACTCTTTCTATCATTTAATTATAACTTTGCTATTTTTATTTTAGTTGTTATTACTATTATTATTATAATTTTATAATTTATGCGTATTTTTCTCCATATCTTATACTGTAATTGCTACATAGCTGCTATAAAAACGTTTTGTTATCATTATTATGTATTAATTATTTCGTTTATTTATTTTTTGTTGTTGTCGTTTTTGAGTAAATTAGATGCAATATTGTACTGAATGCTGAAAATTCCTTGCTGTATCATTAGGAATAAAGCAAAAATGATTATTATTATTATTGATGACCAAGGTAAGGAAAGTTGGCTGTATGAATTTCTTTTGAACACATAAGTTTGGCTTTTTCAGGTGGATTCTCCAATGGCTTCATGCAGAACTCATAAAGTAAAATTAAGATTAGTCATAGTATGATGGCTAAATTTAAATGCCTTGTAATAAACCAACTTTATGCTTAGTACTTACAAGGTGAGCTAAACCAGTGCTGAGAATGAACCTTGTTTACCCCTTGCTTAACCACTACGCAGGTTGGTGTTCAGAAATCCGATGATGACCAGGCGTAATTGTCCTGCCAATGTAACTAGTTCCACAGGAATTCGATATTATTTTAGAAACACAAATGTTGTCACTAACAAAAGCAACTGTTATGCATGTATAGCCATAAAACCTCACGAAGAAGTCACTGGAGAGAATACTTCCTGGTTTTCAGTGGCTCTCTAAATGAAGTCGATTTGGAAGCAAACATGAAACCAAGCAAATCCCTGCAAACTAACACTTGAAAATTGGTCTAGTACTTACTTAATTACTAGTGGCTGACTACAGGATCAAGTCGCCTGGAGTTCTAGTGATGATTCCTAACCAGTGTGGTTTGCCAAATCGGGTGTGAGGACAAATACTCACCAATGACTTCGGTTGTCGGTCTCATCATGAAAATAAGCAAGCACACGTATCAAAGGCACTTAAAGAAGTATTCATTGCTTTGTTACTTTCAAAAAGAGAGGAAAGGATGAAACTGCAGTCTGTTCAGCACTGATTACCGTTGTCAGCCGAATCTAATAACGCCTTGAGCTATTTGATTACGATTATTTGTCAGATCCCCCGCCTAAGGAGTCGTGATATGTTGATAGATGCTAACACAATACGACTATTTTTCATCCCACGGCGACATATCACAGCTGACCACTCCACCCATTTCTCAACAGTGAAGAGTACATGCGCCTTTGGGAAGACATTTGTAGTGCACATACCCAAGAAACTGATTACGCTATCCTCTCAAAATAAACCATTCTGATAAGGACAGTTTAAGGATGTCCAAAGACTCGAGCCTAAAAGCCATCGTTACAAAATAAACCAAAACGAAGATGACTAAGTGACTGACTAAGTTTCAACGTAGAACTTTGCACAGAAGTACAACTTGGTAAGTTGCCACGCTGCATGTAGCACACAAGATAGAGAAAAGTCAGAAAAAAGAGAATAAGAAGAACAATGAACAGAAATGTGCAGCAGTAAGAATAAAATTGCATAGGAAAACATGAGGATTTAATGGATCTGTGTGATTACAAAATATGAATACATCTGCACCATTCATGGATAACAATTTTGAGTCACATTGTAGTGGTGTGATACAGACAATGTGTGCCAAAGGAATATTTTTCGCACATATTCCCACAGTTCAATACCGCATTGACAACAGAATACTATGTATATATAGCGGTTTGATTAGTTGAAAATATACCTTTCCTTTCGAGAAACACATTCATCAACCTGAAACCAATCTGGAAATCTTCGTCACTCAGCCTGCATCAACAACAAAATTCGGATTTTCAATACAAACGTCAAGTCAGTCAGTTCTTCTATACGGATCAGAAACTTGACGGGTCACCAAGAATATTTCCAACAGCCTGTTGCAGACCTTTATCAACAACTATCTTCGCTCTATACTCAAGATCAGATGGCCGGAATGAATCACCAACAAGAAACTATGGGAACAAACAAAACAAGAACCAATCGCCCAACAAATATGCAAGAGAAAGTGGAGATGGATTGGACACTCGCTGAGAAGACCACTGGGTGACATCGCGCGTCAGGCCAGTGCTCGAGTGGAACCCGAAGGGGAAGCGGAGAGTGGGACGTCCAAGGGTGACATGGAGATCGTGTGAAGAGGAGTTCAAACAGTATGGACTAACATGGATGCAGGTGAAAAGTACAGCACAAGACAGAAGCAAGTGGAAGCGTGCAGTTGAAGCCCTATGTTCCACTAGGAACCCAAGGGAACAATAATAATAATAATTCGTGTCTTGCCTTCTTCTCTTACAATATCGCCAACAGTTTCAAGAGTCCTGAGGACTCCAACGAGCCAGGGTGGTAGTAATCTACTCCTTGTTTTACATTAAAAAAAATATTTTTATTCCTTTATATTCCTAGGGCAGTGGTGATTATTTTTACAGGATGGGGTTGCTAGCCTCATATCCGACCTTCCCTATTTACCAGTCTTATTAATGGCTTAGCGAAGTAAAGGAGTGCGTCTGTGGCCGGGGATTGAACTCCGGACCACATGAGGCGTGGTTGGTGAGCATTCTACCGCTGTGCCACCAACGCAAGAACATTATTATTGTTTTTACATGGTTACCCCTCAAATCAAAACAGTCAAAAACTTCATTTGATCACCTCTAACTCTTTTCCAATCGAATCCACTGTCAGTTAGCATTCCCTCATCCAGGAGGAAGGCAGTCAGTGGCTTGGCATGCTCAATAATACAAAGTCATCAAATGAAAGTTATATAAATATATAATAATAATATTTTAAAAAACGTGTAATAACTTACAGGAGTACTTGATAGACTCCTATTAACTTTTGTAGTATTTTCTTGTTGTTGCTGTAATTCTTCTCCTAATGGAATAACAATTGGTCTTATACACAGAGTATTCAAATTATACCCCCACGCGTCATTGTATATACTAGGATTAATATGAAATCTTGGTTCAATAGTTACAATGAAATTATTGTTAGTAGTAGTATGCGTATTTATTTCATTTAATTTATTTTCTTCATTCATATTATAATTATTATATTGTATAGAAATAAGTAAGCATAAGATTCTATTGTCTATTAATAAATTAATATATGTTGTAGGCATATTTGGTAATGATAGTGTTTTCAGTTTATTATTCCATACAAATGAACTTAAACTGTAGTCAACTTTATTGTTTAATACACAGGATTGATTTACTGGTGGTAATTGAATTGATATTATCTCAGACCAATATTCTTTATTGTTATATGTAATACCCAATTGGAAATAATGCTGTGAAAAGAAACAATATAAAGGAAATAAACAAAAATGTATATGAATCCGAGGGGGGGGGGGGATGATGATGATGTTTTTCGAGTTCGACCACGGATTGATATCAGGATGAAACGACTGGCTGTGCAGTACTCCCTGGTTTTCAACGGTTCTCTGACTGACATAAATCCATGGTCAAACTGATATAAACAAATCTAAACCTTACAAATGAAACTCTTGAAAATTAATCTGATGCTCGCTAGTGACTTGCTACAGGACAGAGAGTTTCCTGGAGTGAGTTCTAGTGAGAAGTCGTGACCAGTGAGATCCATTCAGTCAAGTGTGAGGATAGATTTCTCCCCGATGACATTGGTTGGTGCTAGTCGCGCTAAATCACGAATTGGTAGAAGTTAGAATTCATGGGCTGGCTGGCCATTGAATCGGGTCCCAGTGGCTGAATGGTATACGAACTAGCTTACCAAGTAACCGGAAGGTCCTGGGTTCGAAGCCTGGCAGTGGGTGCGTACTGGCGATGATCCCCAAACTAGGATGAAACAGCTGGCTGTCCAGTACTCCCTGGTTTTCAATCCGTTGTCAAACTTGAAAAATATATAGAAATTAAAACGCACAAGACCCAGTAACTACAGGTAATTAGTTAGAGTTAAAATTTAGGATGTGATAAAGCGAACAAACTATACATTATTCAGTAGGTGAAAATGTGGTTCATTAGCTTAAGAACTTGACTTTTATCAACCAATTGGTCCCGGGATTCGAATCATCCTCAAGCTTTGGCGGCTGCTACTGACAAGTGTATTGTGTGTGTGTGTGTGTCATGTCTTCTGCTAGAATGTTGAATAACGAAGGGATAAAATAAATGGTGAGAAGAAGAAATGAAAAATCCCTATGAAACCGCATAGATAACATGAAAGGTAGACATTGTGGAGAACATCCAGAAATGGACATTTTAATGTAAGGTATATGCATTTCGCCCGCATCTGTAGAATAATTTGTTAATAAGCGATTCTGCTATCAAATACTACCGTGTTCTGAGGTTACCTTTGGTGTTGCTGCCAACGAATAAATGAAGGGCCTATGGTCTGCAGCTTTTGGACAGGGAGATATGAAGGGTTTTTTAAAAAATTTCGAAGGCACTGCTGAATTGATGGATGTCAACAAACTGATGGGAAAAACAGTTGTGCTCGAGACGCTACTAAGAGACCTGGAAAAGGGGGCTTACGGTAGCGCTGAGTGTGCGGGGGCGGGGCGGGAGGAGAACTAGATGTTATTGGTAGAAAAAATGTTAGAGGAGTGCGACAGCCTAATGGACAAAGAGTAGGCAGTGCAGCAGCCCGTACCACGAAGCTGGAATCATGTAGAGATCCACTGAAGCTAACAAATCTACTTCATCGTGCAAATCCCACGGTTAATGAAGTGTTCAGTACACAGTTTTTGGTATTCTAAATTTTCGAAAGTGTTCCAGAACATATTTCGCAACAACTAAAACTGATTAACGTCAAACAACCCATGAACATTGGTAAGCTGGCAAAGATAACCAGACAACTATTGAGCACAACTGTAGCCCCAATAGAGCCACCAAACATTAACCGATGGAAAGAATAAATAAGAGATTTGTAGAGGAAGTAGTGGCGCTACGAACAAACATCAGGAGAGGTCAGTGTTTGGATGTGGTAAACACGAGGGACTGGAGGAAATACTACCCGGACGGACAAAAACGAAACAATTACAAACAATATAATGTGTGTTCTTTCTGTAAGATTAGACTAGAAGTGGTAGGGGCGATGAAGAGAGGTGTAATGTATTCTAGTTTACAAGTTGATCGTGGGCATGTCAGACTGCATCGTTCACATTGGGGATCACAGAGTAACCTTTCCGTTTATTGTTGTGTCTCAGTTAGAGCAAACAGAACTTCGGCTGTTTTCTGTACAGTGATTAAAACGAGGAAAAAGGACTGTATGGATCGATCAGATTGAGTGAGAATAACAAGATAGTAAGGGTAGAAGCATCGGAAGCACCTAATATATAAATGTTAGGGAAAACAAGCATTGATTCACTGGAGATGGAGACCTTAACGATTACTGTGACAAAGTGAGCCATGGAATCCCAGTGACAGGTCAAAAATTGACAATATTTACAACTCGAAGAGTTCCGTGTCATTTTGAAGGAGAAGCTGAGCAACAAGTTCAGGAGATTATACTACTGAAGAAGCTGACAGCCAACATACGTCTCCAGTGCTTTTAGTGAGAAAAAGTCAATGGGAAGTACAAATTTTGTATTAATTCCCGAGAGCTAAACGGCACACAACAGAATTAAGACCCTGTGCCACTCCAACTGTAGAAGAAACCATGGATCACCTACAAAATGCGAAATTGTTTACAATTCTAGACTTTTGATCAGAATATTGGCAAACACCAATAAAACAAGGCGATAAAGATAAGACGGTGTTCATTATGCGGTAAGAACAATATCAGTTTAAACGTATGCCGTTTGGATTAGCAGATCAGATGATTAATCAAATTGGCATTTAAAAACCTTAAAGAATGTGGGAGTGTACAGTGACAACCCCTAGTCACATAAAGTAAGAAACAAAGTGACCATGTGCAGCAATACATCTCCATTCATTAAATCATCCTGCTTTATCAGCCAACCTTTGTTGCTTGTTATATAAAACAGTTAGTTATCCAGAAAGTTCTGAAAATTATTACTAACACAAATATATTCAGTTAAGCATCGTTTCACTTTTAGAATGAATGAATGAATGAATGAAACACACAACTTACTTGATTCTGAGCTAAGGCAACTGATTCGCTAGCGTTTAATGAAATAACTCGTTTCATTGTAGTAGTAGCCACAGCAGCAGCAGCAGAAGAAGAGGAAGAAGTCGAAGATGACGGCATATCACTTTTCATAGACGGTAATTTCAAGTGTAAATCAATACCTGTACGATTGATTAGCAATAATTGTGAGTTTAATACAAGTCGTAGACTATACTGTAAATTGCTTGATTCATTTAACTTCATTGTATAACTGCTACCACTACTACTATCACTGTAACTACTACTGTGCAAGTTATTTAAGTAGTCATTATGCATAAAATGTAATTTCGGTATTAAACCCAGCGTAGATATAACTGGTAATGAAGTGTTTTGCTGTATAGACTTCGAGATGAGATTTTCATTTGACGATGCAGTTGAATTAGAGTTAACAGTACAATTTAAATATGTAGTAGCCAATTTCTTTAGAATTTCTTGACCAGATAATCGAATTGGATGTGAGAAGATAGGTTCACCATCACTAATGAAAAAACAAACAAAAAAACAGAAATAGCACATATATTCATTGACTCTTCAGCATATCTATCTATGTACTACTATTATATTCTTTCGTAATATATATAATGTAAGCAACAGAACCTAAACGTCGGTAGCACAGCGGTAGAGTGCTCGCCGACCACGCCTCATGTGGTTCGGGGGTCGATCCCCGGCCACAGACGCACTTCTTTAGCTCACTAAGCCAGTGACTTTACCTCGCTAAGCTAGTATTAAGACTGGTAAAGAGGAAAGGTTGGACATAAGGCTAGCAACCCCTCATGCAAAAAAAATCACCACTGCTACAGAAACTTCAAGCCTCTATAGCTTGAAGCCCTATGTTCCACTGGGAACGTAAAGGAATGCAAAAAAAGAACCTGAACACTGTAGAGCAGAGTAGAATTCCAGGTTAGTCTGTTTATGCTATGAGGTATACGCTGATACAGTATTGTATTTTTGGGACGATTCTGGGACAACCGTAAAAGCCTCGGAAGGTGATTTTGGAAACTTTAGGGGTTAGAGTTAAGGTTTTTATTGCATTAACTTGCTTTGAAATTCATCTTTTAGCTCAGTATTATTTACGGGATGACGTTAAGCAAACAATTTATTCTTTATAATCATATAAAAGTAAACTAAACATACTACTTATTCAATACGGTATTTCAACTGACCCAGCCTTCTGAGTTGAGTCAAGTTGAGTACACTGATGATGAACTGGATCGCAAACGAGCAAAACCGCTGTCAGGTGTTTAGATCACTTTGATCCATTAAGTTGTCATATTTCTCCATATTACCATTCTTTCTAATGTACATTTCTATTCAATTTCATCATAGATGTACTAATGGACTTAACCCTAACTCACTTCAGAGACTCAGGGATTGACTTGTTACCAGGGAATAATCTCGTTGACTTAGAATATGCAGATGATATAGTCCTTCTAGGTGAAGACGCTGACAAAATCCAGTCTTCTCAACACCTTGACAGGAACCAATCTTCCACTATTTCTCATGCGATTCGCTCCTGTCAAATGTAAGATGATGTTACTGGACTGGACTAAATCGACTCCTAGCGTAGAAATAGGGAGTGAAGTGGTGGAGCGTGTTGACTACTTCAATTATTTAGGAAGTTTCATCCACCAACGCCACAGGGTTGATCGCTGACGAAATCTCACCACGGATACAGAAGGCTCGTTACGCATATGCCGGTTTACGCCATCTCTGGCTCAGTAGACGTGATATCCGGTTGACTGTCAACCAAACGGCATGTGTACTGCCCAGCGGTCCGCTCTGTCCTCCTTTATGAATGGCTGTGAGACATAGCCATTGAAAGTGGAGGACATGAAAAGGCTAGCTGTCTTTGATCATAGGTGCTTGCGTTTCATCTCCCGTGTGAAGTAGTATAATAGGGTGAGCATAATTGAGTGCTAGGTAAGGAGGGGAAATAAATCGACGAAGCTGTGAAGTTACATTCACTGAGATGGTTAGGACATGTGTTACACATGCATGCCTAGCCATCGCCTTTCTCGATGGGCAATGTTAGCTGACATAGGATGAAGTAGATTGGAAAGGAGCTAGTGGTGGTCAAACCAAAATACGGCTTCATCAGTCAATGAAATCCACAACAGTTAGTTTGAGCCAGCCAGTCACGTAGAGGGGTGCAGACTTCCTGGTTGGAGTCCTCGGGACGGTGAACACCAATGGCTGCCGAAGATCGGTAATATGGCTCAAAATCGTTCTCAATGGCTAGCGCAGATGCATCCATTACTTGTGACTTATAATTTCCAATGAAACTATATGATTCTTCGATATTACTATTCTTTCGTTAAACCAACTGGTTAACACTACTGTGGATAGACATATAATGTCATGTAAGAAACTAGCGAATTCTATATTGTCAGACCCCAAACACCCTCTCCATACGCAGCTCTCTCCTTGCATTTCATCTGGTAGAACTAGAAGCAACTATAGGAAGCTATATGCCAGGACTACCAAGTACAAAAACTCCACAATACCTTATCTGGCACAGCTGTTATGTGATGAGAAAACTGTTAGGCACGACACGATCAACTTACTGCGGCACTCTAACAAATAGTTCCCATTAGCTTTTGTTCTCCTTTCTTTATTACTATTATATTGTTGCTCATATATTCTATTACAGACTAATTTTATATATCATATCCTGTGATGCATTGTTTAAATATGTGAATGCAATGCTGTTCTTTTTTATTTCTTTTATTTCTCTTTTTTCTTTTGTTGTTGTTGCTTTATATTTTTAAATCCTTATAAAATTTATGAGGTAATTAGATGCAATATTGTAATGAACGCTGAAAATTCCATACCTGTACCACAAATACTATTTGGAATAAAGCCATTATTATTATTATATCTCTGTTTACTGTCTCGATTTTGCATTCCATTTTACTTTCTTCTTTTGCTTTGTGTACTACATGGAGTATGGCGGCTTGAACTGCTGTACATCAGTGCAAAGTTCTATGTTGAAAACATACAGGGAGACATTTCTGTCCTATATATTTCTTTAGAATTTACAGATTGTTTCAACCTTTATCGGCTATATGAAGTGTGGCAGCTTGAATTACGTGTTATGCTGGAACTCAATTAAACTTTTTTTCTCCAGACGTACATGAAAAATTATTAAAAGCATAACAAACTTTAACAAAAGAATAACAATAAATGCAGGGGGATGATTATACAAGCTCTGTACTTTGTGGGTCGACGCTTCCTAACCCTTATCCTCACAATGAAGATTTAAGATATCTGGCTTACCGTTGAATCCGTATTCGCCAGCAGTACTACTCCACTCTCAGATCCCTAACATAATGTAACGGACTCATATTAAAGTAGCAACTACTTTTATTCTAACCACTGTTCAAAATGAAGTTTCTAGCTTCATGAAACCTGCAGCACCATTCGTCCCAGCCAGTGTAGGTAGTCAAGATCTAAGCAGCTCAACTATCATTTCAGCGAAGCAGCTATCAATCACAGAGTGAATGACCAAACTAAGTATTTACAGTTGCTATCGGTAACTTGTTGTAAGTATTTGGAAGGTATTTGTGAAATAATACACATTTCCCGAGCTTATATTATCCTGCCACATTTCATTGTTCCCACTTTACACAACTTACTGAATGGAAACAGTTGTATGAATGAAATGACTGGAAACAACATGTCGCCAAATTTGTTATAATTGTCGACATTTTAAAACTGGGACTTAGAGGTGCACAATCGACAACCAAATACAACTGTTCTCCCCAAAATATTATTTTTGGATCGAAGCAAAATTCAGAAAATAGGATGGGTCTTTCGTAGGCAGAAAAATACGCCACATATATCCCTTACCAATAACGAATGCGATTGGTTGGATAATGTCGGTCACTAAAAGACTATCGAAAATCTTCTACCTTAACACGCATTGGTTTCAAATGTCCATGGTTTTAGCCTGCAAACTATATTTAAGATTTGACAAATTTACGGGGAATTAAAACAAGAATCGGATTAACACAGGAATAAATTTCTTACGGTAATGTGCCTGTCAAAAGTAAGTCATAATGATATACAAGTCGAATAGGTTTGGCCAATGTGTACGGATATCGACTAAACCGGTTGGATGTATAACAGTCATGATGTAAAGATGTTGAATCGTCCGAGTTTTGATGATTATAAAATGCAGCCGGTGGAATCATTTCATATGTTAATGAATTTGAATTTATTGTCTGTTGAGGACTAATTGCTTTACTTTCTAATTTCAAAGGGATCGGCATACAATTCATAATCTCTAATAATGGAGATATCGTAACCTAAAGAGAAGGAATATAAAAAGATAAAATTGTGATGTGGTTGAAGTATGAAATAACAAGGTGAGTAAACAAAAAGAACATTTATCGTCTTTTCTCTTGTTTTTTTTCTGTTCTGAGGCCAAGGTAAAAAGAAGGCGTTTACATTATGCTGTAACGACAGAAGACAAGGGCCAGGCAACAGATCGTTTGTTGAGGAAATCAAGAGATATTTATCCCTCTTTTGTGACCTTGACCTGTCACAATTTTTTAGATTTTTATGTACATTATTATACGTTATTATTAGCAGAGAAACAGCGTCTTCTGATTGGTTGTTTTCTCGCTTTAAGTTAATCTGTCATCTCTTTGTGGCCGTTTATTTGAAGGTCAGACCACATATCTGTGAATCGTATCCGCCCACGCAAAGTCTGCTGTGATTGGTTGTTGAGTTAGTTTTTGTTCTTGTATTTTTCTCATGACCAAGATTTGGAACGTAAACATTGACGTAAATTGCTGTCTACCAATTTTGGCTAGCAGACAGCTCTCACCACAATACTTCTACTGTTTATGAAGGTACGGACGGGTTCAGTTCATGAATAGCCAAAGTCGCCACTATCCAATCCAATACAGTCTAAAACATGACAGTTTATGTATTCTGACAAAGCCCAAGCACAAGAGAAGTTTAATTCATTGAGTGTACAGTCCTTTATCCGTTCACTTGGTTAGGAAAGAGACACTTTGAATCTATTTATTAAAGGTAAGTGTAATTTTTACGTTTCATTCCTTTGCGTTTCGAGTGGAGCATAGAGCTTCAAGCTTGAGTTTTGAAGTTTCAGTAGTAGTGGGTGCTGTTATTAAGGTCACGCTCAACCTTCCCTCTTTACCAGACTTACTACAGGCTACCAAATTAAGTGAGGTTTGGGAGTGAGTCGAATCGGGAACGTGGATGCGTTCTTCAAACATTGAACCGCCAATGCAGTAGTTGAATGGTCGACGGGTTAGCCTATTAACCTAAAGGTCCTAGGGTTCTGTTCGCACTGGCGGAATGCATGCGTACTGCTGATAAGTCATCTAATCCAGATGTGTCAGTCATGAATATTCATGACTACATTACACAGAAAGGACTTAAACAAGATTATCTCTAATGTATTCAAACTAGGAGAACTGTTGTATATTTAATTCCATTCATATATGTTTAAGACAATAAAATTTATCTCGACAGCAAATATGCAGAAAGAAGCAGGCATAAGTTTCTATCATATTTATATAACAGGTTTAATTGATCTTCTCAGTCGTGTGGTAACTTATCTATTGAGTGCGGTTCGAACAGAATAATAACTTAAATGTATCAAATTCAGTCATTATTACTTACAAACCAATAGGAAAATTGACTACAAATGGTTTGCCTATACAGTTTTCCAGAAGGCAGTAGTGATAAAGAACATTTATAACTCATCAGGTGGATGATTTCTGTGCTGCCGAAATTCCATGAGATGTGTTGTTTTGACTGTGATTCTTTTATTGTCTTTCTAGGCAACATTTTCACAGCTAACCTCGAGATGAAGTCTAACAATTAGATATGATTCCTTCCTAGGTTTTCCTTTTTGAAAAGGCCGATGACCTGTTGGCATTTCTGAATCACTAGTGTTTCTACATATCTTCGGTTAATTTCCATCCATTTGGCCGGTTAATCGATATTATATGTCTGAAACTGCTTATTAGGATTTGGTAGATTTCCAACTCCAAAACAGCGTTGAGAATGTTGTCCATAAAAGACAATGAAAGCTGCACAATCGAACCATTTAGCAGAGAAAACGCTATTTTATTCTGTTGCATTCCAGGTGGAATATAGAGCTTCAAGGTTGGGCTGTGAGGTTTCATTATGGGTGGTGTCGTTTGCCTCACACCCAACCTTCCCTCTTCACCCGAGTTACCACCGGTTAGTCGCGGTTTAAGTGTATACCGGCTGGGAATCGAACCTTGACAACAACATAAATGGTCCACCGACAAACATTACAACACTAAGATAGATAACTGGAAACACCATAAAGGCATCAGTGTACGAAATAACTTACTATACAAATTGGTGGAGTGATAAAACTGATAGCATAATATTCAACAGTAAGAATTGCATAAAATGAAAATAGATTTGTCAGGCAGTTGATTTCATCTTGGTAGAAAAGCTGAAAATGTTGTAAAAAGAAGACGGGTGAAAACAACAAAAATAGGGGAAAATCTAGATATGTACATCAAGTAATCAGATATTCAATAAAACTATAATCGTTTATTTAGTAGGTGTTATTATTCCTTGTATTATAGTACAGCGGATATAGAACAACACAAACCGTATAGAATCCTCAAATCGACTATCAAAATATGATTGTGAGTCTACTGGACTCATGGCTGCATTGTGAATCGACTGATAAAATTCAGTCTGTCTGTCTGTTTTCAACATAGAACTTCGCACAAATGTGCAGCAGCGTTCAATTCGCCACACTCCATGTAGCACACAAAGCAACAGAAGAAAGTAAAAGAAATGCGAAATAGAGACAGTAGACAGGGATATGAGACAAAAGTAATAGGAAGATCGAAAACCAATATAGTTTCATTGGATATTATAAGTCACAAGGAGTGGATGCATCTGCGCTAGCCATTGAAAACGATTTTGAGCCATATCACCAATTGTCTCCAGCCTCATTGGTTTTGGCCGTCGCGAGGAACCCAACCAGCCATCAAGTCTTCACCTTCCTACCTGGCTTAAACTAACTGTTGTGGATTTCATTGGCTGATGAAGCCATGTTTTCGTTTGACCACCACTAGCTCTTTTCCAGCCTGCTCCATCACATGTCAGCTAACATTGCCCATCGAGGAAGGCGATGGCTAGGCATGCGCAATACATGTCCTAACCATCTCAATCGACGTAACTTCAAAGCCTCGTCGATTGATTTCCCCTCCTTACCTAGCATTCAACCAATGCCTAACCTCAATAGTTCTCACACTATTATACCACTTCACACGGGAGATTCAGTTAGTACCAGCACTACGGATGGGATGCGTGAGAGTGATTCCATCTGAGTCACTAATAAATAGAAATCTAGGTGTACGGCGTTTAACTACTTGAATACTGTGGTCCTTTTCTAAACTGTACCGTAGAGTCGTATTTTTTTGGCTGAGTGACCACACTCCACTCCTGTTTGATAAACTTCAATCAAAACTTAGGATAAGACAGTTACAGTACTTACCATTCACACACCAATTCGCATACGTGTTATTGTCATTTGCTTTCATATTATTGCTTACTAAAGAGTTTCTACAATGTTTCATAGACGTATTCATTCAAAACTTATGAACAACAATGAAATCAATTGTCTCGAGTTTTACAATGTCCCAAAAAGGAGCTATTCAGTTGTCAGGTAAGCTTTAAAAGAAGCTGTTAATGTATACAGAAGCAACTACTAAGACAATAATTATTGAATTGAACCATTCAGTTCTTCAATTTGGATTACGAAGTCACTTCAGTGAAAGAATCATTAATAATCACAGAGTGCTAGATAGATGTTTCGTTCTTGTTTGGGAGTCTTCAGGATCACGAACCAATGGCCTTACTAGGGATCGAACACAGAATCTTCAGGTTACAAGGCGAACTCGTATACCATTCAGCCACTGGAACCGAGTTCAATGGCCCATCAATTCTAACGTCTGTCATTTCGAGATACGAAACTCAAACGCCAGCCAGTGTCATAAGCTAGTACTTGTACTCACGTCTAACTGGTGACAACTTTTCACTAGAACTTCAGGCAACTTTATTCTGTAGGCAGTCACTAATGAGAACCAGATTATTCTAGTGCTGAATGGTCAACAAGCTTGCCTTGGATGCATACCGATGAAGAGTCTGAAACTAGGGCGAAAGAACTGTCGAATACTCACTGGTTTTCGATGTATCAATCGAATACCTGCAAATCAGTACTTGAAAATTAATCGAGTGCTCACTTATGACTGACAACAGGATGAATTAGCCTAAACTTCTAGTGAGGTGTCGGGATCAACTGGGTGTGAGGACAGATGCTCGACGATGACATCGACTGGCAACTGCGCCAAATATCACAAATTGGAAGAGGTTAACATTCATGAGCTATTGGATTCTGACCAAGTGGTTGTATGATTAACAGGTTCGCCTCGCCATCTGAAAGTTCTGGTTTCGACCGCTAGTAGGGTCATGGGTGAAAACTGCTTAAGAGGTTCTAAACTAGGATGAAACAGATATCCAGTACCCCTTACTGGTTTACAGTGGTTCTCTATATGATGTCAGTTTCTGATCAAATTAGAAACAAAGCTGTTAGGACAGAGTGAAAAATATGATAAGTCATTGTTTTCCCAGTGACCTGCAGACCAGACATTTGACCCTAACATAGATTAGAGGTTACGTCATTGGATTCTCTATTGGGTACACGCTATCCAATCAGATCATAGTCTCCATATCTTAAGTTAGTAATGTATTGGTTGTGTAAATTAACTACATAAATAGTTGTAATTTCTAATGTTGTCTCAGTGTAAGTAACGCAGTTAAGTAGTTAGTCGTATTCATGGCAAGCCGGTACTTTGATGGGGTTCAAGGGACCTGTCGCGCGTGTATCACCAAACGCACTTTCAACGGCCTGCTGCAGACTTTTACCACAACGGCTGTCTTCGCTTCATACTGAAGATCAGATGGAGGGCCAGAAAGGATTAGCAACGCAACAAGGAAGTCTAGCAGCGCAACAACGTGAAACCTATCCCCCCCCCAACGGAAATACAGAACGAATTGAAGATCAAGTGGTTACACGCAGAGGAGAAAGTTGAATGGTATCGCCAAACCGGAGCCTTAATGAAGCCCGATTGGGTGTGGGTGCAACGACGATATGGAGAAGATCCTTTCAGGAGGGGATTATAACTTATAGGCAATCATATAACTAGCTAATATCGTTGAGCATTGAAGTAATTACCTTCGAGCATAACAAAATTAGACAACTTACTTGAATATATGTTCTATGACTTGTTTCTGTTTGTGAATTCAATTGGCCAGCTGTTGGCATTTTAAATATTAACTGTTCTGACCAAAAATCGTTTTGTTTTACTTCATCTTTAGAGGTGACATTACTGTTCACCTTGAAAGCCATGTGTAAGTCACAACTGACAGTTTTATGACCAGAATTACTGTTTGTATATGTTGAAATGAATTCAGTAGTAGCTGGAGAAGTTGAAATATTAATGAATTGTGTTGGGGACAACACTGTATTCCTATGAATAATTTCATTTTGATTTGATTTTTTAGATTTTTCAACAGGAATATTATTATTATTATTACTAGTTGAAGTATTCAGTGTACAAGTTAACTGAACTGGCAACAGATTTCGCAGAATCACATTCGAGTGTAGTATTATCTTTATACAATAGAAAAGAAAATAAGGATAATAAAATCTGCAATATTTAGAAGAATATATAGAAGAATTTCATCATGAGCTGATATCAGTTAGAGAACCACTGGAAAACCTGCAGGGAGTACTGGACATCTGTTTCGTCCCAGTTTGGGACTCTTCATCAGTACGCACCCACCGAGGTTCGAACCCAGGACCAGGCATACTGCGTACTGATGAAGAGTCCCAAACTAGGACGAAACAGCTGTCCAGTACTCCCTGCAGGTTTTCCAGTGGTTCTCTAACTGATGTCAGCTCATGATGAAATCCTCCATCGAATCAAACTAAATCCCTACAAAACCAATACTTGAATATATAGAAGACAAAAAAAAACATTGAACGAAGAATATTCTTACTGATAACTTCCTCATCACGTCCTATAGTTATATACACATAATAGTTAAGAACAAAAGATTACAGTTTGACTGCACCTATGGAGCTAGATTTCATCAGGAGTACGATTAAGCATTTTTATCATTAAGACCTCTGAACATCATCTTGAATATATTGGTTAAGCAAGGGACGAACGAGGTCTATTCGTAGCTCCGTTTTAAATCAGCTTTTAGTTGATGAAAATGAAGTTGATGTTAACAAGGAATTTCGCGGTTATCTGTCGTACTCCGATTGATCCTAATTTCTCCTTACGACTTCGGCTTCTACACATAGCTTTGAAATTATCGGAATTCATCTGAAGAAGCAAAACTTATATGTTTCGAAACATTTCCTTATCATTACTTGATTGTAATAATCTAGCAACTTCTCCTTCGCTAAATGCGCTTTCTACAAGTTGTTATTGTTTTAACTATTTTATTATTATGCCTCTTAGTTGTTGCATTATTTAAAACGTGTGCGTAGGTAGCACAGCGGTAGTATGCTCGCTAACCACGCCACAGGTGGTCAGGGGTTCAATCCCTGGCCACCGACGCACTTCTTTACCTCGATAAGCCAGTAATAAGACTGATAAAGAGGTAAGATTGGACATGGGGCTAACAACCCCATCCCATAAATAATAAATACTATTGCTACTAAAACTTCAAAGGTTTAGCTTGAGGGCCTATGTTGCACTGGGAGTGTGAAGGAATAAAAAAAGTTATTTAAAATAACATCAATGTTGTCAATAAAAGTAATTACTATTATTATTCTCTTGGGTTCCGAGTGGAACATAGGGCTTCAACAACATGTCAATAATAATTACTCTTTAAATACTATGGGTAGATATAACTGCAGAGCCGAATGAGGAATTTAGCGAGAAGAATATTTTTCTATCAATTTTTCCATCTTCGAAAAAGAAATGAGACAATAGAACTCAGTATTACACTTATAAAAATAGTCAATAAAAATTAACAAAACACATTGAGTTACATTAGGTTATCAATGTGTGAACGAAAACAAATTGCATAATCGTAAATTGTTTCAGACGATCGATAAGAAACCTTACAGCTAGGTTTCTTGCTTATCGCAATTCATCGGTAAGGAATTGATATCTTCACTGTGGTTCGAAGTCATCACTCTCAGAGATTCAGTCAGAGAAGTTACCACTGGGTTATTTGTGTTCAAATCGACCTTCTGTAGGACTGTAATGCAGAGATTGATTGGTCACTAAAGTGCAAACACTGTTATGTTGCCATATCCTTTGTACCGACAGAATTCCATCAAGACTGGTCACGAAGTGACCTCAGTTAGAGAACAATTGAAAACCAGGAAGTACTAGACAGCTGTTTCGTCTTAGTCCGAGGCTCTCCAGAAGCACGTACCCATGACCACACTGGTGGTAGAGCCCACGACCTTCGTGTTACAAGGAGAGCTCGTATACTATTGATGCACTGTGCTGAGGAGTCGCACACAAGGACGAAATAGATGCACAGTACTTCCTGGTCTTCAAAGTGTTCTCCAACTGAAGTCAATTCACGATGCATCTTGAAGTCAGTCAATTCCCTGCACACTGACCAACACTTACGAATCCTGAAAGTCATGTTTAAAATGTACTCAAAAAGCCTTCAGACTAACTATCACAATTCACTTTGACTTGGTGAGGAAATCTACAGAAAGTAGAATATTACCTGAACAGCAATTGGTCTCTATCAGACTAATCAAAACTAAGCCGAGAACAAAAGCGTTCAACACTAGTCTTAGAAAAACTATTCGACTATGTTAAAATCTGTTAAAATAATATGGCTAATATATTATTAGTTGAGAATATGAATGTGATATCTTTTTAAGAATAATTTATATTTTGTCTATATTGAGTTTGAAAATAGTATTGTGATCTGGTTTTCTTTGTTCTCTCTCATTTGTCTTCGTTGGGGTAGTAGAATTTTCCAGATATCTGGGACAGGTGTTGAATCATTCCTATTACACGTATTTGCAGTTGATTCGATAAACAAAGCTTCTGTTATCAATCTCTCCCTACACCCTGTGACATTAGATTTTAAAACTGTCATCCTATCCCATCCTATTGTATAGTTGTGTGTAATTGCATGTCGTGCTACAGCTGAACTGTTTTCTAGATTTCTTATCTTATTCGGGTTAACTAATTTAGATTTTGCTAGGTTTTCATGCTCGACTAGTCTAACTGCCCCTGTCCTACTACTTTGACTTATGCATTTGACCTGACAATCATAGCAGGCAGGGTATTAGACAAACTAAATTGTTTTGTTTTGTTTTAAAGGCTCCAGAGGATCCTTTAACCGACAAAGCTTGTTTCTAATTGAGTTTGTGGGTTAGAATGCCACGCAGAGTTCTTAACAAGGCAGGAATAAAAGTGGCTGCCATGATTGTCAGGTCAAAGTAGTAGAGCAAGGGCAGTCAGACTAACCGAGCATAAAAACCTAGTAAAATCTAGATTAGTTGACCCAAATAAGATATGAAATCTAAAGAATATTCCAGCTACAGCACTCACCACTTGCAATCACATACAACCATACAATAGGATGGGATGGGATAAGATGACAGTTTTAAGAGCTAATGTTACAGGGTGGAGGGAGAAATTAATGATAGAAGACTTACATACAGAATCAATTGACAATACTTGCAATAGGCATGACTGGACACTTTTCCTGGACATCTAAAAAAATTCTACTAACCATACGAAAAATGGGAAGGAAGAAAGAAAGTTTGTGTTCGGAGTGTTATTCAGTAAATAATACTATCTCACTGTGTGATAGATTCAATAAATAAGTTGACATGGGATTATGATGAAGTACCACACTGCCCGAGTTCTACACAGATATTAATTTGACTGTGATCGGTTGACTTCACTGGTTTTCTTGTTCTCATGTTAATTTGTATTGGTATCAATCGTCACGTTGATCTGGTACTTGATTTTTTTGACATGTAACCGTATTCTTTACTGATTGAAAAATTAAAACACTTAAAGTCATGCTCATCAGGAGAGACAGTTATATTATACATGGGAAATTCTAGGAGGATGAAAAACATATTTCACATTGAAGTAAATGTTGAAAATCTTCGAGGGATAGTGAAACCACCCAGCCTGGAGAAGACAACAAGACCGAATGTATCCATCTGAGAGTCCATCTTCTTCACTATTTGGTAAATCGTATTTGAAATCGTGTTCAGCAAGACAAACTTATGTGAAGTTTCAAAAAGTACTATTGCTGTTAAAGTTAACAACACCACAGAGGTTTATGTGAAATAAAATTTAAATACATTAGAATAATTGTATTCACTAGTGATTACTTTTATGCGTTTAAGTAATTTGGAGAAATACTGCACATCATCAGGTCACATATATGTCAACCGAATGGGTTTTGGTGAGAGGTGAATATATTTTTTCACTAAATTCTACTTAATATTTTTTCTGAAAACTGAACTACAATCAAACGTATCCAGTCTGAGGGATTGAATCGCATAGTACAACAGTATTAGGAACTTTAATCAGGAAGTAATCTTTGCAAAAAACTATATACTACTGACTGACTCGGATGAGTAGTGGAACACGACTTACATCAACCAGTAGTGTTTGCTAGGCAGGTCGGGATGATCTAAACACCCAACGACCGTTTCGCTGGTTTCGTGCCAACCTTCGACTCAGCTCAATGAGCCGAACCGATTGGAATCAATCGATTTCTGGCTACCTAGCTACTTGAACAAACTGGTGGTGACACCATAAATAAAATTTACAAAATAGTTTGTAGTTTACAAGATCCGAAGTCAAATTTCATCATAGTTTCCTTTGGAAATTGAAATTATTCAGATGAGACAATATGATATCCACTTGATAACATAAATGGTACTGAAGAAAGCAAGCACATTGAAGGGTGTTTCGCCAGTTTTGGGCTAGGCTCGTCAGCAGTGTACCCGATTCCATTCAGCACAGAGAGAGGATTTGGTTTAAACCACCTGATTAGCTTTCTTATGACTAACATTTATGGCATTAGGTAGATAACACATTATGATCTGAATAACTGCAGTTTTCAGCAAGGCGTATCTGCAACCTTGAAGGAACTCATGTCCATTCCGAGATTCGACCCCGCGTCACCAAGTGCTACAGTCAGAGACGTTACCACTGAGCTATTCGGGCTCGCGATTGACTTCCTGTAGAACTACAGTGAGTACTTTGATTGGACACTAGCAACTAGTGTGACGTGTTGCAGATACGCCTTGCTGATGAGTGCCAACTAGCACGAAACCTAGGTTCAGGGCTTCCTGTCGATTGCCTCTAACTATCTAATATCATCAAATCAATGTGCACCGTGATGGTGAGCTACCTACAATGGTGGCCACATTGCAAACCTGACTGATAGAATTCAGTCCGCACCAAAGAAAAGACTAGACACGTCACACTAGTTACTAGTGTCCAATCAAAATAATTGCAGTTTGCCAGGAAAAATAAAGTGAAATTTCACTTGGAAATGGGTAAATCGTAAATTAATTTGCCAATCTCATTTAAGCAAGTACTCTCACCATATTGTAAGGTTATCATACAAACATACTTACCTTTCCAGGTGAGCCAATCGGTTCTGGAGAACAGACAATTAAATAGATTTCTGGATAATAGATCCCAGCATCATCCTTCTCATCTTCAATATCATCTTTACTGTTGGATTTTGTAGTCTCCTCCCATTTTAAAGATAAAGCGCAGAGAATATCACTATTCTGTTGTCGTATCAACAATGGCCAAGGCAGGTCTATAGGATGAGACCATATTAGTGTCTAATTGAACGAGAAAAGAAATGATTAGTTAATCAGGGTAATTTGCTCAATACTAATCAAAACAAGCGATAACGCTATATACGTTTACAGTAGATAAATAATCTTTCAGGAGATCCGTTCTCAAATACTATCACAGGAATACATCAAGTAAACGAATGCCTTGTACAGAATTATTTTCTCTGCTAAGCTCCACAAATCGATGTCAGTTATTGATTGGAAGCAAAATATCTTCAAGAACAACATCCTTATCGCACATGAAGAACACATTGTCTGTCTTTATACTTGCCTTACAAGATCTACCGACAAATCGTCTAAACATCTCAACCACTCACTGAAAACGACAGTCTGAATAACTGGATTTCAACACAGAAGCGCAGTAGTTTGCGCCGCTGCAATCCATGTAGCGCACAAAGGTAGACAAAATAGAGGGAAAAAGCAGATTAGAAAGGGTTATAGTGAGCAGAAATGCGAAGGAGAAATAAATAATTCCATAGATAAACATGACAGTCTAGTGGATATGAGAAACCATAAAGCATGAACGCAATTGTGCCATTGACAACGATTTTAAGCCATATCACGAACGGTATCCAGCCCCATTGGTTTTAAGCATACTGAGGTTACCCAATCAGACAGTCTAAACCTTTCTGCATAGCTCAATCTCATGAAGTGACACCAGGTTTTGATTCAACTAAACTCCAAACTCTTTTTGAATCTAATCATGTCAGATAATGATGTTGGACGAGGAGAGCGTTGGCTCGGAATGTGTGACACATGTCCTAGTTATGTCGACCGATATATCTTCACATCGGCTTCATTGATTGAAAGTACTACTTTCATTGAACCTTTATTATGTGCGTGTGTTAGTTACTGTTATTTGTTCTTTGGGCTGTTTGGTAGAATATAGGGCTTCAGCTGCATATCTCCACTTCAATCGGTTCTCTTTCATGTTTGCTATATGGCTCTACGATTGCCTATGAGCTTTTATTCCCAGACAAACACGATCCTTTCGATGTCGCCCTCAGATTAACGCACAACTCGTCATTCACCAGTCAGATTTGTGTGTTGAACAGATTACCATTATTTTTCTAACACGTAAACTAAAACAGTATTAATAATTACCCCTAATAACACATAACTGATTTGTAATAATATTCATTTGCACATATATCAAAATATTTACGTATATATATAACAAACCTTATTCTTATTTTTCCTCTTCGTAGTCTCAGTGGAATTAATTCCAATACGTAATTTTATACGAAATGCATGCCCCACAGGTGAAACTGGTCCAGGGAATACAATTGGCCTCCAGTTAACACATTCTCTAGGCTTAATTGATATATCAAATAAACTATTCACTGGATTGAGATCTTCAGAATTGGATATTGTTGGTGTACCACCCTCCTCAGAGGAATATTTGATTAAGGGCAGTTGATCCAGAATGATAGACTTGATTGTAAAACAGTAGAAAAGGGGAAAAAGAATAGGCGATATATAAAAAAAAGATAATGAATATAAAACAATACTTCATTAGGAATTTGAATTCGTACCAATGAATATCGAAGTCAGTAACATTGAGCAGTTTGGCTGACGACTTATTATATTATTATTATTATTATTTCCTTTAGTTCCTAGAGGAACATAGGGCTTCAGCCATGCGTCTCCATTGCGTTCGATTCTCTGCCTGAGTTTTCACCTGGCTCCAGGTCTGCCCACATGCTTTCATCTCCTCTTCACATGATCTCCTCCAGGTCACCCTTGGACGACCAACTCGCCGCTTCCCTTTCAGGTTCCACTCGAGGGCTTGTCTAGTGATGTCACTTGCTGGTTTCCTCAGAGTGTGGCCAATCCATCTCCATTTTTTCCTGCCTATTTGTTTCACAATGGGTTCCTGGTTGGTTCGCTCCCAGAGATCTTTGTTGCTGATCCTTTCCGGCCATCTGATCTTGAGTATTGAGCGAAGACATCTGTTAATGAAGGTCTGTAGCTTGTTTGAGGTGCTCTTTGTGACACGCCAAGTCTCTGATCCGTATAGTAGTACTGACTTCACATCGGAGTTGAAAATCCCGAACTTATTTTTGACGCTGAATGATGTTGTCCTCCACACAGACTTCAGAGTAATGAAAGCTTGCCTTGCTTTCCCGATCCTTGCTTTGATATCCTCGTCAGTTCCGCCTGTAGTTGAAACAATGCTTCCCAAGTAGGTGAAGGAGGTAGTTTCTTTCAGGTTTTTTCCATTTATGCTGATTGCTGTCTGTTGTTGTTGTTGGTGTTGGCCAGGGATCTTCATCACCTCTGTTTTTTCTATGTTCACCTGGAGTCCTATCTTTGATGCTTCTTCTGCCAACTTGTTACTTTTCACTTGCATATCTTCCAGTTTGTGGGAAATCAGGCATATATCATCGGCGAAGTCCAGATCCTCCAAGTTCTTTGTGTGAGTCCATTTTATGCCTGTTTCCTCATTGCCCGCTGTTTGTCGCATTATCCAGTCTACTGCAATCAGGAAAATCATTGGCGATGGTAGGCAGCCATGTCTTACTCCTGTCCTCACTTCGAAGGATTCCGTGAGCTTCCCGTTGTGGATTACTTGGCATGCAGCGTTGTCATACAACTGTTGGATGAGATGTATAATTGTCGGCGGCACCCCGTAGTAGCGAAGTAGTTGCCAAATCACCTCTCGGTCGACGCTGTCGAAGGCCTTTTCAAAGTCGATGAAGTTGAGATAGAGAGGTGACTGCCATTCCAAACTTTGTTCAATGATGATCCGTAGTGTGGCGATTTGATCAATACATGACTTGTTACTCCTGAATCCAGCTTGTTCTGGTCGAAGTTTTTCATCCAAGGCTTGTTTGATCCTTTCCAGGATGATGCGGCTTAGTATTTTGCTTGGGATGGAAAGGAGCATAATTCCGCGCCAGTTCTTGCATTGACTTAAGTCTCCTTTCTTTGGTAGTTTGAATAGGTATCCTTTCTTCCAATCCTCGGGTACTTTGCCTTCTTTCCACACCTTCTCTAGTAGTGGCGTCATCAAGTCTGCTGTTGTCTCTGGGTCGACTTTCAATGCTTCTGCTGGGATTCCATCTGGTCCTGCTGCTTTCCCAGCTTTCAGCATCTTGATTGCCTTCAGGACTTCTGATTTCGTCGGGGGGTTGATGTTCACTGGTAATTCTGCTTCCGTTGTTGGTATTGTTGGGCGCGTTGTAGGTGGCGGTCGGTTTAGTAGTCTTTTGAAGTGTTCAGCCCAGTGTTTCCTTTGCTCCACTTCTTTGGTGATTGACTTTCCATTTTCATCCTTCACTGGCTTAATTTGTGACGAATTTTTGCCTGAAAGGTACCTAGTTGTTTGGTGAAGTGTTGCGAGGTCTCCTTTGCCTGCAGCTTGTTCTGCTTCATTGGCCATGGCTTCATAATACTTTCTTTTGTCTTCTCTGGCACTCTTCTTTACTCCTTTGTTCAGTGTATTGTAGCTTACATTCAACTCCTGTTTCTGTTGCTCGTCGGTGCACTGCAGAATTTTTTGTTTCACCATCCTTCTCTCTTCTATTAGCCTCCAAGTGTCCGTAGTGAGCCACGGTTTGTCCTGTCTCTTCTTTCTGCCCAGAACTTCCATGCAGGTTTCGCTCCATACTGTTTTCAGGTTGTTCCAGTGTTTTTCGACGCTAACCTCTTCACTAATGTTGATTTGTGTCTCAGCTTTGTCCTTTATACTTGCAGTAAAGATATCCTTTGTATCCTGGTCCTTTAGTTTTTGAGTGTTGAACTTGGCTTGTGGTCTATCTGCAGCTCCTGTTTCTCTGAAAGCCTTTAATTTGAGTTGGATTGTTCCTTGTACGAGGTAGTGGTCTGAGCCAACGTCTGCTCCTCTTCTTGCTTTTGTGTCCAGTAGGCTGCGCCGCCACTTCCTCGAGATTGTGATGAAGTCAATTTGGTTTTTGGTTCGCCCATCTGGTGACACCCATGTAGCCTTGTGAATATCCTTGTGTTTGTATACGCTGCCACCAATCACTAGTTCATTGAAGGCGCAGAAGTCGGCGAAGAGTTCTCCATTTTCATTCATCTCTCCCAGAGCTTCTTTACCCATGATGAGTTCCCTTCCTGTGTTGTCTGATCCCAGTTTGGCGTTCATGTCTCCCATTAGTATTTTGATGTCACCGGCTGGAGTATTGTCTATTGCTGCCTGCAGTTGTCTGTAGAATTCTTCTTTCTTTTCGAGGTCTGCGTTGTTGGTCGGTGCATAGCATTGTATAATTGACACTTTCCTTCCTTTGGAGTTGAATCTGGCGGTTATTATCCTGGGTGAGATCGCCTCCCGTTGTATCAGAGCCTTGGTTGCCGTTGGTGACATCATTATAGCCACGCCCTCGGTGTGTGTGTGGTTGTCTTCTGGGTGACCGGAGTAAATCACTGACTCACCTGTTGACAATTTGGTGAGTCCGTATCCGTTCCATCTGCTTTCGCAGATCCCCAATACTTGTAGTCCGTATCTCCTCATTTCGCTTGCGATCTGGGCAGCTTTGCTAGTCTCGTACATGGTGCGGACATTCCATGTCCCCACACAGACTTTTTCTTTTGGCGCAAGGAGACTGTTCACGCTGAAGTTTCTGTAGCAGGTTTGTTTACAGGGTGGGGTTGCTGGCCTCACGCCTGAGTTTAGTCTTTGGGTACCTGAAATAGAAGAAAGGTTAGTGTTGCGTGACCGCAGAGCCCAGGGGACATCTGCTTGAGGCCGGTCACACACGGCCTGGTGTGTCTCAGTAGCGTACTTATCACTTCTGCCCTGTGACACGGCAGCAGAAAGCGCGGTCGTTGTTAATCCGGGCCACGGCCGATCCGGCATGATATTTCTTGGATTCGTTGGGTTCATCGGGTTGGATTGTTGACGACTAAGTCCAGCCCCCACTGATACCGTCGCCAATGTATCAGTAGGTTGTGAGGTTTGACAAATTTGGTTGATGCCCGTTGCTACTATCAACGGAGCTACGCTAGGAACGGTGTGGCGACCCAAGTTATCTCCTACTGATACCGTCGCCACCGTCATATCAGTAGAAGTCCGGTTAAGCTGCCGGTCAGCCTCGGCTTCATTTTCAGCTCCCCGTTGTCCATAACATCGTGGATGAAATGAAAAAGCATGTACATCCTAAGAAACTCTAAAATAGCAGAATACATCCTGAAATTAAAGAAGCATAGCTCGGCAACCGTAAGTCCTACAGGGACGAGACAGGTACCAATTGGTTCGTCTCGTCGAGAGGAATCCAATGGTATATAAATCAGAGGGTAAAAGCTATTCCTAAGAAAAATACGAGGGTTTTCCTGCCTAGCAGTCTCTGCCCCCCTGCTGCCCTATGGTTGGTAATGCCCCCTAGCTACATACACAACGGCATACAACCTGAGGTCGCGGAGCAAATAATTCCATTGGGTCCCAGTGGCTGAATGGCATACGAGCTTGCCTTGTAACCGGAAGGTCCTGGGTTCGAATCCCAGTTGGTGCGTACTGCCGATGATTCCCAAACTAGGATGGCTGACGACTGGTATATGTGAAATCTGGATTATGTATGTGATCAACCAATGCAAACAACTATAAACAAGGCCCTCAGAACTTATAAAAATCAAGTAACCATCCAACTATTGGACGAGAAATCCAAAGTCTAGCTTTATTTGATGGATGCTGATTAGCAGTGGAATCCCAGATGCACGTTTTGTCTTATGTGGGACTCATCATCCGGATGTAACTGCAATCTCAAGTGACTGATAGTGTTTCCACTGGGACTCAAACCCTTCACCCATCGTTTCAAACCATAAAGAATAATTCACTGTCATATGGGCTACGAGAGCCACCTACTGTAGAACAGTTATAAATGGATGTTGGTTTATAGTCTCAGGGGGGAACATCATCACTCATTGAGAAATGCAGCTGTCTTCAGTCGATGAATTCACCAAATAGGACAAAATGAGCATACTGGATTCCACTCTTTGTCATTCATTATCCACCGAATAACAACAAGTTAGTCGTTAGACGTCGTCAAAACGTCCGAACAAGAAGTCAACATATCGAAAGAGGCTAACTACTTCAGTCTAATCTTATTCAACGGCGAAATTCAAAATTGATTTACACAAATAAGAAGTCAAGTTTCATGAAGGAATGCAAAATAGAATAACTTAGTAAAAGCAACTTTTGTAGCATAAAATTAATTTATTTTCTTTCATACAGCTATTCTCAACCTGAATGACTAAGTAATAGATCATTCTGACGTAACATTTGTTTTGACACACTTTAAATGAATTCCTAATTTATTTTGTTTATCATGAATGTGAAACAGGTGTCAGAGAGTCTACGCATCAGAGGTTCAAGTTCATTTAGCAGCTCTGACCCCAAAAACTTTACACATCCCGACTACCTTCAGGCGATAAGTTTACTAATAAAGAACCAATCCAAGAAACCAGTTCATACAGGCCGTGTGTGACTGGCCTTAAGCAGTTGTGCCCTAGGCTCTACAGTCACGCAACACTAATCCTCTTTCTGTTTCAGGTACTCGAAAAATCAATCAACTTCCATAGTGTGGGTAGCTGGGAAGTAACAATCGCCCACACACCGGCGACCACACCACGTTGAAAGCACCGGTTCTCGTCCGATCACCGAGGTGAAGCAACGTTGGGCCCGGTTAGTACTTGCATGGGTGACCGGCTGGGAATACTGCGTGTTGCCGGCTTTTGAGCGTCGGTGGCATAGCGGTTAGGACGCTCGTCGACCATGCACGTGGTCCGGGGTTGAATCCACGGCCGACGCACTCCTTCACCTCGCTAAACCAGAAATAATGCTGGTAAAGAGGAAAGGTTGGGCATGAGGCTAGCAACCCCATCCTGTAAAAATTAAACAATGCTACAGAAACTTCAAGTCACTAGCTTGAGGCCCTATGTTCCACTGGGAACGTAAAGGAAAAAAAAACACCTGCAAAAGCACCCGAGGTCCTCCTGAGCATCATTCTTTACCCTTACTAATATTCGGCTTTTGAAAGTGACTATTTTCTCAAAAAGGTAAATATAAATAAATCATAACATTGATTAGGTAATATAAGTAAGCACAATTTTAATATCTCACCTTATTTGTATTATTAACTATAGTCCAACCAAGTGGTGAGTGATCATTTGATGATATAGAATTACTGTAATTATCACTATCACATTCTGATATGTTCATCTCATTTCGTGATCTACTCATAATCTCAAGAATACTTAAATATTCTCTCGTATAGTTTTGTAATCTTTGCTTCAATAGACCCATACTGATTAAACGATCTGAACTAATAAAAACACTCAGTGATCTGTAGAGAATATTCATGTTTTGATTACACAAAGCATGACATGAGAAACTCTCACCGACAATAGATTGTTGAAGTCTTGCCCAATTGACATCAGCTGTTAGCAGGGTATGCTTGCCAGCCCGAAAATGAATGTCAGCATTCGAAGGATAGTTGACAGACATCGAGGACGACATATTTGACAGATACAGGAAGTCTACCTTATCAACACAGAATCGACTTAATTCAAAACCACCAATGTTATCATGTTCTGACTGCGTCTGAAAGAATTAATAACAACAGAGAAAGAGATCAGTAATAAACTAAAACAAATCAATGTAGTTTTAGTGTTGTCAATGAAACTGAAATCTTATTTGCAGCCGGATTCAAACCAGTGGGCTGTAAATTACTAGTCCAGCGTTCTATCATTTCAGCTAGACTAGTTATTAGATAATGCTGAGAATACGGATGATATACTGTTGTCCTCCTGAGTGAACACGCTGACAAAAATGCGGAGTCATCTAAACACTTTGAATAGAAATTTTTCGAATATTTGGCATCTGACCCACCCCTGGCAAATGTTACCAACTCTTAGCTTAAAGATAGGGAGTGAAGTGGCCGAGTGTGTTGACAACTTCACTTATTTGTAGAGTTGTGTCACCCCTAATTAACTTGATTGCTGACGAAGTTCAAGCACGAATAAAAAAGGTTTGTGTAGCATTTTCCAGCTTACGCCATCTCAGGGGTATACGTGAGATTCACCTATCTGTCAAAGAACGTGTGTACGGCACACTAGGTCGTTCCATTCACCTTTATGGCTTTAAGAAATAGCCATTGAAAGTGGAACATATAAAAAAGATTGCTTGCCTTTAACCACAGATATTTGCGTTTTATATCCCTTGTTAAATGGTGAAATATGATGACTGCTATTTACGATAGGCATAGAGTGCTGAGCACGTGATGGAAATCAATCAATAAGGTTGTGAAACTACTTTAACTGAGATGGCTAGGACACGTGCTGCTCATACCTAGTCATTGCCTTCTTCGCTAACCAACGTTAGCTAATAAAGGATTATGGGAAACCTCCATAAGGACATTAGAAAGAAGAGAACACGAAGTTCAGCAAAGATGGTGATCTTTTCGGCGATTTCATTTTCAAAAGCTGTACAATTGCATTCAGATACATAGATAGAATTTTTACTTGATTCCACATAATTACGAAGGTGAACAAAAGGTGACAATTATTTTCAACTAGATGTGGTTTACGAGAGGTCCCAAACCTGATGGATGCGTACTGTGAAGAGTCGCAAACTAGGACAAAAACAGATGTCCAGTACTCCAAGGTTTTCCAATGGTTCCCTAACCGATGTTAACTCATGATGAAATCCTGTAGCTCATAAGTTTGTTAGATCTATTCTCTTTGAACGTAAATGTTCCACCAGTTTCAGTAGCATTTCACGATTACACGAATACTTCTCATTAATTCAGTGGATCTACATTGTATTAGGCTTAGAATGTTGAAGACCATCAGTTGTAACTACTGCCTCCGTAAGTACTTTAACTCTTCAAAACCTTCGCTCCATTTTTATTGATTTCTCTATCAATGCCTGAGTAATCACTAACTACCTTCATTTTTGGTTGAAGGACTCTTCATACATCTCGGAAACCATAAAGAATTATTTCTGAATTCACCCTTTAGTTCCAGAGTATTGATCTTCACACAATCAAGGTGGGCTGTTTAAAACTTATGGTAACGAAAACCTCCACCACTATATTTCATATAGTTTCCTCTATTCAGTTTATTTTATTCTAATAAAATATAACCTCTAATAGTATTATTTACTCTTGCGAGTATCTAAATTTCTTGCATGTGTCTACTGAACTTGAGAAAAAGCATGACCCTAGGTAGCAGAGTAACCCAATACATAAGATATAACTGTTCCTGATTTGTATGCTTGGTTCTCAAAATGTACTCTTGAACCTTTTTATAATCGTCATTCAACTAAATGTCGTGGCATTTTTCACGAAGGAGATGAAGAAGACAAATCATAATAGATTGGTTTGAGCTTCAGATTAGACAGAACTGTTTCAAACGACCTACTGTCAAATTAATATTTTAGTTAATGATCGTGGACGAAGAGGAAAAAAAGTCGTGCAATAAACTTCGCTGGAAATTCTGTACATTATGTAGACACTGTTCAAAATAAAGTTTATTATTATTAATATTATTAGGAATATCTTTGTCTTCAAGAGGATTTTATATTCTAAAACCTCTTGCATAATTTGAATATTGTCTTTTGATGTGATTGTGTTCTCTGAGCTGGATAGTTGATTTGCGAAGCTTTCATCGCCCTACTAGGTAACATCTTCAGCGCTTACTTCAATTTATTGAAGTGAGCTTTTAGATTTCCCCCAGAGTTTATTGGTCATCTCTCCTGGTGGGTGACCTTGAACGTGATTGGTTGTTTTTGTGTGTTTCCACACCCTCTAGGCTACTTATATTGTTACTGGTTGTTTCCCTGACCTGAAGTTTGACCCTTTGTGTGTGTGTGTGATTTCCTTCTTATCGATCGGCAAACTTTGTCTATCTCGATGTGTCTATTGATTGACGATTCACTGGAATACCAGGCTTCCAATAAAACATCAAAATCATTCACCTGAGCTACAAATCTTCTCCATCATATCTGAACATTTTCTTCATGTTGGATATTTTATTCTACTCTTGGAAAATGACCTAGCTATACAGTTTAAGGGTGTGAAAATTGTGTCACACCCCGATTGCTTATATATTTTACTATTCAGACTGTATGCAGCTGATGACAAAGCCTATGGGAATAATAATAAGAATGCATTTTATCCTGGGAAAAGTTATTCACATAGCATTATTCAAATAAGAACTAATTATTCATTAAATTTATATATATATATATATATATATATATATATATATATATATACCACAAATTTTCACAAAAACAGAATAAACTCACATGTTCAACTAATGAGACTGTGATATTTGGAATTTGACATCTAACAATCAAAGAATTCTCAAGTGGATGATGACAATTATTTGGATAGTGCACCGTATTCATGTGAATAGCACCAATTAAAATCATTGGTGTCAAATCAGCTAATGCAATGGGAAAGTTTTCATTGATTGAAGGATTAATACTAAATTATATAAAAAAAGAAGGAGAGGAAAACGATAAGAGATTTTCTTTCAGCGACTCCCAGAAAATTAGTAGTAATTAAGCATTTAACAAAAAGTATGCAGTATGTATGCAGAAATTATGGAAGGAGGGAAAGGTGCCTACTGACTGGAGGAAAGGTTACCTCGTGAAACTACCAAAGAAGGGCGACTTAGGACTCTGCAAGAACTGGCGAGGAATCGTGCTCCTGTCGATGCCAAGTAAAATCCTGAGTCGCATCATGCTGAAGAAGATAAAGGACGCATTGGATACAGAACTCCGACCAGAAGAAGCTGGATTCAGGAAAGGCAAATCATGTTCTGACCAAATCGCAACTCTCAAATCATTATCGAACAAAGCATGGAATGGTAATCAAACCTCTACCTCAACTTTATAGACTTTGAGAAGGCCTTCGACAGCGTTGACAACGAAGTAATTTGGAAACTACTCGAGTACTACGGCGTACCCTAAATATTCATCAACCTTATTCAACAGCTGTACGACAACGGCATATGTCAAGTGATCCACAACGGAAAACTCAGCGAGGTGTTTGGAGTAAACACAGGAGTCAGACAAGAGTGCTTATTATCACCAGTGATATTCCTAATTGTGGTCGACTGGATTATGCGTCAGACAGTGGGAAACGAGAAGACAGAGATATCCTGGACCGACGTGAAGAACCTAGAATAACTGGATTTCGCGGATGAGTTATGTTTGATGTCACACAAAATCGAAGACTTACAAGCGAATACCGACAAACTGGTCGAACAAGAAGCAAAGACAGGATTCCGGGTGAAAACAGACAAACAAGACGGAGGTTATGAAAATAACCAAACAACAACAACAGCAACATCCAGCGCCAATCACCATCAATGGGAGGGATTTGAAAGAGGTTACTTCATTCACTTATCTAGGGAGCATTGTCTCAACTACAGGAGGAACGGACGAGGATGACAAATCGAGAATCGAGAAGACGAGAAACACATTCATCAACCTGAAACCAATCTGAAAATCTTCGTCACTCAGCATCAACAACAAAATTCGGATTTTCAATACAAACGTAAAGTCAGTCAGTTCTTCTATACGGATCAGAAACTTGGCCGGTCACAAAGAATATTTCCAACAGGTTGCAAACCTTTATCAACAGCTGTTTTCGCTCTATACTGAAGATCAGATGGCTGGAAAGAATCACCAACAAGAAACTATGGGAACAAACAAAACAGGAACCAATCGCCAAACAAATATGCAGGAGAAAGCGAAGAAGGATGGGACTCTCGCTGAGGAGGCCGTTGGGTGACATCGTGCGTCAGGCCCTCGAGTGGAACCCGAAAGGGAAGCAACGAGTGGTACATCCAAGGGTGACATGGAGGAGATCGTGTGAAGAGGAGTTGAAACAGTATGAACTAACATGGATGCAGGTGAAAAGTACAGCAGAAGACAGAAGCAAGTGGAGACGTGCAACTGAAGCCCTATGTTCCACTAGGAACCCAAGGGAACAATAATAAATAATAATAATGTATGCAGAAATTTTATAAGACCAGCTCAAACGTGAGAAAGACTTTTGAATCTCCTGTTAAGACGTGTTAATTGACGAGGTCAAAAATAACATCACAAACAATATACACACATAAACAAAATCTACGATCCAAGTCAGGACCCTCAGGTTATACGAGAATGACGACCTAAGTGGTTGACCATACCTTTTAGGCTAAAGATCCTTGCTTTAGATGCTCAGAAAGGATGTGAGTGATCAACGCTGAAAGCCACAAACAGCTGTCCAGTACTCTCTGCTTTCCAACGGTTCCCAAACTGATATCTATCCGTGGTCAAACTTGCAACGAATCAAATCTTTACAAATAAACTCTTATACATCTATGGCATAATACCACACCTGACTTGATGAGTTCAATCGAGCACGACTTTACACTGGAATGCTAAAAGTCAATCACTAGCAAGTAATGGTATTTGTATTTTTAAATTTGGATGGTTTATTTACGAAACTTTCCCTTTCTTCACTTCAGAATTCTGCACGAGTGTAATAAACGTTTCTCCTGATGATGTTGAACGCGAGTGATTGTTGCCGGAGATTACCTTACCTCATGTGTAGTTTTAACCTGGTATTTGACTATTCTGCAATGTGACGTTTTCTTTGTTGATCGATATAACAGACATATGTCAACATATCTGTAGAATGTGAATTGATCTGAGTCCCATATTTCTATGAGTTCTCTAGCATTTTAAGTATTTCCTCTATTTAAAACTCTTACATTTCTCTGTTTAAACTAGTATTGGTCACATGTTTTGATATGAGAGAGTACATATCCATGTCGTTTGACGGCTAGTTTATGATCTTCGTTGTTGGGCTGAAAGCGGAGTTCGATTTGGAGAATATAATGTTTTTACCATTTACTGCAATTTATCTTACAGTTGATTTTGGTTTCGGCTTCTTCTGTGGTTGAGTGATTCGCTAGACATAACTTTACTGGTTTGTGAGCGACATTTAGTAATGGGTACGGAACTCAGAGAGAACATCGATTCCTTCTAGGTCGCAGACACATGTTGTTGACGAGTACAAGAAGCACGAAACCAAGCTAGGAAAAAATATAGAGATTACGAGTGGAACATAGGGCTTCAGCAACACATAGCCATTTCGCTCTATTCTCTGCAGTCTTTCTAACCGGCTCCACGATTCCTCTATCAGCTTTCATTTCCTGCACATACACCAACATAATCTCCTACATGTTACCCTTGAAACCACGCTCAAATCATCGACTCAGCAGGTGATTTCACACAGTGGTCTGTTTAGAGTATGTCCAATCCGTCTCCATTCCCTTCAGCGGATTTATTGAATGATAATTTGGTAGTTGTTCTGTTACCAGAGATCCATATGGCTTATCCTTCCTAATCGACCATCTATCTGGTCATCAGTATCAAACGAAGGTGTCTGTTGATGAAAGTCTGCAGTCAGCTAGATATGCCTTGAGCGACGCGCGAACCAAGTCTCTAAACTGACACTAATGTTGGAAATCCAGAACTTTTTCCTTACGCTGAGTTCAGCAGATTTCCAAGCTAATTTCAAAGTAATAGTTTGTCTGGTTAATATTATCCTGACATTGACACACCTATCTGTGCCAACTGTAGTTAAAACGATGCAACCGAGGTAAATGGAAGACAATGTGAAGGATGGCTATCTACCATTAGTACGGAAAAAAACATAAGTAACTCAAGCTGAAGGAAAGCACCAACGGCAAAGTGATGTACGTGTTTATAAAAACCAGTAATACAGAAAGTAACTTACATGCCAGAGCCAGGACGTATTCGTAAATCAACAAGAATTCGCCAAATCGCCGACACTGGTTGATTAGATGTATTATATGGATGCATTGAAGCGTTATTAGTATTATTTTCTGAGAAGTGTAAATTAGAGGACAGTAAATCCGAGGAATAATCACCACTATCTTTCCTCTTTTCTTTTTCAACGTAAGAATTTGATATGTTGCCTGTTGTAGAATCAAAAACGTTTGCATTATTTTGACAATTACTAACTTGTTGGTATGTCTGAATTGTCGAGGGAACAACTCCGTATTGGTTGAATAAATTCACTTTTGATAAATCATATTCATTGATCTGACTATCACTCAGAATGAAGGAACAGTATGTTATGAAACTTCCATTGTACTGATGAAATGGATCCCAGTATTGTAGGTAACACTGAAGCTAAAATTGTAACAGAACGATGATTGTAAATTCGATGCACTTATAAAATTCATATCTATTCTTTAAAGACAGAATAGTAAAATGTTCAAAGTTAGGTAGATTCTCGAGTAAGAACCTCTCTCCTAAGCCTGACATAGCTGGTCCTACGTGCGGAAAGGAGGGAAAGTTAGCAGTGCGGTGAACACAAAACCCTAGGAGACAAGCTGTCTTTGGCTGCATATGTTTGTGTTCTATCTCTTATTTCAAGTAAGTAATATTGAGGTCATGCGTAGAGTGTGTGTGTGTGTGGGGGGGGTGAAACTCTATTGATTGAAGTGGTTAGGACACTTGTTGCGTATTCTCAAACATCGCTTTTTTCGATGACTTATACTAGCCAACATAAAATTAGGTTAGAAGTGAATTAGGGGTGCGCAGACTAAAACCTGGAGTGAATTCATGAAGTCTTTGACTGCTGGTCTTAAACATGTAGAGGGCTGTGGTCCTTGAAACGCTGAGAATCGATAACTAGAGATTTTTGGGGACACAGCTCAAAGTCGTTTAGAGTGGCGTAGTTCTCATCACTCTTTGTAATCTCCTAGATTCAATGTACAACTAAAAATAAAGGTTAAAAATGTAAAAAGTAACTAGCCACAGTTTCTCATGGCAAATAAACAGGACGCCTAAGACAGAAAAGAAGAAAATAAAACTCAGAATATTAAGGTATCCCACTACATATTGCAGAGATTATTCCTGACCGATAGCTGCTACCATGGTGGTCGGGATTGCATATCGGAAAGACCCAACAAGCTGCACAGGCTAGAACTATTGTTCCCACAAGTCCTACCATGCCAGCAAGGTCGTTAGAAAAGCGATTAAACTAAAAGCAGTTACCGGCACAGTGTAAGAATTTTTTACACTATGCTAGGGATCTGTGGGCGAAGTTGTACTGCTGGGGAACAGCGATGTAACAGCAGTAAGCTGTTTCCCTCAGATGACCAGCATGGCAGCCACCTATGCTGTCTCTCCACTCTGGGGAAAGGAGGCAAGAAAAGGTCGAACCAAACAATTGTACATCCCGACTAACCATACGGTGGTCCGTAACGGGCCGTAAGTCTACTAATACGGAACCAAACCAAGAAACCAGTTCATACAGGCCGTGTGTGACCAGTCTCAAGCAGCTGTCCCCTGGGCTCTGCAGTCAAGCAACACTCTCTTTCTGTTCCAGGTACTTGAAGAATCAATCGACTTCCACGGTGTGGGCAGCCAGGAAGTAACAACCGCCCACACACTTCCAAAAGCATACGAAGCTTCCCCGTGAATCATTCTTCAAGAGCATAGATTATTGAAAGACTTTTCATAAGAACGCTTCAATTCGAAACAACACGCAATAAGAAAGCATACAAAGAAGTAAATATAAGAAATAAAATGAAAATATAGTAAGTAAGTAGATGCAGAAGGAGGAAAGAGTCAGGCAAAAAGTCATATAGCAAAAAGCCTCCTCCAACGAAGACCTCCGAACAAACATCCTACGCCGCTAAACATAGGTTGTACAAAGACTTCATGGATTGATATTCCATTTAAGATTGACCTATTCCTACTTCAGCCTGTGATCGGATGACTGTTAAAATTTCAACATCCTTTTCTTACCTTGATCTTGACCAAATCGCCAACCAACCAGGACAATCTATCTCCACTGCCCAAGGCAGATGGACCAATGTGACCGACGCGATCATATCAGTTAACAACATATCCCATAACAGACTTCTCAGCTGAGTTAAACCGAGTACACCTCTCATGAGCTCGAATTCGAACGAGTGAAACGCCTTTCTGGTGTTCATATAGTTTTGAACTGCTTATCAAGCATTACTGGTTAGTGTGGGTGGTTACACAATATGGAAGCAGTTACAGAGACACAAATAAATAATTAAATAAATTTTGAAATCACCACCTACGTGTATCTTCAAAATGAACAAATCGACAATTTTTTTCAATAATATTCATCAAAACTCACCTCAAATCCATTCGGTGAATACTTATCACTAATATTATTCAATTTTGACGAGACTAATTCAAATGGTATAGGCAGTATTCTTAAATAATTCGGTCTACACGCCTCAGGATGCATCCATGTTATACCTAACCATTGTGGATTACGTAATCGTTCTTCTTCCTTTTCCTCTTCGTCGATACTGAATTCATTTGAAAGATTATTACAGTAGACAATTTCATTTTGTAATGGCCAACGATGACCTTGTAAAGGTGATTGTTCCCATAATTTTTGATTCAATACCCAAGGATAACATGGATGAGATTGATGACGATCACGATCAATATCATCAGGTTTTGTTGACATAAGTTGACTGGAGGATGTCGATGATGACATCGACAGAGTAAAGTTTCTACGCAAATCATCATTGTGTATTATAACACAATCATCATCATCAGTTGAACAATGTATACACCTACTATCATCATTTTTATTGAAACATTGAACAGACGATTTAAAACAAAGCTTGTTACAAATCTGAATTGATTTTATAATATGAGTAACTTTTATAAGAATTAGCTTAATGTAATCATTTATGTAACCATGCATAGGTAAGTGAATTAATAGACTAGAATTGAATTGAATTTGACTAGTGACCTTATCAAATGAGTAGGTAAAGTACTCATGATTAAGATTATGCACACAGTATTTTGTATTGATTAATCCACCAACAGTTAGACATGTATTAGGCCATATTAAATACACTGGTTTACCGCGATTATTTATTTTACTGAATATTAGTGAATTACTTTCAACTGAACGACAAATTAATGATAAACCAGATAAACTTGAAAAATATTCAGTTGAAGTTGTTAATGTATCACAGATGGTTGAGTTTAATAAGTGTATCACAGTTGAAAGATGTTTGAGTTTGAATTCTAATACACGGGAATCAATAACTTTGTTGTTTGTCTCCTCAAACTGTAATTTAATCTGCAATGAAAAAGAAAACAAACAAACAAATGATGGTTAAATATCATGGTTGAAAATAAAAATCACGGTTAGATAGCTTAAGGACTCGACTCTCTGGCATAAGGTTTCGCATCCCAACCGTGCTACATCTAATTCGGCCAAGTAAACTGTGAGTAGGATTATCAGAAGCCACACAATATGTATAGGGGAAATTAAGTTCCAGACTGAGATTTATACTATTGAAACTCAAGCTGGGTATCGTATCGAATCAATTCGAAATGTCTGATGATATTAGGTAGTTGGAGGCAATTGCCAGGAAGCCTTCGACCCAGGTTTCATGCTAGTTGGCACTCACCAGTCAGTGAGGCGTATCTGCAACTTTGAAGGAACTCATGTCTCTTCTGAGATTCGAACCCGCATCATCAGCCAGTGCTGCAGTCAGAGACGTTACCACTGAGCCAGCTATTCGAGCTCGCGATTGATCTCCTGTAGGAGTGTATTGGATATTTTGATTGCACACTAGTCAGTAACTAGTGTGATATGTCTAGTGCTTTCTTTGGTGTATACTGAATTCTATCAGTCCGGTTGGCAATGTGGCCACCATCCTAGGCAGCTCGCTATCACGGTGCACATTGATTTGATGATATTGGAGGTTACCTAGGATGGTGGCCATATTGCAAAACCTGACTGATCGAATTCAGCCTGCATCAAAGAAAGGACTAGACACATCACACTAGTTACTAGTGTCCAATCAAAACTTTAATTCTACATGTACAAGAATTCAGAACAATTCCAGTATAGATATGTCTAGTCGACTCAGTGTAGAAATTATTTCACTGGTGTCATTTAAGGACTGATAATTTACTGGACACTTACCTAGTCTACTAGTGAATGAATAAAGACTTTGAAATAGATCTACCAACATTACGGAAAAAAGCTGCTATTGAAATGGAAAAGTTCGCTCCTACTGAAGGACATCATAAATCGTCATGATGCAAAATGCTGAGTGCCGGATGAACCTTTTCTACTTAAACTACCTCAATGGACAGACAAGAAGACTCTAGAAGATCTAGAAATCCCTGTCGATTTACATCTAATATAGTAAACGCTCGATGATCACTAGGCGAAAAATCACAAACTGACAGAAGAACCAAAGAAGGGAGGACCTCAAGTGAACATACAGAAAACAGAAATGATGAAAGTATCTAACTGACAACATAAACACACACGAAAGGGTGAATATTAGGTAAACCTAAAGGGAGTCTCTTCTTCTTCCAACTACCTACCTGGTCTGCATTGTTTGAAATACACATAGGCTGAATGATTGAGAATAAAAGAAACAGCCACCAGCGGACAGAAAAAGTATTTACCAATTTACCTGCTCGTGTGGAGCCAAGTATGTCGGCCGTACCCAGCGTTCGCTTTCCAAACGTATCACCGAACACTTACCAACATGGTTTTACAAAGGAGAAAAGCGACGCCCCCGCAGCTCTATCTTAGAACATCTGACAGATTCCGGACGCCAAGCTACAGCCCCCAAACAAACTTCAAATTTGTCTACAGAATACGAAGTAGTTTTCCTAAAGGTGTACGAACCAGACTGCAGAAGCAATGGTGATTCACTTGCTAAGTCCTGAACTCTGTATACAGAAGAAGTTCGTTCAATCACTACACTTGCAATGGATGTAATCTATCTTATTACCCAACAGGTAAATTCTACCTAATCCTTTTCTCTTCTATCTCTTCATTAGTATTATTCTGTCTTCTTAATTGTAATGTTTTACATTTTCAACCTTCTTTCTCTCTACTCCCATCCGATTTAATTTCTACACTGCATTACCACTGTTACTGACTTGACCAACGCTCAATTTCTAGTCATTTATGTTACGTCATTCAATTTATTTGCTCAATTTTAGTTCTAATTTAAATGCCATTATTCTCTACAACCCCCTTCTATTTAGTCTCTACCTGTAATTACCTCTGTTGCTACCCTGACTTAAGTTGAAACATTTTAGTCAATTATACTACGTCATCCAACTTACTAACTAACTCAATCTTACTTTAGTTGCTGCCTGATTAACATTGTTTCTATATTAGAACATTCTTGTATTACCTCATCAATTATCAAAACTTGACAAACCTCATGTACGCACACACACAAATAATTATATATAAATGCGATTGTACAGCTATGTGAATGAATTCGCCGAAAAGAGTCTCTTCGCTGAACGTCTTCTCTTTTTCATTTGACTTTTTAACATAGATGTCATGTCAGTGCTTCTATATGCCTGAAAGGCTTGGAGCACGCGTTAACGATTAACCATTTTCAACAGGCAACTGTGGACTTTAATCAACATCTACCTTTGCTTTATATAAGAGATCAGATAATCAATCTGAAACGATAAGCAACAAAGAACTCTATCAATGAAAGAGTCAGGAACCTATCAACCCAGAGAATATGTAGAGGGCAGTGAAGACGGATTGGGCATACACTGAGGACATGATACCATACGCCAAGCCCTCGAGTGAAACTAGAAGGGGAAACAACCAGTCGACTGTTTAAGACCGACATGAAGTAGAACACGTGAGGATAAAATGAAAGCATACGACCAACTGCGCAGCCAGCTAAAAGAGGTTGCAAAAACCGGGTGAAATGCTGATGTGCTGCTAAAACTGACTGTTCTTTTAGGAGCCCAAGGGAATAATAATAATAACAATAATAATAATGATAAAAGCAAAACAGAAAAAGATACACAAGAGCAACTCACTCGAATACTATTAGTTTCTATGTTAATCTTCTCAAGATAAGCGTGTAGAAGATGAATAAATCTTGCAGTGGATGATGACGATGACGATGATCCAACTGATGAAGTCAGTAAATCTGCATTATTACGACACCTGTTGATTTCATCGTTTGGCAGACAACTACTGCTAACTTCAAATAATTCATGGAAGAATTTACAGAAATATAAAACAGCTGAAAGTGTATCTGGTCGGATGCATAACGTTTGATCCTGTCCAACTTTGAAACAGACATTGAAGCGATTGCGCTTGTTTGACATAGGCTAAATAATTCGAATATTTTGAGAAATTAAAAATAACTCTTTTAATATTGACAAGAAATTCATGAAACCATATTTGTAATACATGTATATATTCACTTAAGTAAAAGACCAAAACTACTCATTGGTCTGTCTGTCTGTCTGTATTCGACATAGAACTTTGCACACATGTGCGGCAGTTTAAGTCGTCACACTCCATGTAGCACACAAAGCAAGAGAAGAAAGTAGAAGAAATGCATAATATAGACAGTAAACAGAGGTGAGAGACAAAGGATTAGTAGTAACGAAGAAAAATACAGCTTAATTGGAAGTCATAAGTCACAAGGAGTGGATGCATCTGCGATAGCCATTGAGAACGAGGATTTTGAGCAATATCACCAATTGTTTCCAACCATTGGTGTTTACCATCACGAGGACCCCAAGCAGCCAAGAAGTCTACACGTTCCTACTTGGCCGGCTTAAACTAACTGTTGTAGATTTCATTGACTGGTGCCACTTTTTGGTTTGACCGTCGCTAGCTCTTCTCTAGCCTGATCCTATGTCAGCTAACATCGACCCAAAAAATTGTACATCCCGACTTACCCTACGGTGGTCCGTAACCGGCCATAAGTTTACTAATACGGAACCAATCCCAGAAATCAGTTCATCCAGGCCGTGTGTGACCGGCCTCAAGAAGTTGTCCCATGGGCTCTGCGGTCACGCAACACTAACTCTCTTTCTGTTTCAGGTACTTAAAGAATCATTCAACTTCCACAGTGTGGTCAGCCGGGAAGTAACGACCGCCCACACACTTCCAAAAGCACACGAAGACTTCCCGAGCATCATTCTCCTTTACTCACATCACCTTCCTCATCTTGCTTCTCTACTCATTGGTCTAGTTAATCAACTGTCAATCAGTGCGTCCAGGGTTCCGATCCCGCCTTACCCAGCCAAAATTCAGCCAGCCAGGTGAAACAGCATCATTAGCTCCCAAACAATAGACGTGTTGACTCAGTGTCAACTTCATGGAGTTACAAATGGTCGAGTAACACCTGAGGAGGCCGCTGGGTGACATGGAGGAGATCGTGTGAAGAGGAACTGAAACAGTATGGATTAACATGGATGTAAGTGAAAAGTACAGCAGAAGACAGAAGCAAGTGGAGGCGTGCAGTTGAAGCCCTATGTTCCACTAGGAACCCAAGGGAACAATAATAATAATAATATTCTGAATAAAAGAACCATGAAGAAAGCCACAAGACATTTCAGCGAAGGAAAAGTTCTCTATCGACGGTGTTATCTTTAAAGGCTATACAATCGTAGTCACATTTACTAAAAATGCATAGCAGTCTATTATTAAGTAACAGAGGTGTCTCACAGTGTGTGTGTGTGATATAATCGGTAGAGTTACTCAGGAAAGGTTTCTACTACAATATAAGAAATTACCAATGAGGTTCACTGTGGAACATATTTGATATTCTCAGAGATTTAAGTATTCAGTCAAGGAAGTTTTATCAGCAAATTAAAATATATGTAAAACTTTGGCACTTTGGTATTATGCAATTTCATACGGATTCGTCTATCGGGGAATATCACTTAGTTTGAAACAGTAATATTTAATCGATTCACAATTGCATCAGGACTTGTAAATATGCCACTTAGAAGATCGCCTGTTTTATAATTCCGGTTCTGCGGTTCTATTTCTCAAAAGGCTAGTAAAATCTCTCAGATGTACATCTGTGATTGGTAAATAAATCATGCCCGTTACATACAATCTCAGTTGATTCGATAAATTAAGCTTCAGTTAGCGATTTCTTTCTCAATCCTACTTATATTAGATTTTACGACTGTCAGTTTCTCCTATGCAATTGTAGTGAAGTGTTTAAATATTAGACTATTATTATTATTCCCTTGCGTTCTGAGTGGGACATAGGGCTTAAACAAAACATCTCCACATTTTTCCGTTTTTTGCCGTCCTCTTCAACTGTGTTCACGATTGACCAAATTTTCGCATCTCTTCCTCACATGATCTCCTCCATGTTACCCTCTCACCGACGACCCACTCGTTACTTCCCATTCGGATTCCACTCAAGCAATGGCCTGCGCAGCGTGCGATGTCATTCGGCGGCCTCCTTAATGTATGCTCGATCAACCCATCTCCACTTTCTCCTACATATTTTTTGAACGATCAGCTCTTGCCTGTTGGTTTGTTTCCATAGCTTCTTGTTGCTTATTCTTTCTGGCCAGCATTTGATCTTCAGTATGGATCAGAGAAGGCAGTTGTTGATGAAAGTCTGCAACAGGCTGTTGGACATCCTTTTCATGAAACGCTAGCCGAGTTTCTCACTTGTATAGAAGAACCGACTTGACATTGTTGTTGAAAATCTGAATCTTGTTCCTCATGCTGAGTGCGGAAGATTTCCAAACTGGTCTCAGGTTGATGAAGGCGTATCTTGCCTTCCCGATTCTGACTTTGATATCTTCGTCCGTTACGCCTGTAGTTGAGACGATGTTTCCCAGATAAGTGAAGGAGGCAACCTCCGTTGAATCTCTCCCATTGATGGTGACGGGTGCTGGTTGTTGTTGCTGTTATTGTTGGTTGGTTATCTTCATCACCTTCGTCTTCTCTGAGTTCACTTGCAGTTCTGTCTTCGCTGCCTGTTTCTTCAGCGAGTTTTTTGGTTTTCGCATGCAAGTCTTCGAGTTTGTGTGTAATTAGACAAATACCATCTGCGATATCTCTTTTTATTATAGCTAGATGAAATTCAAATAGGCGGGGATGAAATAATAATATTAAGTTTTGATATAAAACATTTATACACGAATAAATATTCCAATCAATGCAGTTCTGCAGGTAGTTGGCAATGAACCGGACATTGATCCTGAACTCACACACAGGACAAATCTCTTAGCTGAAAAAATAATACTAGAGGTACACAATTATGCCTGATCTCCACTGTATTCAAATTTCAGAATAATGTACACAGACAAACAAAATTGGTGGCGACTGGAACACCGATATTTCCAATAGATGGGAACGAAGAGCTCTTAATACGTTTATACTCGCTCTTAGGTTGTGGTGGGGAATATGTATACGATACGTACACTGTCTGAACATATCCCTAAGTTCTTAACTCATTAGTAGACGAAATTCAATTCAATTTCGAGTGAGAAAATCAATAAAGTGACTTGACCATACTACGTTGGGTTTCTCAATAACGCTGGAATTGAGGTGACATTTAAACCAACCGACTGTCTCAGAGATAAACTTTGTCGACTTAAGGACCCAAAAGAACCAAATAAGAAAAATAATATAATTTACCAAATACAATGTGATGACTGTGAGTGAGATCAATTACATAGGTGAAACTAGTAGATTACGGTCAGCTAAATTATTGGAACATAAAAATTAAGCTAGATCTAGGATGATTGATCCTGCTAAGTTGAATAACCTAGAAAAAACCTTAGCAACTGCATTACATTCACTTGCAGGTAATCACAAAATAGGTGGGTGGGACAGGGTGAGAGTATTAAAAAGTAACATAGTTAAGTGGAGAGAGAGAGAGTGAGGTTAATCACTGAAGCTTTGTTTATCGATTCAACACCGCACATATCCAGTCGGAATGACCTAACGCCTATATCGAAGATATGGAAAGTGACAGCAAACAACAAAGGGAGGTTAGAGAGACTGAAAGACAGATAATATGTATAAGCCATATCGTGAAAACGTGCGACTAAATTGATATCATTATGAGTGGCAATAATTTATGCTCGAAAAGTCATCCCAGTTGTCGATACTGCAACACTGTGTGACAACTAAATTAAACTTATCTAATATGAAATTACATTCGACCACAGTGCTCAAGCTCTACATTTATATTATTGACCATACTAGACTGTAAAATAAAACAAAAACAAGATGGTGGATTAGATACTAACAATTACAGAAGATCGATACACTCTAATAAATACTTAGACTTTAACTCATTCCATCCAGAATCAGTAAAGATGGGTGGGGGGTAGTTAATTGTTTCCATAATAATCCAGCCAGGAGCCTCACTCTAGTGTAAGTGAGAAGATTCAAATAATCAGATCAAACAAATACGGAAGACATTACTAATGAATAACAACCAACAAGGATTTATTCAAAAATGTATAAGTAACAGAAGAGTACTAATGTACTTAATGAAAATGATATAAATAATACGGGAATTCAAAGCCTTGATAGTACTGTCACATGAAGAAGAGTTCCTAGACAGGATTCTTAATAAGACTGAAATTTCAGTGGTATTCCGACCGACCAATTCACTCGGAGACAAACATTTGTCGGATTTAAGGACCTGATACATCCAACTACGAAAAATAATATAACTTGCCGAATATTATGTAATGACTATGAGGTCAGTTACATAAGGCAAACTAGCAGATCGAGATCAATTAGGTTATCTGAATATAGAAATTTAGCTAGACCTGGAGTGATTAATTGAATTTTAGATTTTCCCATCGATTGATTGGACCGAAGTGCTCAGTCTCAGGTTGACATGTCGGCTTCTTGAGCAGATGCTACGACGATGTCTGGGCATTTAATTTGTATTTAATTGGTAGGAACATCATCACTCATTGGGGAATGCAGGTACATCCAGATGACGAGTCCCAAATAGGACGAAATGCACATCCTGGATTCCACTGCTAGTCATCATCCACCAATTAAATATTGGAATGATTAACCCTACTAAATTAAATAATCTGAATGAAAAACAGCCTTCGGTCACTGTAATGCATTCACTTGCATATAATTGCACAATGAGGTAGTGGGGGATAGGGTAAAAGTATTCAGCAGTGACACAGTTAAGTGGAGATAGAGGTAGAGATAGAGAAAGACAGATTATCCATAGAATCAACACCAAAACACGTGCAATCGAAATGATGCCACGCCTATACTGAATAAATATATGCAATTTGCAATAAAATAACCCGTAGAGAGTGGAACTATGTGTGTAAAGGAAGTTATCCAGTCGTTTGAATACATTGATATGATTATGAGCCGTACAGTTGTGCTAAAAACGTCATCCAGTCATTGATACTCTACCACTGTGCATTATATATCAAACAAACAATATGTATGTATATATGTACATGATAAACAATACAATGATATCGCCATAACTCATATTTATACTTTAAACATACATTAACAACTGTAGATAAATAGTCAGATCGAGAAGGTCGATGAAATGTGATAGATAGACACGGTTGGATAATACCAGTTCTTGAATTAACTATACGCTTATCAGAATGCCAAAATATCAGTGAACTGCACAACTGCATAGGGTTCATCACTCTATCCATTGATGATGTTAACACTTTTGTATCAATTTCACATGGAATAAATATAATACATGGTTCTTTCTGGTATTTTTCTTCACTAAATTTATTGATTACAATCGGTTTACATTGAGAACACGGGGATTTCAATTGACCCAGTCGACAGTCTACCTATGAATAAAAGGAAGAGAGAAAAAGATGGGGGGAAGGTAATTACGTAACTTCATCATTGTGGAATAATAATTATTAATTAAGGTGACTGAGATGCTTTTATAGTGCGTCAGTGCTTCAGTGGTAGAATACTCGCTAGCCACATACGTAATCCAAAGCTCGATCTGCGGCCGATGCACCGCTTTGTCTCCCGGTGGTGAAGGAGGAGGGTTGGGAGTGAAGCTGGTAACCTCATTTCATAAAAAGAAACGTCACTGCTACTGAATCTTCAAAGCTCCACTAGATTGAAGCTCTAGGTCCCACTCGTGACGCAAAAGAATGAAGAATTAAGAAGAGATGTTTGTTTTTATAAACCAGCCAGATAATACTCAATACAACTGGATACAATCATAAAGAAATCAATCAATCACACACAGTGAAGCTCACTAAATGAATGACAGAGTTATAGCATAAAAAACTTTGTATAGAAGAGCAATAATTTAAGTTGCAACACTACACTCCATGTAACACTGGTTGAAACCAACTGTGAAAGACTTCATGAATTGATGTCAGATATTGGTTTAGTGCGTCTGTGGCATAGTGGTTAGGACTCTCACCGACCGTGCACATGGTTAGAGGTTCGATCCCCCGCCGACGCACTCCTTTACCTCGCTAAGCCAGAAATAATGCTGGTAAAGAGGAAAGGTTGGGCATGAGGTTAGCAACCCCATTCTGTAAAAATAAACACTGCTACAGAAACTTCAAGCCTCTAGCTTGAAGTCATATGTTCCATTGGAAACGTGAAGGAATTTTAAAAAAATTGGTTTAGCCACAACGAACAATCTTCCAACCTAATCTTAAATCAGCTAACATTATTCAACAAGGAAGGCGGAGGCTGGGAATAGGCATGTTCTAGTTCATCGATTGACGTCCCTTTCTTACCTAGTACTTAACGCATGACCTTAGTATTACTCATCATATTATACCACTTAACACTAGAGATAGGACCGAAATATCTTCCACATTCAATACACGTGTCGAACACACACAAAATAAACACAGCGAGAACTGCAGCACAGTACAAACTTCTTTTGATTGACAGCCAGATATTATCATTATATTATTATTGTTTCCTTTAATTCCTAGAGGAACATAGGGCTTCAGCGGCGCGTCTCCATTGCATTCGGTTCTCTGCTAGAGTCTTCACCTGGCTCCAAGTCTGCCCACACGTTTTCATCTCCTCTTCACATGACCTCCTCCAAGTCACCCTCACACTAACGACAAACTCACCGCTTCCCTTTCGGGTTCCACTCGAGCAATGGCTTGTCTAGTGATGTCACTTGATGGTTTCCTCAGAGTATGGCCAATCCATCTCCATTTCCTTCTACATATTTGTTTCACAATCGGTTCCTGGTTGGTTCGCTCCCAGAGATCCCTCCCTGTTGCTGATCTTTTCTGGCCGGTCATCTGATCTTGAGTATTGAGCGAAGACAACTGTTAATGAAGGTCTGTAGTTTGTTTGAGATGCTCTTTATGACGCGCAGTGCAAGTCTCTGATCCGTATAGTAACACTGACTTCACATTGGAGTTGTAAATCCGGATCTTATTTTTGATGCTGAGTGTTGTTGACCTCCACAGAGAATTGAGAGTAGAGAAAGCTTGTCTTCCTTTTCTGATTCTTGCTTTGATATCCTCGTCAGTTCCGTCCGCCTGTAGTTGAAACGATGCTTCCCAGGTAGGTAAAGGAGGTTGTTTTTTTCAGGTTCCTCCCATTTATGCTGATCGTTGTCTGTTGTTGTTGCTGTTGGCCAGGAATCTTCATCACCTCTGTTTTCTCCATATTCACCTCAAGTCCTATCCTTTCTGGATGCTTCTTCTTCTGCCAACTTGTTGCTTTTCGCTTGCATATATTCCAGTTTGTGGGAAATCAGACATATATCATCGGAGAAGTCTAGATCCTCCAAGTTTTTTGTGTGAGTCCATTTTATGCCTGTTTCCTCATTGCCCGCTCTTTGTCGCATTATCCAGTCTACTGTAATCAGGCAAATCATTGGCGATAGTAGGCAGCCTTGTCTTACTCCTGTCCTCACTTCGAAGGATTCCGTAAGTTTCCCGTTATGGATTACTTGGCACGCCAGATATTACGTTTACGCAGAAGATGACGTAAGTTGGTAAACGCCACATGATCCTTTTGTATCCACGCTAAGATTTTTCCTAACAAACAGTCCATTAAGCCTGACACAACTTCCCAAAAGAAGGACCTATATGTCATCTATAGGGAATTCCAAAAGCGCCCTTGACATTGAAGTTAGTGTTGAAGCAACGTTGTCCAGAAGGATAATAGAAAAGCTTTACAACTAAACGTATCAGCTCAGTGAACACAATAACGCGAAAAACTTGCAAAAACAAACAGCTTGTTAAAAACAATCAATCCCTACATCAAATTTTAAGAGTATTATTTATCTGAAAAACGTTATGCTGCATTTCTGCGATAATACGCCTCAAATAATCTGAACAGAAATCTATTTATCAAGTGAATTTATCTGGAAATGAAAAATTGGGTTGTAAATTAAAATGAACAAAGTGAGTACCATCGACACTACTCTCTACAATATGATTGCACTCAGCATGAAAAATACGATCCGGATTTTCAACTCCAATGTGAAGTGAGTGCTACTTTATAGATCAAAGACTTGGCGCGTCAAGAAAAGCACCTTAAACAAACTACAGACCTTCATCAATAGCTGTCTTCACTCAATACTCAAGATCAGATGACCAGAAAAGATCAGCAACAAGGATCTCTGGCAATGAGCCAACCAACGAGGAACCGATTGTGCAACAAATATGCAGGGAGAAATGGAGTTAGGTGGATTGGCCATACTCTGAGAAAACAAACCATCAAGTGATATGACACGCAAGGCCATCGTTCGAGTGGAACCCGAAAGGGAAGCGGCGAATCGGTCTTCAGTGTGAAGGTGACATGGAGGAGGTCATGTGAAGGCCGGATGATGAAAGCGTGTGAGCACATGTGGAGCCAGGTGACAACATTGGCGCAGAACCGAACGCAATGGGGAGGTGCGTCTGAAGCCCTATATTCCTCTAGGAACTAAAGGAAACAATAATAAATAATAATAATAGGATAGGTTAAGTGTAAACACAGGGACAGGGGGCTCAATTCTGCGGATGACTATGACTTAAATGTTTATTTAAGATAATACGCGCAATCATAGAAGATAAAATTAGCACAAACAGATGACGTCTTAGTTAGAACTTATCAATACCCAATGTCCAGAAAGCATAATTAACAGGGAACTCTGGCAACGAACCAACAAAGAACCTATTACCCAACAAATATGCAGAAAGAAATGGAGACGGATTAGACAGACGACGCTGAGGAGACCGTTCAGCAACATAACGCTCCAGGCGAACGCTTTAATAATGAGGTGAAGGAGAGTATGGCAGGGGATGGAGGAAATGAAAGCCTATGGGCAATCATGACGCAGGCTACAAACCATAACAGAGGACCGATTGAAACAGAGCAGTTCTGCTGAAACCCTATGATCCCCTTGGAACCCAGAGGGATAATGATGATAATAATAAACTTATCACTGTGAAAACCTGTTAGGTGGTTGGAAGAAATTGATAGAGAGCCGTACACTTACTGTTCTTGCATGCTGACACTTGTTAGCAAGAGGCATTTCCAACGTCCCTGACTTCAGCACTTGATAACGCGGATTCAAATCTCTTAGGAACAATCAATTCTTTCGGTGCCAACAAGTACGAAACCTGGATTCAGGGCCTCCTTCCATCGACAACTTAACGTAAATTCGAAGAACACCGACGATAACAAGTTACTTAGCTTGATGGCCAACAGAATGTACTTATCACCAACACTAGGAACTAAGCACACGACATTAGTTACTCCCAAGTGACCGATATTCTATGAGGTGTAACTTTCAGCCATTTAACATAAACCACATACAGAAATATTTATATACATATACTTACTTGTAAACTATTCATTGAAAATTCAAAATGATCGGAAGCATTGCGATTCCCGGTACCAGCAAAATTTAAAATGATATGTGGTTGACTAATTTGGCTAGTAAATACAGCTAATAAAGCATCTTTTCCACTGATATCCCCTTGACTGGTTGATTTCCATGCAAGAAAGTTAATTTGACGAGTAGTGATAAACAAACGACTAGGAGTTGACAGTAAACAATCGTCATGGTCATTAGAGAAAAGTAATTTTTCAAAAAGACTTGGTAATAAAGATTGTTGCGGTGTTTGTGCTGCTACTGGCGGTGGTGAAGATGATGATTTTTGTGCATGACAATTGGAAGTGACCGGAGGAATCAGTTGTACAAGATACGAGATAAGATCACAGTCAGCCAATATTAATAAATCATTCATTACTGAAAACTCCATAGAATATCCACCGTAGATGTACTACAATTATAAGGGAGTTCAGAGAAACATAAAACAAACTGAATGAGATGTGAAGATAATGAATACATGAAAGTATGTAAGCTTAGACAATTCAAATAATTTACAAGTGTTGGTTTCCATTAGATTTCATTAGCCTCAAGGTAGATCACGAAGTGACAGTAGTAAGACAATCCCTGAAAACCAGGAAATATTGGATAGCTCACCTCGTAACTTGAACAGTCCTTGGTATTATCTCCAGTAGGGTCACAGGCGCGCACGATACATGTGTCCAATACTTCCTAGTCCTTATTGGTGCTCTGAAGAATAATATCAGCCAGTGATCTAGCTTGAACCAATTGATTTGGTCAATAATACAATTTGAGGCTAAATTATTCGGTCCTAAAATATTGTGGTGAGAGCAGTCTGCTAGCCAAAATTGCAAACAGTAATTTACGTCAATGTTCACGTCCCGAATCAGAGTCATGAGGAAGAAAACAATAACAAAGCTCAACCTTGAGAAAATCACCAGTCAATCACAGCAGACTTCACGTGTGCAAATATGATTCGGAGATATATGGAAAAGCTTTCTGAGAAACGGCCACAATGAGATAACAGAATAACCTTCAGCAAGTAAACAACCAATCAGAAGACGGTAACTAACAATAATGTACATAAAAATTTATAAATGCCTCTTGATTATCTCAATAAACGATCTGTTAACTGGCTCTTGTCTTCCGTCGTTACAATGCTAACTGGACATCACAAGTATGAATAAAAAACCATAGGCCTTCCATAAGAGATGACTTTCCTGGTTCACTAACCTAGTGGACAACGCATTATTATTTGAAGTAATGGGTGCCGGTAGGGAAAAACATGACTCACTGAAGAGTACACACATCCAGCTTACAAGCCTCAATAACAAGTAAACACACACTCTGCATTCTATTGACAACCACACCTAATTAGAACATTACTTTTAGACACAGTAATAAGGAAAGCCTATGTGTCGGTGGTTTAGTGATACAACGATCGCCAACCAAACATGTGATCGAAGATTCGACCTCCGGCCGACGTACTACTAAACTTTGCTTAGTTTACTAACCGGCAGAAATTCTGGGAAGAAAAGACAAAGTTGGACAAATAACACCAAAGCCACATATGAACTTCAAGATCTCAAGCCTGGAGTCCTACGCTCCAATAGGGACAAAAAGGAATAACAATCAGAAGAGCCTACAATTAATTGTTGGACTCAATGTTTTGAAAGAGCTTCACATTATAAAGATTACGACTGATAATACCCCCCATTTGTAATACATTCAATAGTACCTCCAGGCTAGTTAGTGCATTGTACCTCCTCTCCCACGGGTTTTCAATCAACTTACTGAGTTCCATAATCTGACATTTAAATAATCTAATCAATAAAAAAAGAATTATACCAAAAAGAAGGTTTATTTATATATTTACTCTTACTGATTCAGAATTTTCATATTTCCCATAGGCAGGTGCAAAGATAACAGAAATATCAAATGAATGTACAATTGACCAACCATAGAGTGGATCATCTCTGCAAGAAAAAGGATATAAGAATGCATAGACGTTATATAATACTGAGTCATTTATAAAGCCTATTAATATAATATGATTACTACTCCGTTACTGAAGTTAATTCGATTTTATAACAACAGATGGACAGAAAATTGCGTGAATTATAAAGCTAGATAAACCATCTAGCATGCTTGTGTGTTAGAACTCAAATCCTGGAAGAGGTTCTCCCTGTTCCAGGCTATAAAGTCTGATGATATTACTTAGTTGTCCGGATTGAAGTCGACTATCAGGGATTCGAACTCCGGACCGACAGGCTGTAAATCGAGTATAATTAAATCACTCATCTACGTCTCACTTTAAAGTGGTTAAGCTTCAATGAAGTCAAGAGACGCTAAAAAGAATGTCATAGAATATCATGCTTTTCTTTGTCTAGATAGAGACAATGAAGCCCTAGAAATACTCTACTAACCTTTCAGAAGACATTAGATATATTTCGATAGAAATTTAAAAATTTAGAACAACCGGTCAACTCTTTCAAAAACATCCTCAGTCATGCTCTACTAATGAAAAGACGTCGAAATTCGCTGAATGCTTCCGCCATTTTTTTCTCATAAAAGCATGCTAACCAACACTTATCAATTATGCAAATGAGCATCTTTCTGAATATTTCGTACATCTGCTAACCGTTTTTTTGAACATAACTCAGCTCTTCTCTCGATCCTTCTTTATGACCATTGAAAGTCGAAGAAATGAAAAGGCTAGTTTTGTCTTCAACCACGTGTGTTTTGCCTCCTATCTCTCGTGTTAAGTGGTGCAACATGGTGCGTACTATTGAGATAAGGTGTACAGTGTTAAGTAAGAAGGGCAAGTAAATCGATAACGTTTTAAAATCACATCGAGTGAAATGGATTAGATGTGTCTTACGCTTGCCGAGTCATAAACCTTCTTTGTCAATTAATGTTAGCTGATATAGGTTTAGAGGCTGGAAAATAATTAAGGGTGGTCATTAAAATTTTAAAAAACTGCATCAATCCATGAAGTGTTTAACTATCACGTTTTGAGTAAAGTAAAAAGTGCAGACTGCCTGTGGCTGATATCCCCGAGATCCTAAGAACCAGCTATATTAAGTGCGTAGTAGTCTAATACTCAATAATGTGATTTAACCTTTGCTAGTATGATTAAACCGACGACATCGGTTGGGGTTGCCCTAAATCAAGAATTGGTAAAAGTCAGAATTCGTGAGCCAATGAATCGGGTCCCAGTGGCTGAATGGTATACGAACTAGCTGTCCTTGTAACCGGAAGGTCGTGGGTTCGAACACGTGTGGTGCATGCGTACTGCCGATGATTCCCAAACTAGGATGAAACAGCTGTCCAGTACTCCAGCGCTGGTTTTCAATGGTTCTCTAACTGATATCAGCCCGTGATCAAACTCATATAAACAAACCTAATCCTTACAAACCAAACTCTTGAAAATCAATCTGATCCTCCCTAGTGACTTGCTACAGGGTGGAGTTTGCTGGAATTCTAGTGAGAAGTCGTGACCAGTGAGGTCCATCCAGTTAAGTGTAAGGATGAATGTCCCGCCGATGACATTGGTTGTTGGTTACGCTAAATCACGAATTTGTAGAAGTTAGAATTCATGGACTGACCATTGAATCGGGTCGGGTCCCAGTGGCTGAATGGTGTACGAGCAAGCTAGCTGGTCTTGTAACCGGAAGGTCATGGGTTCGAACACGTGTGGTGCATGCATACTGCCGATGATTCCCAAACTAGAATGAAACAGCTCTCCAGTACTCCCTGGCTTTCTTTCAATGGTTCTCTAACTGATATCAATCCGTGATCAACTCGTAAAAGAAAAATAATATCGTAAAATTTAAAAATTTAAATACTACTTACATATCACTATAAGAAGCTACACGATTCCAATCTTTGGCTGGATTCTGAGCAATAGGATTTGACACAGATGAATTATAATCACTTTCAGGCTTTACATTACACATAAACTTGAAAGGTACTGCTAGAATATTTATAGAATTAGCCAGTAAACTGATTTGTTTATCATAAGGAATTACAATAGGCTTAGAGGCGAACGGTTGTTGTTTCCCCAACGGGATAGTATCATCACTGGTACACCATACTGGTCTTTCAATGAAATTTTCTACTAACGGTTTAACTTGAATAAAATCACACGATAACATTAAAGCATTTGGATATTTTACGCTTTGTTTGTTTTCAGATAGCTAAGAGGAAAAGTAGAAACACATTGATCATGATGTGCATATTATCATTGAATGATTAATATATATACATATATAAGAACACAAAAGCCACCAGAACTGCTAACTTCGCCTATCAATTATTTAAACGAAGAAGAAAAAACTTGGGACAATATGGCACCAAGAAAGATGCGCCACACAATAATAATAAAACAACATAAACTAAAGGTAAAAATATAAGTAGAAAACAGATAAAGAACTTCATCTGGAAGGAAAACAGTCATGTTTAACAAGTTCAAACAGTATTCGTTAACTATCATCGGGAATGGAAGAAAGAAGGAAATCGCAACACATTCGCCATTGATTACGATTCTTGGCCATATCCGATAACGTTTCGAGCCATCGATTTGAGCTATCTCTCAGACCCCAACCAGGGAGTCGTGACACACCAACCGATGCTAATCTAGCACAAATATCCTTCATCCCACGACGCCACGTCATGGGCTGACCACCTCTCCGCCTTTTCCATCCCGTCCCAGGGCTAGCGAACAGAGACCTGTACGGAAGCCTCTGGGGTGACATTCGCAGCACATGTCCAAGCCACCGGAGCCGGTGTTTCCAGATGACGACACTCTATGAATGGTGATCTCCACTGTGTTCAAACACACGCCGCCGAACCTCAGAATTACTCACGCGATGATGCCATCGAGCGCAAGCAATCCTGCGGAGACACACGCAGAGTCGCCGCACATCCTCAGCTCGGAGAGGCCAGGTTTCACAGGCGTAGAACAAGACAGCCCGCACCGAAGCATTGTATACCCGACCTTTGACAGCCAGGCTAACGGCGCCAGAGGTGGCTGAAGTTGATGTATGCCACCCTAGCCTTCGTTATACGGTTGGAAAACTCATCCGTCACCGTCCGCCAGCACTCACACAACTACCCAGATACACAAACTTATCAACAACTCCAAGAGGTTCACCCGTAAGAGTAAGTGCTGGTACAGGCTCCTGCCAATCTTGTAACAGTACTTTGCACTTAGACGGCGCAAAGCACATACCATACTTACAGACACCTATCGCCTATCAAACAACTCAGTTACCTGGCACAGAAACTGTGAAGACTTTAGATGATATGTCAATAATCAATGGGCCATAACCTCCGTAACTATGTATTGCTGCACGACCCAATAGGTAGTTAAGTGGTACTTTATAACGAAATATGCAAACTGAAAATTTTGTTGGCCGTAAAAGGAGTACAGAAGAAATATATCGCACTCTACTCGAGCTCACACAGACGTGTAAAACTGACAACCAGTGGTGTCGATTAGGGATGCCGACTGTCCCCAGTTTCTGTTTAATATTTCATCTAAGATGTGCTAATGGAATTGACCCTAACCAGCTTTGAATACATAAGGACTGACTTGTTACCAGGGTACAGTTTCATTGATTTAGAATATGAGTATGATAATATACCGTCCTAGGTGGAGAGGCTGATAAAATGCAGTCTTCTGAAGAACTTGCGCAGAAATCTTCGAATATATTTGACATAGGATTCGCGCCTGTCAAGTGTGACATGTTGCTGCTTCACAAACAGTCGCCACTGAGACTCTTGGTTTAAAGATACCGAGTGTTACGATGAAATCTGTTACCACTTCACTGATTTTGGGAGTTGCATCAACCATAATCAATTGACTGCTGACGAGATATCAACAAGGATAGAAAAGACTAATGTATCTACTTGTCAACTTATATCATCCTTGGCTTAGAACTGATATCCGGCTATCGACCAGAGGATGTGTGCGCTACGCAGCAGTTTGCTTTGTCCTCCTCTGTATGGCTTCGAGATAGAATAACTGAAAGTATTGGATGTGAAAAACCTTGTTGTCTTTGGTCACAGATGTTCGTCTTCTGTCCTTTGCTGTAAGCGGTATAATATTATTATGAGCAATCGGAGAGAGGAGGACAATCGATGAAGTAGTGAAAGGACATCAATTGAGATGACTCAGTACGTGATATGACGCGTTGGTAGCACAGTGGTAAAATGCTTACCAACCACGCACTCCTTTACCTCGCTAAACCAGTAATCAGTTTGGTAAAGAGGGAAGGTTGGGCATGAGACTAGCAACCCCATCACGTAAAAAAATAAATACCACTACTGCCGAAACTTCAAAGCTCTAGCTTGAAGCCTTATGCTCCACTGGGAACGTATACGAATAAAGTAAATAATAATAATAATAATAATAATAATGAAATCACCTTATATAGGAGTAGGTTGGAAAAAAGGTTAGGTATGGTGGAAACATGTGTATAAGTACTACTGAACAGCTGAAGAAAATGAATTAACTAAAGTGTGCCTCTTTTTCTTTTGGCGCAAGGAGATTCATCGTGCTGAAGTTTCTGTAGCAACTTTGTTTACAGGGTGGGGTTGCTAGCCTCACGCCTGAGAAGGGGGTTGTTACATTAAAATATAGTTTACAGAGAAGCGACCTTGTGGGTTGCTCCCCTTAAAACCAGGAAACGAGGAATAAAACAAACAGAACAACACCAGCAAAAGGAAATAATTCACAACAGGAAGGGCAACAAGCGACAACAACAATAAAAATAGAAAAACCTTAGCAGTAGTATCACAGACAGATACAGTTAACAGAAATGATACCAAAATCATAGACTCACTGACTTGAGCCAGCTTGAACGTGTAAATCCATCAATATATACAATTATAGGTATTAGTTAGTGTTAGACAGTCACAAAATGGTAAATAGATAGTTATAGGTATTATCGGTCAACAAGGTTATATCCACAGATTCAGTGTTTGAAAGGCAAATAGTTACAATAATTTCCGCAACAACAACAGATAACAATCATCATAAATGGGAGGAATCTGAAAGAAACAACCTCTTTTACTTACCTGGGAAGCATCGTTTCAACTACAGGCGGAACTGACGAGGATATCAAAGCAAGAATCGGAAAAGCAAGACAAGCTTTCACTACTCTCAAGTCTGTGTGGAGGTCAACAGCACTCAGCATCAAAAATAAGATCCGGATTTTCAACTCCAATATGAAGTCAGTGCTACTATACGGATCAGAGACTTGGCGCGTCATGAAGAGCACCACAAACAAACTACGGATCGTTATAAGTATACAACTTGGGCACTGTGGTAGAGTGTAACTCCATTATGGATAAGATTTTATTTTGATAAATCACACAGTGTTACACAGTAATATTAACTGATGACGTTTCGAGCACAAATTATTGCTCATTATATATATATATATATATATATAAATGAAGGAAAAAGTTGTGTGAGTAACTTGATATGATTATGAGCAATAATTTGTGCTCGAAACGTCATCAGTTAATATTACTGTATAACAACACTGTGTGATTTATCAAAATAAAATCTTATCCATAATGGAGTTACAAACTACGGATCGTCATCAACAGCTGTCTTTGGTCAATACTCAAGATCAGATGGCCGGCCAGAAAAGATCAGCAACAGAGATCTCTGGGAGCGCACCAACCCAGCAGGAACCGATTGTGCAACAAATAGGCAGGAAGAAATGGAGACGAATTCGCCATACTCTGAGGAAGCCATGAAGTGACATCATACGCCAGGCCATCGTTCGAGTGGAGGTTGAACGGGAAGCGGCGAGTTGGTCGTCAGTGCAAGGGTGACTTGGAGGAGGTCATGTGAAGAGGAGATGAAAGCATGTGGGCAGACCTGGAGCTAGGTGAAAACTTTAGCAGAGAACCGAACGCGAAGAGGACGCGCCACTGAAGCCCTATGTTCCTCTAGGAATTAAAGGAAATAATAATATAATAATAAAGTGTGCTTCTTTGCTGAACTACATATTTTGTCTTTTTCTTCATTAGTGCTTGGACGGGGAAGAAAGGAAAAAGAAAACAACTCAAAATAAAAAGCAAAGTTTAAATGACAACTTACTCCAGATAATACATAGAACATTCGAAATGAATCAATAGTAGCATTAATAACTGGTAATGAATTAACACTGAGAATCGACCCCATGCATATATCATCTTTCTTAACTGAATAGGATTCAGGTGAAGCAGAATCTCCGACAACATCAACAACAACAAGTGATCCTTTATAGTCGAAACAGTTGCTAATGAATTCTGTGATTTCATGAAGCACTTCTGGAATAATTACAATATCCAGCGGTTGAACATTAATATTAACATGATTCTCCGGGTGCACACTGTATACTCTACACGAGGTGTTGTTATCAAGCATTACAGATAAATCTGATTGAGATGCAGAATAGTAATCCGATGTACTATTAAACTTTGAACAGGTGCGTGTCATTACTATACGCAGAAAGTATTGTCCAATATTTGATTTGTCTTCATGTCGCTGGCGAGTTGAATTCAACCAGTGACGTTTACGAGCATTTAAAGGGATCAAGGGTATATAGTTTTCTTCGAACCATGAAGATTTAGCATAGTCATTCGACTGGACTTTAGGATGAATACCACGGTCGTCTTCATTGTTAGAGTTATACGTTAAATTGATGTGAGGTTGAAGAAGTTGAAGCGGTTGAATGTCTTTTTCCAATAAAGTAAATAGCGGGATCTTCATTCTGTAAAATAAGTAATGATGAAGGTAAATAATTCATATAATAAGTTTTATATGCAAAAATGAAACATTGCTTTCTCTCTTACTCTTATGTGAATCGTTCATCCCACATAGGCCACTCGTAGAATGCATAATAGTCAAATTAATTAGCAGTTGTATGTTTTTTAAAGTTAAACAGCCATAATATTTATTCAATGAAATGTGGTAGAGACGTGATTTATTGGCTTAAGCCTTGCCAGATTCAAATCCCGGTCTACTTATTTCAGTCTGCGAAAGAGAAAAGTAGCATCAGCATCATTGATTTACTAATGAAATTAACCCTAAATCACTTCAAAATCTTAGGGATTGACTTACTACTTTACTTTACTTCGGCTATCTCCTACGGGAGGATGAGCCGGCTTCATGAACATCTCGAATCATCGCTGCACAGGCGCGGCGATCTGATGCAAGGTTTTGCGACAGGGTTATCCAATTCTTGTTCCACAGACGGAGTCCGTAGACGGTTTGTAGCCCCAGGCACTCCATATCAGCCTTAACTGTACCAAGCCATGTAAGAGAGTTCATGAAGTTTCATGGGAATTTGGTACGAGTGATGTCCCCAGAATCGCTCGGCCTTTTGTTTGAGAGTGCAGCTCCAGCCTTTACACAACCAAGTGTGACCTACAAAGCAGTAGGGGTGGAGTAGGGAGTCCACTATCCATTGGCAGCCGGTGACCGGAGTTCGGTTCATACGCCATTTTGAATGGGGCCAGACATCCAGGACATCCAACAAGCCCTTTGTCCATACTTCTGCCGGTGAGCTCCAGTGAGCTTCATACGCCAGTCGTTGGAGGTTTGGAATCAGGGTTTAGCCATCTCCCCTAGACTGTCATCCAATGGACAGTCAACCCGGTGAAGAGTGCCGGGCATCCGCTTTCGCCCTCTCACTTTGGTGAAAACACCTCCGCCACGTGAAGGCAGTGAGTAGGACTTCCTCAGGAGAGGCTATGTAAGACGCCGGTCATATGGGAGCATTTCAAGAGGTGTGCGGAGGGGTGGCCAACCCGCAGCGCAAGGCACCCACCCCCGACCATCCTGAGGCTTAGGAGGCTGGTGTTTCCGCCCAGGCTTGCTGCCAGGGAATAGTCTCGTTGACTTAGAATATGCGGATGATATAGTCCTTCTAGGTGACGCTGACGCTGACGAAATGCAGAGTATTCTGAACACCTTGAACTGCAATCTACGAATGTTTGGCATGCGATTCTCTCCCATCAAATGTAAGATGATGCTACAGAACTGGACTTAACTACATTGACTCATTCCTAGCTTAGAAATAGGAATTGAAGTGGTAGAGCGTTTTGACCACTTCACTTATTTGGGTGGGAAGTTGCATCAGCCAACGCCAACGAGTTGATCGCTGACAAAATCTCAACACAGATATAGATGGTTCGTTTGGCATATGCTAACTAACACCATCTCTGGCTTAGACGTGATATCCGGCTGACTGTCGACCAAAGGGCGTGTGTACTGCTCAGAAGTCCCCTCCGTCCCCTTTATGAATGGCTGTGAGACATGGCCATTGAGAGTGTAAGACATGAAAAGCCTGGCTAGCTGTCTTTGATCACAGGTGTCTGCGTTCTTTCTCAAGTGTGAAGTGGTATAATAGAGTGAGCAATATTGAGGTTAGGCATCGGTTGAGTGCTAGGTAAGGAGGGGAAATCAATCGACGAGGCTGTGAAGTTACATCGACTGAGATGGTTAGGACATGTGTTACGCATGCCTAGTCAACACCTCCCTCGACGGGCAATGTTAGCTGACATGGGATGGAGCACGTCGGAAAGGAGCTATTGGTGGTCAAAACAAAATATGGCTTCATCAGTCAATGAAATCAACAAAAGTTACTTTAAGCCATTTAGGAAGATGTAGAATTCCTGGTTGGAGTCCTCTGGACGGTAAACACCAATGGCTGGAGACAATCGGTGATATAGCTCAAAATCGTTCTCAATGGCTAGCGCAGATGCATCCACTCCTTGTGACTTATAATATCCAATAAAACTATATTGTTCTTCGTTATTACTATTCTTTTTGTCTCATATCCCTGTCTAGTGACTCTATTTTTGCATTTCTTTTTACTTTCTTCTCTGGCTTTGTGTACTAAGTGAAATGTACACACACACACACACACACAAATATTTATATATAAATGCGATTGTACAGCTATGTGAATGAATTCGCCGAAAAGAGTCTCTTCGCTGAATATCTTCTCTTTTTCATATAACTCAATGGGGATTTTCAATCTACTAAGTGAAATGTGGCAACTCAAACTGCTGCACATCGGTACAAAGTTCTATGTTGAAATCAGTCAGTCAGAACACTTTGTAGATCAATTTGAAGGAGGCGTTTGTTGAGATAGAGTGACCAGTGTTGACAAGATGTTCGACTGTCATACTCCTTGCCAAAAGCAATACGTTTACATCACCTTTTCATTCCTAAAGCACTAGTCATATTCAGGTAGAGAAACTGGAGCTGTGCATATAAAAAGAAAACTATTCAACCCCTTCCACTATCATGGCAAGTAAAAACACTATTGATTTCTGCTAGCTTGGATTTTGCTTGTTTTTTTAACTTCATATAACTCTTGTATTTCTTTACAGCTGTCACATAATTCCATATTTTCCTTCGTTTCTATACGCTTGCTGATCACCTTATTACGTAACTACAACACACTTAGCTCCGATCATATTAGATAGTTGGAGGCAATCGACCACAGGAAGCCTTGGACCTAAGTTTCGTGCTAGTTAGCACTCACCAATCAGCAGGGCGTATCTGCAACCTTCATATCCCTCCTGAGATTCGAACCCGCGTCTCCAGCCAGTGCTGCAGTCGGAGACGTTAACACTGAGCCAGCTATTCGGGCTCGCGATTGACCTCCTATAGGACTGTAGTGGGTACTTTGATTGGACACTAGTACCTCAAACTATCTAATATCATCAAATCAATGTACACCATGATGGCGAGCTACCTAGTGGCATGGTGGCCACATTGCAAACCTGACTGACAGAATTCAATCTGTGCCAAAGAAAGAAAGGACTAGACACATCACACTAGTTACTAGTGTCCAATCAAAGTACACTTAACTTCTTTTACGCATTAACTGACATTAACAATTACGTGTGTGTGACAACTCATCCTGGATTTCACTGCTAGTAGTCACCAATCTACTGCAATAACTTCACATTAATCTTTTAACATAATTGAAGCATCTCTACTAGGGGTCGGTTGATACAACGTAATCAATCAATAAGTAATAAAACGACTCAATGTTTGAGAATAATTAAATGAACAAACAAACAAATAAACAAATGAGAATTGAGTCAACTTACTCTGTTGATTTTTGTATAAAAGCTGAGAATGCACCGACTTGAAAATCAATTGAACAACATTCTTTTTTTATTTCAAGTATCAACTGGACATTGTCAATAGACCAATGCAGCAAAACAGGTTGATCATTATTTATCGGAGTGGAATGTGACAAGTTGATTTCACCATTAACACTAGACAAACTACACTGAACGTGTAGAGTAATACTAAACGGTGGAATTGATGTTGACAATTCTTCATTTTCTGAATATTTCAGCTTAGTTGAATAACAACAACTACTCATTTGAGGTGATGGATAATTCATTGTGGTTCGAGTAGCTTTCATTTTTCCGTGTGGATGAGTTAGTAGAGATTTATACACAATAGTTGGTATATCAGTAGATGATTCTTCTAGAATAGAGATACTATTCAATGAAGAAGTATACGGAGGTGAATGAGCAGCAGTTATGGGCAATAATTTGCTATTACAACTTGGATTTGAATTCCTACTGTAAGATGTTCTTGATAAGAGTCTAGTAGAAGTAGTGTTTTTATACACTGTCGTTGAAAAATCCAAAAGCTACAAAGATAAAAAGCAAAATAACACATTGAAAGAAAGGAAATTCTATCGAATGTAAAGCATGTTTTTGAAGTAACAGCTGGAATACTTAAACTATTTGGAATAGATATGTAGCACACAATAACCAACCCAATCACTCAATTCAATACTACACAGACGAAAAGATCCAGCTAACAGCAAAAGAATACAAGAACTACGCCATCTAGGAGAAACAAATGGCACAAACTATGATAAGCACCTATTATATAGATCTAAGTAGGCTTCCCCCTCCGTTTGACTCTGAGTACAAGAACATAAACTAGCAGTTAGGAGACACGACAAGTATTCTTCCATGTATCGATGCATGTAGACAATTATGGACTTGACCGACTTCACCGGGAAAATGTAGAAATACTAAACCCCTGAAAAACCAAAATTGACAGGAAAGTCATAGAAGCCTAGTACTCAGGCAAATCTGTCATTATCAATGGACATATTGCTTTTTTTATTCCTTTACGTTCCCAGTGGAACATAGGGCTTCAAGTTACAGACCTGAAGTTTCGGTAGCAGTGGTATTTATTTTTTTTACGGGATGATGGAGAAGATTTGTAGCTCAGGTGGATGACTTTTAAGTGGTTGTGTTTTCTGAGCTGGATAGTTAATTTACGAAACTTTCATTGCCCCACTACTAGGCAACATCTTCAGAGCACACTTCAATTCGAGGAAGTGAGCTTTTAGATTTCTCCACGAGTTTATCAGTCATTCATCTTGGTGACCTTGAATGCAATTGGTATTTTGTGTTTTTACACCCTCTAGGTACTTGTATTGGTACTGATTTTTTTTTACTTGAACCGTGACCCTTTGTGTGTGAGATTTCCTTCTTATCGGTTGGTAAATTTTGTCTATGTTGATGTGTCTATTGACTGATGATTCACTGGAATACCAGGCAGGCTTCTAAAAATTCTCTAGCATTCTTGGTGTTTCCTCTGTCTAATATTTGAACGTTGGTTGTCCGTGGTTGTCTGTATGCAGTGAGGCAGTATGAGGGAGTGGATGTCATGTCTTTTGACGGATAGTTTGTGATCATGAATACGAAGACGAAGGGGACATCCACTCTGGCGACTGTAGTGTTTTTCGCAGTTTTTACAATTTATTTTGTAAATGATGTTGGTTTTATCTTCTTTCGCTGTTGAGTCTTTTGGTTGACACAGAACTGAGTGAAGTGATTTTGTTGGTTTGTGTGAGACGTCAATTCCTAAAGGTTTGAAGAGTTGGCTCTATGTTCATATTGCAACAAGTCCACGGAACTCCTCGCAGTCTGAAGTTAAGGCATACTGCATAATAATACAAGACATCGGAAGCGCTTGACAATTCACAATAGGAAAAGGTTTCCATTCAAGCTATTCATATACCAAAAATGAGGATGATTTATCTCAATTAGATGTATCAGGCGGAAATTTAAAAAAAACATGAATAAAGTCATACAGGTAGTTTAACGATCTATATAACAGCTGAATGCATTAAGGAATGCATTGCTTAATTCAACTTGAAATTACTTTATTCACACAAATGACAAGTGCATAGGTTATACCAAATTGCCGGCCAGCCAGAGAGAATAAGCAACAAGGAACTGTGGCAAGGAATGGATGGATTGGAAATACTTCCAGGAGAGGGTTGAATAAAATGACACATCATAAAATGGCACTCGACTTGGACCTGAATGGTAAATGAAGAGTTGGGCGTGGGTCCGAGGGTGAACATGAAGGAGATTGTGTGTACTTGTATGTGTGTGTGGAGGAAATGAAAGCTTATGGACAATTGTGGAGCCGGCTAAAAACGACTGTACAGAACAGGGTAAAAAAACAAAACAAGGATGTGCTATTGAAACCCTGTGTTCCAATCGGAACCCAAGAGAATAATATAATATATATACATACATATATAAAATATTACCTTGGGAATAACAACACTGGATAAATTGTCATAACAAAATCTGACCACATTGACCATATGATTTAAAACTTTAAAATCCACACCTCTATAATTTTCACTAGATAAATAACTCGATTGATGACCAGTATCCAATTCAATATTAACTCGTACATTTATAGCCATTGAATTAGTCTTATCACCGGGCGTCATTTGATTAGAAGTAGACAACGTGTCATTATTATTCACTAGACTCAGATCATTTACTTTCTTATGATTCGCATCTAAGCTGATTGACATTTGACCAGCAAATATTAAACTATTTTCCATAAGTAAATATGCCTGACTAGCTGATATACTCCAGTGAATAGCGGTCGATTGTGGTGTAGTATTGCTCTCCTGTTTCAGCATTATCAACATAGGCAATTCAAACAGTCCACATGACCATAAACAATTACTCAGAACAATATCATCACCATCTTGTTCCTTGTTAGTTAGATCTTCTGTATTACAATTATAATTTGATGCATACAATTGAGGGAAATTGAACAGCATAGAAATATCTTCAAATTGTTTTAATAATTCTTCAAGATATTGATGATTTATACTATCAGCAAAGGAGGAAAATGTTGTTGGACATTGACACACTAATGTATATATCTTTAGGTGTTTGGTAAGAATCTAAAATATTGATTAAAAAAAAGAAAAACAGAAAGAAAATCAAAAATCCATAAATTAAAGCTTCAAGTTCGCAATCATGAGTGGTATGTAAAACAATATGTTGATTATTCAAGTATTGGTTTGCAGGGATTTGGTTGGTTGGTTACAGGATTTCATCATGAACTGACATTGGTTAGAGAACCATTAGAAAACCTGGGAGTATTGGAAAGCTGTTTCGTCCTAGTTTGTGACTCTTCAGCATTTCCACTTCTGGTTCTGAACAGTACTCTAATTGTCATCAACTTGTAACGACAGAAGACAAGAACCAGGCAACAGATCCTTTATTGAGAAAATCAAGTGGTATTTCTAGATTTTTATGTACATTATTGTTAGTTGAGAATCAACGTCTTCTGATTGTTTGTTTACTTGCTGAAGACTATTCTGTTATCTCTTTGTGGCTGTTTCTCAGAAAGTTAAGCCATATATCTGCGAATCCTATTTGCACACGTGAAGTCTGCTGTGATTGTCTGGTGATTTTCTCAAGGCTGAGCTTTGTTATTGTTTTCTTCCTCATGACTCTGATTCGGGACGTGAACATTGACGTGAATTGCTGTCTACAATTTTGGCTTGCAGATAGTTCTCACCACAAACTTATTACACAGTCTTTGGATGATGTGCTGTTACCTCGAAACACCACCATCGGTGGTGTGAGCATTTGCTACAAATGACATCATCTCAACTGCTCTCATATTATTCACTGTTTGGAGTCAGTTAAAAAATGCCGTGGGGTAGTCAGCCCATGATGTGAAGAAATAGGATGAAAGATAGTTATGTTAGGTTACCATCTATCTGTTGGTGCACTATGACTCCCTTTGTTGGGTCCGAGAGATAATCCGAGTCACTTAGTTTGAGGTGTTATCAGATATGACGGAGAATCGTAATCGGTGGCAAACATACCGAAATTTCTTTCTTTCTGCTCTTTCTAAAGCCGCAGGATATGATGAAAGCTCCTTAAATACTCTTCTTTGGTGTGTTAACTTGTTTTTCGTGATTCTTTTCCTCAATCATTCCATCTCTTCTCCAAACCTTAGGCTCGTTTTTAGTGTACGGCGCATCTCTCGGTACACATGTTGTACCTAATATGTGTTTAAGTAATAATAATAAGAATATGAATATGACAAAACCTTCCTTAAAATCCCCGCAAGCCCAACACTTGCATAATTTCCATTTTATCAGTGTAGTTATGTTCTCTGACGTGAATTGTTTATTTGAGTAGCATTCATAGTCTTTCAAGCCATAACAGAAGTTACAATTCACTGGTTAGCTCACAAACTCAAATCAGTTAATGAACCATTGGAATCCAGGAAATAATGTACATTTGTTTTGTCCTATTTTGGAACTCTTCAGTAACTCGCAGCCATGACCCCACAGAGGATAGAATCCAGGGCCTTCGTTGAACAATCAGCTACTGAAACGGAATCTAATATCCCAAGGATTCTGACTTGTGCCAACTTGTGATGTACAAAGCCAATCCCAGGCAATGTCACCGATGAGTTTCAATCCTGACAGCCAACATGGCGGACAGCACTCGTAGCGACTTCTCGCTAGAACTCCAAGCCGTCCATCAGTCGTAATTGTAATCGAACAACTTCAGTGTTTTTTAAAACTATACCACGATTAAATTTACTACCGCTTCAAGGACGTACTTTGTGCGAGTTATTCTATGAAGTGAGGGTTAGCAAATTTATTTTTTCTAAAGTACCTATAGCGAGAGGAATAAAGAGAAGCATACAAACAGTCTAACCTGAATTTTAGCATTCTGTAATATCTTTTCACAATAAACTAAACGTTTCCAAACTTCTTTCCATTGAGCCATATTCCCGATAGCGAATGAGTAGGCTGGTGAAATGACAGAGTATGCAGAAAACGAAGAAGCAATAATATTGGCTTTGATTAACTCTTTAGAGCTGATATCAGAACCACTTTGTGAACGAGTATTTAACTGATGCTTTTCTGAAAACACCAATCAAAAAAACAATACACAAAACAAGAAATTTCAAATGCTTTATTTGTAATTAACAGGGAAAACCAGTTCTTCAAAGTCAGCTTACATGCAGAAATAAATCAAAATACAAAGTTAGACAAAGTTAGAATTCATGCATGGGTCAGCCCAGGTGGCTAATCGGTTGACAAGTTTCTGCATACAAAGTGAGGACTGCGTTTTCGATCCTTAGTGGTCACTTCTCACGGAACAGGCATATCGATTTAGAGTATGCGGATATTTTCCCCCAAGGTAAGAACGCTAACGAAATCTTCGAGGTTTTTTCTCAAATGTAACATGATACCGCATGACTCGTTTGCAACGACTCCAAGTTTAATGGTATAAAGTGAAGCGGCTAGAAGTATTGACCTCTTCACTTATTTGGGAAGTAACATTAGCCAAAATCAAGTGATTACTGACGAAATCTCAGCACGGATACGAATAGCTCGTATGAAATTGCTCAACTTTCATCATCCCTCGGGTAGAAGTGATATCCAGCTGTCAATCAATGGGCGTGTTTACCGGGCAGCTGTTCGCCTTGTCTTTTTTGTGACTATGAGACATAACCGTTGAAAGTGGGAGATATGAAAAGGCTAACTGTCTTTGATTACAGATGTTTACGTTCCACTTTCCATGTAAATTGGAAAAATATGCGCAGTAATACTGAGTCCATTTGTAGTTTTAGGTAAGAAAAAAAGAAAAGGTTATGAAGGTATATCCACTGAGATAGCTAGAAGGCGTGTTGCGCATACAGTGAGGTGATGAGAACTTAACATAAATGAAATATATAATGTTTTGAAGATCTTTTCAACCACCTGTGAGACACTCAGCTGACAGCCTGATGATAGTTTAACACAGTGTGTGAATACCTATCTATAGTGAATGAATTACACCATTAAAATTCTAATAAGTTAACTTCAGCGAACTGTTCGTACATTGCATTTAATCATTTAAGTATACTACGGGGTGCCACCGACAATTATACATCTCATCCAACAGTTGTACGACAATGCTGCATGTCAAGTAATCCACAACGGGAAACTTACGGAATCCTTCGAAGTAAAAACGGGAGTAAGGCAAGGCTGCCTACTATCGCCAATGATTTTCCTGATTGCAGTAGACTGGATAATGCGACAAACAGCGAGCAATGAGGAAACCAGGATAAAATGAACCCACACAAAAAACTTGTAGGATCTGGACTTCGCCGATGATATATGTCTGATTTTCCACAAACTGGAAGATATGCAAGTGAAAAACAACAAGTTGGCGGAAGAAGCATCCAGAGAATATAGGACTTCATGTGAACATAGAGAAAACAGAGGTGATGAAGATTCCTGGGCAACACCAACAGACAACAAACAGCATAAATGGGAGAAACCTGAAAGAAACAACCTCCTTTACCTACCTGGGAAGCATCGTTTCAACTACAGGCCGACGGAACTGACGAGGATATCAAAGCAAGAATCGGGAAAGCAAGACAAGCTTTCGCTACTCTCAAGTCTGTGTGGAGGTCAACAGCGCTCAGCATGAAAATGAAAATACGTTCCGCATTTTCAACTCCAATGTGAAGTCAGTGCTACTATGCGGATCAGAGACTTGGTTCGTCATAAACAGCATCTCAAACAAACTACAGACCTTCATAAACAGCTGTCTTCACTCAATACTCAAGAACAGATGGCCAGAAGAGATCAGATCTGGGAGCGAACCAACCAGAAACCGATTGTTCAACAAATAAGCAGAAAGAAATGGAGGTGGATTGGAGGCCATACTCTGGGAAATCAAACCATCAAGTGACATCACTAGACAAGCCCTCGAGTGGAACCCGAAAGGGAAGCGGCGAGTTGGTCGTTGAAGGGTGACTTAGAGGAGGTCATGTGAAGATGAGATGAAAGCATGTGGGCAGACCTGGAGCCAGGTGAAAACTTTACCAGAGAACCGAACGCAATGGAGACGTGCAGCTGAATTCCTATTTTCCTCTAGGAATTAAAGGAAACAATTATATAATTATTAATATTTTTAAAAAGTGCCTACTTTTTGTAAAATCTGATGTTTTCATCCCGATGAATGATTCATCAATTGAATTATTCACACATTCATTACACTCATGATGATACGATTGTATTTCATAATTCGTATTTGGTGGAGCTAAATACGAAAACCATTCAAATAATTCTCGTGTAATTAAACAATCAATTTTGTTTAAATATGCATGACAAATGATGGGCGCTATATTTGAAAATTTTTAAAAAAAGAAAAGAAAAATACAAATGACTTGAAAGTTTGCTTAAAAATCAAGTAAATTTTTTGAAAAAGTAGGTAGATATCTTATAATAAAGTTAACACATTCAGAATAGATGGTTAAATGAAGCGTGAGATTTGGTATGAATATCAAATCTTAGAATAATAACTAATAATAATAATAATAATAATAATTGCCTAGTAGCTTCTAATCCATGACGTGATGACACATACTACTGAATGATCGATATGAGTAGTTGAATTATTAACTGGCGGTTTGTTTAAATCACTAGGCTACCGAATTTTCTTCCCATCACTCAGACTGCATCATGCAACTGCGTTCATGAATCGTAGCCTACTCTTTCTCTCTCTCTCACGTGCACAGACATTTTAAGAAAGGTTTCAACCTAGTGCAATGAATACGTTGAAGGAAACGGAAGAGAGACATCGCTGATTAATGGAACATGTTTTGGATGAAAAAATATTGTTTCAATGGATGCATTATCGATTACATTACATTACTTGAAGATCTTGAACAAGGCGTATATACCTTGCGATAAAAGAAGCAGAAAATTATGTACTATGTTTAAAACGAACTTTTCAGGAAAAAGCTATTATTATCATTATTATTATGAATCATGTCAACCAGTAGTAGCCATTAGGCAGACTGAAGTGATATAAACACCGGGTGGTCATTTCGCTCGCATCTAGGCCCAAGCTCATTAGCGGTATGTACGAAGGGATTTAGCTCAGACAGATAAGTCATTTCAAACCACCTGAACTAATTCAACAAAGGAAATGATTACCTAGGCAGATTGCTGTGTACTTCACTCCAGTGGAAGAAATGGATTCAGACGGATTAATACACATTTGACAGGTTAAAGGAAACGCTTATTTCAAGCGTTAACTTAGAGAATAGAAAAAGAAGAGGGACCTATCAGCGCGTTAACACGATAATGACCTTCAATCTGGCAGTAAACTAAATCTATGCCGACATCACAATTTTACAATATACTACAAAAGATTGAATAACCCTGACAATTTACTTCAGTAAGCCTCCATCTGACTATTGAAAAAGCCCTAGTGTGAAACTGGTAATTATAAAGTTTATTATTATTATTATTACTATTATTATTTGTGCGCGACAGCCACTTGCACTTTCACGCAGCTAAATCAGGCTTAGACCACCTAAAACCAGTTTGGACATATTTAAGCCAAAGGATCACGGCAGAACGTTATAATAATGAGATTGGACAACCTTGAAGACCAAAACTTAATCAATTATTTATTTGCCTAATTTATCGAGGTGGATAATATATTTGTGTCTGTACCGCTGTGCCAACGATGCACAGAGCTAGAATGCTAGCCAACGACACATGTGGTCCGGGTTTGATCCCTGGCCACAGACGCATTCCTTTACTTCGCTTACTCAGTAATAATACTGGTAAAGAGGGAAGGTTGGGCATGAAACTAGCCACCCCATCCCGTAAAAATAAACACCACAGCTACCGAAACTTCAAGCCTCTAGCTTGAAGCTCTATGTTCCACTAAAAACGTGAAGGAATAGAATAATAAAAATAAAAAGGAATATATATTTTTATATAATACAGATCGATTGTTCTCACCGGCTCCGACCAGTTTTTTTTATCCTTATTTCAGTGGACTCTAGGGAGGTTGTAGTGATTGGAAGTCGTTCTTCAGACGGGTGTAACTACTGCCCCGTAGTCGCAGCATTGTCATTAATGCTATTCACATCAACCTCTATCACATCTTGGTGACATTATCGAACCTAAACAGAGCAGTATTCTTTTCGTACGTAATACTCGTTCACATCTCAGTATAGGAGGGGGGGCGGGCGGCGAGACTCGAAGCCATGACCCAGTAGTGGTTGAGAATCTACCACCTATACTGACTAACTAACTAACTAACTAATGAGCTATATAAAAAAGCCAAAAATTCATATCAAATACACTACAACATAAATTATTATCAGGAAACAAATTATTTTTCTTTTTCTTTACCAGTAGACGATAAATCATGTAAATATGGGATTTGAACAGCTAAACAAAACAATGGTTTCATTGAAGTTTTATGCTCAGTTGACTTGTCACCGCTTCTTTCCACAATTGGACATATTCTCCTCTTTTCATTTAAACAATTCAAATACATTAATAAATTTGTTTCCAGACTAATTTGTAAAATAGACACACACTTTGTAAGACATAAACGAAATCTAGAAATTCCATGAATTTTTGTACACCATATCCATGAGGTTTTAGCAGCTATATTAAACGACAAAACAAAATGAAAACAAAAATTAACTTATTTCGACGATTGGGTGCAGGAGGGAGATATTTTGCATTATATTAAGAAAAATGATAAGAATATCAATCAACGAAAAATGTTTGAAAAGTAGTAATCAATTCCCAGTGACGTAGTGTCATTCAACGGTATTTTCCTCAGCGTATGCCCCAACCATCTCTATTTTCAAGTATTGGGATTTGATTGATTGGTTACAGGATTTCATCATGAACTGACACCTTGTAACCAGAAGATCCTGGGTTCGAACCCTGTCGTGGGTGCATGCTGCTGAAGAGTTCCAAACTAGGTTGACGAAACAGCTGTTCAGCACTGCCTGCAAGTTTTTCAGTGGTTCTCTAACCGATGTCATCTCACAATGAAATCCAGTAATTATCTTCATTTTCAAGATAACTGGTAGATGGTGACTAGCAGTGGAATCCAGGATGCACATTTCGTCCCAGTTGGGACTCGTCACCTGGATGTGCCTCAAGTACATCTTTATTTTCCTCTGCATATTTATTGGGTGATAGGTTTTCGGTTAGTTCTTTATCAAATTTCCCTGTTGCTTATCTTTTCCGCCCTCATGATCTTCAGTATAGAGTGAAAGGCATGAGAGTTAACTGCTCATATAATGTAATTCTGTTCTTCGTTCATTTATAGATATGAGAGAAGAGAAATAAATAGCTTATCGGTCAAAATGTGGGGCTTTTTAAACCAATAAATCGCAAGTTCACTCATCACATACAACACCTACCTCTAAGTGACTTCAAACAATGTTATATTCAAATATGATAAGAATTCATACAAGAAGTATCGGTCATATATTCTACTACATTAAGGGCAGAGAATTCACTTTGTAAATGTATTTCATTCTGTTACAGGGGATTTTTTTAAGGATTATCTACTAATACTGTTTGTTTCTTGTGTTCAGAAATTATATTATTTATTACAACTCCATAACCACTAGTCTTTCTACGCAGTTGGCAACGAGACATACACTTACTGCGCGAAGAATAATGCTATGAACTGGCTGCACGAAAATCGGTAGGTGAAGCAGTGTTGAAACCCATGACCCAATTGTGCTTAGGTCACTCAGTCACATCCCCACTGTGTTCCAGTGTGGAGTGTACAGTTTTGACGGTACATCTTCGTTGTACTTGGTTCTCTGCAATCATGACTGCCACTAGCTTTCTAACTGCCCTCACATTATCTTCTCCATGTCACTCTCAGGCACCCAACTCACTGCTATACACTCCGGGTTACCTTCAAAGGCATTTATCATTAAGTGTATATCAGAATACCAGTAAAATTTACACCATAATATACCTGAATAACAACACTAACGAGTTTCGACGATTATTTCAATTTAATAAGTTCAGATGAGTTGGATGTTAAGACATATTTATAGACAGAAGTCCAGTAGTTCAGCGAAGAGTCTCTTTTCGGTGAATTTATTTTCATAGCTGTAAAATCGCAAATATATGTATAGTTGTTTTGTATGTGCGTGTACATTGAATTTTCCAAACGAAAATACAATTTGTAAGTTCAGATGAATTGGATGTTGATATAAGAGGGTAGTAACAAAAGTGATGAGTTGTCACAAACGATTGTTAAAGAAGAGTTACGTAATAACGTGAATAGTTTGATGAAAGAGTTGTGCTCAGGGTGTATATGGAAACAAAATAACATACGGAATTACGCAAGAGTTTTAAGTAGTTAGAAAAATAAGCATACAGACAAAAGTTAAGTCAAATCAACGGAGTTGTTACCATGATAGTAGAAGTGGTTGAATAATTTTCTTTTGTAAGCATAGTTCTGGTTCTTCCAACTGCAATGCAAAGAAGATGGAAACGTATTGTCTTTGGCAGGTTGTTCTTCACTTTGTAGATTACTTTGAAGGAGAAGTTTGTGGAGGTGGAATAACCAGTGGTGACGAGATGTTCGATTATTGCACTCCTTATACAGCAACTACTTCCTTTCTGCAGCCACGCTGGATAGTGTTCTTTGACCCTTTTTGACAGGATACGAGTCAAACGACCGGCACCACAGCAAAAGGTGAACTGATATATACACATAGAAGTGGTCAGGTCCTTTGGGCTTCTGCAGATTATCATCAAACTATTAACGTTATTAAGTAACTCTTATTTAACAATCATTTATGTGACAACTCATCACTTTTGTTACTACCCCTTTATATCAACATCCAGTTCATCTGAACTTACTAATTGTATTTTCGTCTTATTATGTAACTCTTCTTTAACAATCGTTTGTGACAACTCATCACTTTTATTTCAAATTTAGTCTAAAATCCAAAACAGAGATACCACTTTATTAGCTTAACACCAGTGAAATAATCTCGTTAACAAGAGATTCTGAGCTGGATACCTGATAGGATCATGGGAGCGCACTGTTAATATCGGTCCATGACAAAATCTACATAGATATCAACCAAAATTTGAAAAATACATTACTTGCTAAAATCTGACATATACAGAAATTATTTAAAAAAGGGTGAGTAATCATTAACTGACCTGAATGAGAATCATTTTCTGACTGATATTCATAAACTGGAGGTAAAGAAAGCTGTATATCCTCAGAATAACAATAAGCTTTTAAATGAAACAGTTGATGGAACAATTCACCCAAAATATATGATAAGTAATTAATGCATTGTAAAGAAAGGTACATTTCCATTGTGTTAGCCAGTGTCAATCGATACTCCAAATGACTAAGAGAAGGTGAACTCCTGTAAAAAAGGGACAGAATGAAGGATAAAAAAGAAATATGCGTTTCAGCTTAAGTATAATATACGCAAAATTACGTGAAACATCGCAACAGACTGGCGTAACAAACTGTTATCGTTTATAATAATAGTAATAATGATTTACTTTATTCCAAAAACAGTACTTGTGATACAGAATGGAATGCATCTAATTTCCTCAAATTAGAAATAAAATTAATCACACAGAAAATTTTTCTACATTTACAATAGGGTTAATATGAAAAAAATAACAAACATGCAGCATATAAAATGGAAATGATAATAATGATAGCAGCTAAGGTAATGATAATAATACAAGTGGAAATTGCCGTGGGCTTGTTTCACACAGTATTGTCGATGCGGTATACAAATCCTTGCATGATTAAAAATATTGAATATGATGTTCTCTTTACATGATATGGTGAAGGAAAAAACAAAGATTACAGCAGTCATAGAGATAAGTTGGTGTTTGCAGTTATGAAAGTGAAAACAAAGAATCAACAGGACTATAAATATAATAGAAATAATAAAAGTAAAACTTGAAGGTATATAAGGATGTATGGAGGAGATGGTTTATTTACTAGATGAAAAAAGGTTAGTCAATCCTTGCCTGACGCTATTTTCATCACATAAAATACTTGCCAAGTATGGTATCATAGAATTTTTATACTTAGACGTGCGAGCATACAGATTTCTGAAGTTACTTCTTGTTCTACCTGATGAGATGCGCAAGGTGACAACTGAGGGTAAAGTGGATGCTCCAAGTCAGACAAAATCCCTTTAGCAAATTTACTGCACGAAGTCAAATGCCTATCGACAACGACGTTAACTATGTGGTCCACTGGGACACCACTCATCTTACTGACAGTCTTCAGCATTCTACGAATTGTGACATAGTCCTTTTTAAGCAACCAGGAAAGAATAAGGGTCAACAATAAAGAAGAATAGGTAGGATGCAAGAGTTTATGAACTGTAAGAGGAGGGGTTGAGTTATACTCGAGTGCCTTAACTTCTTAATGTAAAATGTCAGGTGGAATATTTTACTGGAGGTCGCTAAGACATGGGAAGACCAGGAGAGATCAGAAGAGATAACAAGTCCAAGATACTTAATTTCTGATTTAATTCCTATGTCAGTTGATGTTGATGGAATCCAGAACTCGTCAGCCGGATACGCTTGCATCCTTACTGGGTAGTTGTGTTCCCAGCGAGATTCGAAAGGCAACACCCATCATTTCAAACACTAAAGCGCTATATCCAGTAGCCCACTCAGTCATGGATATCACCTACTATCTGTTTAAGTTACCTTCTATTTCGATTGATTGATTATATTCGATCGAGATGTATTTAGGGATGTTTTAAATTACATTCCCTTGGTAGTAATATTACATGCATAATAGTAAAAACACGGGAGGCAGAAGGCAAACGTATGCAGTTAAAGACAGTTAGCCTTCTCATATCATCCACACTCAGTGGGCGTGTTTCGCAGCGAATTGCTGCGCAGTAAACATATCCTTTGATGTATAGTTGGGTATCACGTCTACGCCACGGATGACGCAAGGTGATTTAAAACACCACACCAGGCTTTCATACTCGTGTTGAGCTATCATCAGAGACCAGTCAATTAGGGCTAATGTATGTATTCATCAATAATAACACCCTAGAGTAAGCTGGAATTAAAATTTGAAAAAACACAAGCAGATGCAGGTATTTTGAAATGAAATTCAAGCTGACGAAAAAACTTACCATAGCTGGGGACAATTCAATGACCAAAACATACACTCAAGACTAGACAATTTAAAAATAGTCACATTATCGTTAGATTTATTGGCAGTTGTGGCAGTAGTAGTGGAGGTGACTTGTGCATTTGTGGAAGACTGGTGGCTCACATGAGCATTCCTGACTAGATCAACAGATATTCCAGTGAATTGGACAATTGTTCGGTTATAACAATAAGCTATTAACTGTTTATTCCATTCTTTATTATTACTTGACATATTCAATACATCTGAGTGTATATCTTGTAACCAATCATCGACGCGTTTAGTTGGATTACATAACTCCAATTGGATAAATTCATAACTACGTTTAAATAAATACGGTGGGATGTTTAAACGCGTAATAAGCTGAACAATATCATAGGGGTATACAGGTGCCCGACTGAATAAGGATATATTCTCTAAGTGAATTTGTAGCTGAGGAGATAAGTTATTCTGAAAAGAAAAAGAAAAGGGGTATTTTATTTCTAAATATTATAAAAAATTGTGATTAGAAAAAAGAAAACAACAGCTTAAAATCAAATTCATCATTTATAAATTACACAGTTCAAAATGAGAGGACTCATCATAGTCTCCTATGGCTAGAAAACATCACTATTAACTGATTTTAATGTAGACTTTGTCAAGAACCAATATGCGTTAGAGATCATTGAACTCGTAGCCTGAAGGTCCCGGGTCAATCCCGGGAGAGTTCGTGGGTGTGCACGAGAAAGCTGTCCAGTACTCCCTAGTTCTGTGGAGTTTTAGCTGATTGAATTAGGAGTCCAGCTTTCAGCCAATGAGTATGGAACTTCAAATCTAGCTTTATCAGACTGGATATCTGGGTAGTATCATCGGACTCTCGCACGATAAGGGTTGTCTATAGCATGAGAAATCCAATCAGGGATAACTGAGTTCTAGTGACAATAAAAACAGTTGACCGTCATCATTTTTGTCATTCATTTTGCGTACTGAGTGGAACATAGGGACGGCTTCAGCTTTGAGGTTACAGTAGTAATGTATTTTTAAACGGGAGACGTTGCTAGGTTCACGCCCAAGAGTGATGCTCAGGTAGGCTTCGTGTGCTTTTGGAAGTGTATGGGTGGTTGTTACTTCCCGGCTGCCCACACCGTGGAACTTGGTTGAGTCTTCGGGTACCTGAAATAGAGAAAAGGTTAGTGTTGCGTGACTGCAGAGCCCAGGGGACAACTGCTTGAGGCCGGTCACACGCGGCCTGTTTTTGTTTGTTCTTACTCATTTGGTGTTTCTCAGTAGCGTATTTATCACTTCTGCCCTGTGACACGGCAGCAGAAAGCACGGTCGTTGTTAATCCGGGCCCCAACCGATCCGGCATGATATTTTGTGGATTTGTTTGAATTATAGTGTAGGATTGGGAAGCTGCTTTTTGTCTAACCGCTATCCAAACAACTTTTCTGGCATGGTAGGATCTACAGGAACATACGTTCCAGTCATTGTAGCTCGTTGGGTCATTGCGATATGCAAGCCCGACCACCACGTTAAGGTAGCAGCTATCAGTCGGGCTTCACGCCCAAACTCCCCTCTTTATCGGTTTTGCTACGAACTAAGCTAGGTTTAGGAGTATATCAGCCAGGAAACGAATCCAGACCACGTGCAAAGTTGGCGTACATTCTCCCAAAGATGCGAATTATTTACAAATGCTTGACATAAGTAGTTTTATTGAGATTTCAGGTTTTGTCAGGATTTTAATTAAATTAAATGTAAGTCTCACTGCTACGAGCCAACGTCAGTTAGAGAATCACTAAAAACCAAGAAGTACTCAACAGCACTACGTCACGAATCGACAGAGATTGCAACCCACGCACAGGTGACTGATTTCCAAGTCGGTAGCTGAAACGTCAACATTCTTGAGTTCCATCCCTGGATAAAGTTGTGGATAGGCACCTCTGAAGAGTCACGAACTAGGACGAAACAGCTATCTAGTAATATTCGATAATCTTCTAATTAACGTCGGTTCACAACAAAATCTCCTAAAAGAGATATTTTCAATTTCATATTTTAAAATTATAAGATTATAATTACACGAACTTACTCTGTTAAAATTATGAGAAGTATTTACAGATATTGTTCCAGCGCTTATATCCAATTGTATATTACACATTGGAATATGCTGTGAATAACGTGACAAAGACATTTCATTCGGTGTGGATGCAGAATTGATATCTAACATTGAATAAAAATGAAAATGGAACCATTACTTATCCAAAAAAACATCAAGAATAAATAATGAGACAGTTTGAACATTTGTTTACTTTGATGGGAAAAGTGTTAAAACAAAACGGTCTGCAAAGTTCTGTGACGTATGTTATCACCATCAGTAAATGTCTTCACACCCAAATTAATGGACCCTAACCTCCCCCCCCCCCAACAACGCTTGTGGGCACAAATTCGAGAACAGTCTATAAACTCTACCTCATAGTCATCCACTAATGACGAGTGGATTAATTGTTGGTTTTTAGGGATTTTATTGATTTAAAGTAGGATTTCATCATTAATCGATATCATTTAAACTGGCTGGCGGTCAGGCGATAATTCACCGATTTGCAGGAGTTACAATTGATGGGCTATTGGGTATACAAGCTCGCCTTCTGAACTCAAAATCATAGGTTCGAACTTTGGTGGGGTCATGTGTGCATACCGCAGAAGGATCCCAAACAGGGATGAAACGGCAGTCCAGTACTCCCTAGTTTTCAAGGTCCCCTAACTAAAGTCCGCTAGTGATTAATCATGGAATTTTACTTTAATCTGACATGAACCGAATCCCTACAAACTAATATTTGACAATCTATACAGTTTCTTTCATCGGAGAAATTCTATAACACGCTTCTTTCTACAGTTTCTTTGTAAACAGAGTGAACATAGAGAAGACAGAGGCGATGAAAATACCTAACTAATAACATCAAGCATAGATTACTATCAATGGAACAAAACCAAAGGAAATCACCTCTGTCACTTATTAAATCAGCTTCGTTTCCACTACATATGGCGGTACAGATAAGGGTGCCAGAGGCAACCAGGATCCGAAAAGTATGACAAACCTTCATTAATTTGAAATAACTTTGGAAATCAGTATACGGAAAAACACTCGAATTTTAAACATTAATGTCAGGTCAGTACTTCTAAATGCTACGCACACCTGGCGTATGCAGACTTTCACCAACAGCTGCCTTCGCTCCATATGAGATGGACTGTCGGTCCTAAAAGACTTACAACAGAGAACCTACGTAACCAACCAATCAACAGCCTATCGCCCAGGGAGGAAATTAAAGATGGATTGGACATATGCTAAGATCGCTGAGTAACATAACGCACCATGTGCTCGAGTGGAAACCGAATGGGAAACGATGAGTTGGGCTTAGGTTCAAGTGTAACACGGAGGAAATCGTGTGAGGGTGAAATAAAAGTGAATTGGCAATCGTGAAACCAACCACAGAAGACTGTAGAAAACAAAGTGGAGTGAAGATGCGCCGCTAAATTCCTACGTTCCACTAGGAACCCAAGAGAATATAAATAATGAATTTTCCGTCGAATATAAGTACAATTGTACAGCAATTTGAAAATGACTCATTGAAACGAAAAGAATATCATATAAATAAAATGCAATCCTTTCTACAAGAATTAGTCTGTATTAACGATTACATACGAAAACCTGATAAATATATAAAAAAAATGTAAATGGGATACTAAGTAAACTTTTTGAAACAAAATACCTTCTATTGTAATTGAACATGGAGGATATGGATGAGAAATTTTATAGGCATTTACTAAACCTCCCAAACGATGAATTAAACTCGGTGATACTTCTACTGAATACGAACCAAGTAGACAACGGTTATAAATATACTCTCGTACACCGTTCACTTGATGTTGACGAACAGATGGAACTAAAAAAAAAGGAGAAGTAACAATTAAAAATAAAACAAAAACCTATTTTTAGATGAGCGACAAAAATTTTATGATGTAATTAGTGAGAAAAAAAATCACTGCTGAATTCAGGTTTATTAATACAAATTTAGGGATTTCAATGTGGAGCTGCGACTCATTTTTTTCTAGTTGCTCGACTTGCAACTAGTAAGCGCGACGGGTTCGAAACCCGCTCCACCTACCGAGATTTAGGCAAACAGATGGAGTTACTGTCTCTCAAACAGTAGTTTTGACTCATCGCCAACAGCACAGAACTGAAAGGGATTGCTGAGTAGCATCTCACTAACAGACATTTAGATTGAAGAAACTGACTCATAGATAGAGAAATAAGTCTCATTGGTTTGAGCACTTGACATCCATCTAATAGGTCTTAAATTCGAATTCCCACTTCGTCTAATTCAAACTGGGTAATTAGTTAGCATCATCAGTCATCAAATCATATGTGTGACTCATAGAAATTTATTCGGGGTAACTAAGTTCAGTATAATTACAGAAAATAATTTTATTATGCTATACGCGTCGGTGGTTCAGTGGTAGGATGCTCGCCAACCAAAACACACTTGCTCCAGGGTTCGACCCCCGACCGATGCACTCCCAGACTTCGCTAAGCTGGTAGGAAGGCAAGTAAAGAGGGAAGATTGGGCGTGAGGCTAGTAACTCCACCCCATAAAAAATTTTAAAAAACCCACTGCTACCCAAACTCCAAAGCTCTAGCTTGAAACCCTATGTCCCACTCGGAACGTAAAGGAATAAAATAACAAAGATGAAAAATGTTATGTATAGTCAGAGGCAGATTTCGTCAGGAGCCGATATCACTTAGAGAATCATTGAAAACGAAGGAGCAAATGACTGGCAATTTCTTTATAGTTTGAGACTATTCAACAGTGAACACATACAAAACTCATCAGGCATAGAACCCAAGACCTTGAGGTTCCGAGTTGAACGTGTTGGTTAGTCGTGAAGAAATCTGAACTGAAATTGGTCAAACTCCCTATAAAATCTAAAATCCGACTATACATTTGCGATTAGTCCTACAAATGTAAGCATTTATATCTTATATTGTATTAAGAATACGGATCCAAACAAAGTAATTTACTAATATCAATTGCAGACAGTATGATATAAAACAATTGACCTAGATTTGTACTGACTGAATTGTTAAGCCAAAAATAATTGGTTAGAGAACTTCATCATGAGCTGACATCAGTTAGAGAACCATTGGAAAACTTGCAGGGAGTACTGATACTGTTGTCAGGGTCGACCATACAGCAGCACGCACCCACCAACAGGGCTCGAACCCAGGACCTTCTGGTTACAAGGCGAGCTAGCCACTGGGACCCAACCCAATGGCCCATGAATTCTAACTTCTGTCAATTCACGACATAGCGGGACCACTTCACAATGTCTTCTTCGATGATTAACTGTCCTTATTCTCAACCAGTTGTACCCTACTGGCCACGGCTTCCCACTAGAAGCCCAGGTAATTGCCTGAATAGGGCCAGTCACTAGTGGATATCATTGTTAAACAACAGTAATAATAATATGGTTGTAATGATGTGTTTCGAAGTTCCTGTAGGGACTGGATTGATTTTTAACAATAGGCACTACGGAAAAGGATGTCAAAGCCAAGGGTAGGGAAGCGAGACATACCTTCAATAATTTGAAATCACTCAGGAAACAACTTACTACACTCAGCTTAAGGAACAAAATTTCGATTCCCAACACCAATGTTCATATGTTTTAGACACTTGGAATGTATGTCATGAGAAGCCTTCTCAACAGACCATTAAAGACCTGAATCAACAGTTGGCTTCACTACTACATACTGAAAATGGTCAGAAAGGATAAGCACCAGAGAACACTAGAAGTGTAGTGAACCAACCAAAGATTTATTGCCCAACAAATAGGCAGAAGAAAATGAGGACTGATTGGATAGATGCCGAAGACATTGTTGAATGACATCACCCGCCAGACCGGCCACTGAGTGGAAGCCGATTGAAAAAAAGACCAATTGGATGTGGATCCGAAGGTGACATCGACATCACATGAAGAGGAAGTTGAAGCATGTCGGAAGTCGTACAGCCAGCAAGAATGAATTATATCCTTTTTTTCTGGTGTGAATTTCAAATAAAAACTAGAGAAGGCATATCTCCACTAATTATGTAAAGCTACAATCCACTAAAACCCCACTAATTACTTTATAAATAATTTCACAAACCTGTTACACTAAGCAAAATGATAGAATCAGAAGTATTAACTAGTGCAAAAGTCAATTATCAGTAAAGAATCAACGCTTCGAGTTAATTTCTTTATATCGTCTAGTTTTAATACAACAGATAAATATACGAAAGGAGGAGGGCGAAAATTTCATGAAACTGAGTGCTTCAGTTGAAGTTTAATGTGTTTAACTCAGAAACTCAATTACTTGGCGTAAGCTTTTCATGCATTCAGTTATGAATTACACTTCTTGCTAGATGGCCAACAGCATTACTCAGTAATCCAAGCTGAATTAGCTGGAACTCGATTCGAACAGGGGAGACGCAATGGCTGAAATTTTTGACTTAGTTTTATTTGCTGACAGATTGACAGATTTCAAAAGAGAACTTTGCAAAGAAGTGCAACAGTTCAAGTTGACACACTACATCTAGTACACAAAGATATAGAAAAGAGAGAAAACAAGGAAGAAGAAGACGACGATTTAGTGGATCGGGGAGATCCCCAAAAGGTGAATGCATTCGTACCACCACTGAGAATGGTTTTGAGCCAGATCACCATTAGTCTCCAGCCAATGACTGGGACATTGTTTGCTTGCAGAGCTTTTAAAGGCTTTATATTATTTGGAATTTTTCTTTACATCTGTGTGCTGTTTACACTAATCTAGTACTCTGCTACTTTCTTATAGAACTATATAATAATCGCTTATGACATAATGGATATTGATGCCTTTTACACAAAACAACACTACAGTCTCACTTAGTTTTCTACACAGAAATAAATATAGCGAGATGAAAAATTACTGTTCACCATTGTAAAACCAAAGTGAACCGGTGGCTCAACAGTTCACCAGCTCACATGGTAGATCCGAATTCATTTTCCACCTAGTTTACTAACCCCATAAATACGCCTGTAAAACAAAAACACCACCATTACAGAAACTTTACACACCTTCACAGCCCTATTTCCCACTAGGAATGCAAAGAAATAAAGAAAACAAGAAAACAGTGAACGTAGACTAGATTGAATTACAATTATAACTCAATTTCCAAGTAACAGGGAATTTTCAAAATTTATATTATATTTGAAAACTTTTTTTGCCAACAGTTTGGTTAGCAGTGTTTAAATTGTGAAATTGTTATTCCTACTTTTGCTGTTAGAAAGTTGAAAGCAATCAGCTGGAAACCATCGACCGAGGTTTTGTGCTTGTTGGCATTCACTAGTTAAGTCAGCAAGGCGTATCTGAAGGAACTCACGATAACTAAGGTCATTTTTATATTCCTTCATTTGGAGTAGACTAAACCAAAGTATCCTTTAGTCCTACAGGAGAACAATCTTCACCCCGAATAGCTCATTGGTAACATCTGTGACCACAGTACTAGGTGACAAGGGTTATAATTTCAGAGTGGACGTGAGTTCCTCCGAGATTGCATATACGGCCTACAGACAAATTTGAGGCTTCCTGTCGGTTGCCTCCAACCAGAGTGCATAGTGTGGTGGTGAGCCACCTAGTATGGTGGCCAGATTGTATCAACACCATAGATTAGACGCATTACACTTATTTACTACCTAATGTCCAATCAAAATTTCTACTTTTTAATAAATTTTAGTTGCTTGAATTAAGCTCAGATCAATTAAACACTAAAATATTAAGTCATACATGATTTCATCATGAGCTGATATCAGTTAGAGAACCATTGGAAAACCTGCAAGTACTGAACAGCTATTTCGTCGGCCTAGTTTGAGACTCTTCAGCAGTACGCACCCACCAACAGGGCTCGAACCCAGGACCTTCTGGTTACAAGGCGAGCTAGCTCGTAGACCACTAAGCCAATGGGACCCCATCCAATGGCTAGTCCATGAATTCTAACTTCTGCCAATTCACAACATAGCACGACCACTAGCCAATGTCTTCAGTGAGTATTTGTCCTCACACCCGACCTGCTGTACCCTACTGGTCACGACTTCCCACTAGAACCCCAGGTAACTACCTACCTGAATAGGGCGAATCGCTAGTGAGCATCTCATCGATATTCAAATGTTGGTTTGTAGGGATTTGATTGGTTACAGGATTTTCATCATCATTTCATGAGGTTCATTTCATTTCATCATCATCATACCATTAAATCATACATTCCTTTGTCATCCACGCCCACAACATAATAGCCAACTTTTTGAACTCATAAAAACGTCGTAAGAAATATACAATCTGCTGATTGAAAAACTCAGTGTTTACAATTCTTTGGTCATAATACCACCTTTGGGTTATAGTATACAGAAAAAAAACTAAAGATTTTAATAAAAAATAACTTACTATCTGAAGGTGTAACATTTGAATCATCCAAGCTAAGCGAGCATAATGAATCAAACCAAATGGCTGGATAATGCCTGCGTACATCTTTATCTATTAAATGTTTGCTATAATCACTTAGCGTTAAAATAGGTGAATATTGAAATTCAGATAATTTATCGTTGGTATGTAAAGTATTATCACTTCCACCACTATAAGAATGTTGTTGTGATGAAACAGCTGAATAAAATATTTCCCGTGGATGAAGAAAAGATTCCGATGATGACAGCGATGAAGACGACGCATTGGAATTTATCGGATAACATCCAAGTGATATGAAATTCGGTTGGATTCTATCAGGCTAATGACAAAAAGGAAAAATAAAAGAGGACAGAAAAATGAAACACGCACATCTGAAGGATTTATCATCACGACTATGGTTACACGCTTTAAATAGTAGCATATTACTGACTTTTACTAGTGATTATCATTATCATTACTACTATTGCAAATGGGTTCCGTGTAGACCATAGGGCTTCAGCAAAACATTGCCATTTCACTCTGCTCTTTCCAGTCAACCAAAAGGGCGGGTGTACTGCTAAGCAGTCTTCGATCATAGGTGCCTGCGTTCTGTATCCCGTGTGAAGTGGTATAATAAGGTGAGCAACATTGAGGTTAGGCATCGGTTGAGTACTAGGTAAGGAGGGAAAATCAATTGACGAGGCTGTGAAGCTAGATCGATTGAGATGGTTAGGACATGTGTTAGACATGCCTGCCTAGCCATCGCCTTCCTCGACGGGCAATGTTAGCTGACATAGGGTCAGGCTGGAAAAGAGATAACGGTGGTCAAACCAAAATATGGCTTCACCAATCAATCAAACCCACAACAGTTAGTTTAAGCCAGCCAGCCACGTAGGAAGGTGTAGACTGCTGTCTGACTGGGGAAGTCGGGACCGTGAAAACCAATGGCTGGAGAAAATCATTGATATGGCTCAAAATCGTTCTCATTGGCTAGTGCAGATGTATCCACTCCTTGTGACTTAAAATTTCCAATGAAGCTATATTGTTCTTCGTTATTACTATTCCTTTTGTCTCATTAACTTGTGTACTTTCTCTTTTATGCATTTCTTCTACTTTCTTCTCTTGCTTTGTGTGCTACATGGGGTGCGGCGATTTGAACTGCTGCACATCTGTGGAAAGTTCTGTGTCGACAGCAGACAGACAGGCAGACAGTCTCTTTTAACTGGCTTCACGATCGCCCACAAGCTTTTATTTTTGTTCTCATACAGTTTTCTCCATCTCATCCTTGGACTTAAGTCTTCCCATTCAGATTCTACTAGACAGCCGGCCTGGAATGTGATTTCACTCAACGGTCTCCTCAGCGTGTTTCCGACCCGTCTCCATTTTCTTCGGTATATTTGTAGGGTGATAGATTCTTGGTCGGTTCGTTGCCAGAGTTATTTGTTACTTATCCTTTTTCGCCGGCTGTTTGATCTTCAGTCTGGATAGCTGTTATAAAAGTCTGCAGCTTGCTGGAACTGCTTTTGGTAACCTGACCTGAAAATCCAGAGCGTGTTCCTTGTGCTACGTGCAGTAGATATTTACAATGATTTCAGATTAATGAAGATCCGTCTTGCTTCTCCGATCCTCGTTGTCTTTGACGCTATCAGCTGTACTGCCTGAAGTCGTATACTGATACTTAAAATCAATGGGCAAGAAAAAGATTACAATACTTGATACTGTCAGTCACATTGACAGGCATTATTAAGGAGAGTATCTGTAAACTTGACGAAACTTAATTCCAACTCCCTGATATTATAGACAATACATACGGCTTTTAGTTCCTGGTGAGGATACAAATTAGTTGATTACTCCTCTCCAACAAGGCTTAAAATACATTTTCAAACTTCCTACACCTTAAACATTTTTACTATGATTACAACCAGTTGATTAAGTTCACTTGTATCCCACATAATTAGGTGATGATTAAATCACACACAGGATGGTGTACAACTGAAATCTTTGAGATCCTAAGAATCCATTTCCTGGGTGATTCAAAGTGATAAAAAACTCGCCAATCACTCAGCAGGACTACTCACTCCCAAAACTTCATCTAGTTTGCTGGCCAGTAGTAATCCAGGGAAAGAGGGAAAGTTCGCCATGATGCCAGCAACCCTGCACCACAGAGACAACACCATTCCTACTGATGAAACTTCAGAAGCTTGAAGCTCTGTGTTTCACTCGGAACTCAAGAAATGGAAGAAAAAAACAACCGACGACATATTTCGTTTTTTTTTTTTGTTTGACAATTTCAACGAACAGCTATAAATACGAATATAATGAACCATTTTGGAGTCGTTACGTTCACTGAACTGTACAGTTTAATTGAGAACCTTTTATAGTCCTTTTGAACATCTTCAGGGCTAACTACAATGTGAAGTAATGTAACAAACTGATTCATCTATTAAATCCAAAATAGCTGTATGCGATGAAAAGTAGCATATTATCATTGTTATAGTTATTATTATTAACATTATTATATAGACTTACATTATCATCATAGGTACAGGCCTTCGATACAGAACATTTTGATACATTCGCACTACCAGAACTGAGACTATCAACTGCTGAAATATGAACAGTATCACACTGTGAATTGTTTGCATACTCCGACTGTCCACAGCAACAAACACATCCTACAGGATAACAATGAAATCCACGAATTCCAAGTTGAACAAGACGAAAGTATACATCACGTAATGTTATTTGGAAGGCAATGTCCTAAAAGCATTCCATCCAAAAACAAAAGCCAAATAAAATAAGAATTTTTTAAATCAAAACCATTATTTTTTGTAGTTTTCAATGCTAAACAGAACAGACTAACCAATATGCATTCACATATATTACGGTTCTGTGACTTGTGTGGCAAATAGATAATCAGGGACAAAAGATACCCATAAAGACATAGCTCAACCGATAGCTTGTACCTTGACGTAGTGGCCAAGCTTGTAGTAGACGGTGATACCGAAAATTCGACATGCCGACTTACCTTGCGGTGATAAGATCTTTATACGGAAGCAACTCCAAAGACCACTTCAAACAGGTCGTGTGTAACCGGCCGCAAGAAGTTGTCCTCTGCGCTCAATGGTCACACAATATTAATGCTCCATCTGTTTCAGATACCCCAAGAAGAAATCAACTTCCTTGGTCTGGCCAGCCGGGAAGTAATAAACCACCCGCATACTTCCATAAGCTCACAAAGCTTTCCTAACCAGCATTCACCTCCATCATTTTCACCATCTTGTTTTCCTCTTACTGTTAATAATATCCCACAGGCAAGTCCTTCATTTTCTCTTAACTCCACAATCACAAATAGCAATAAGAGAAGGAAACACACTACTGACAGTCTCTTAGAATAACACTATCAACTTTAAGTTGGAGCATTTAACGTTAGAAGCATTTGCCGAATCGGAAAACAGGTTACACTAACCAGAACTCTGACATCTCAAGCAATCGATGTATGTTGTCTCAGAGATACGCATACAAGACTTAAGTGTTATTATTCAACTTATCCCTAATTGCCAAGATGGTGTATCTGTAAAATTCAGCATGCGCACGTCAGAATATTTTTCCATTAGTTCACGTGAACTTTTTTCTATGGGAATAGCACTAGGGCAGAAAAATCCCTACTTGATTGGATCCCAGTGGATAGTAGATGTTTTTTATAGTCTCCACCCATTCTCCAACACCCCCGTTAAACGACTGTAGTTCGGACAAAGTAAAAGATGAATTCAATCAAAAGTTGTCTAGTTTACTGCTGTAGACATACATAGTCATTTTAGCTGGTGACTTCAATGCTTAAGTAAGGAAGCTGTGCCAGTCAGAAAATATATTGGTAGAGAGTATGAAGTCATGTGCGCACGAACTGATAACGGTGATCGTCTTTTACAACTCTATTCAGATATTTATCTGTCCCTAGTCAGAACTAACTACAAACATACGGACAGAAATTGCCTAATCTTGTGACCATTATCAATTCGACGATAGATCATGTAACTTTAAGTTACAGATGCAGATGCTTGGTAGAAAACTGAAGCTCCTTCCGGAACACATACGCATACTTCCATCATGCTCCAGTCCATGTGCGTATAAACAAACCTAAGACTGAACAGACATTGAAAACAGGTAGCTAGAAACCTCTGCACCTCCAACTTCTTGACAAGAACACAAAGTCTTTATTTAGAAAACAAAGAATTAAGCACGTATCTAAGACTTGAAGCAATACTCATCCTGAAGAAGCCTGGCATAATATCCAGTCGACTATAGAAAGTGGTAGAGGGTGTTAGTAACCTAAAACCAAAAGTTATTAAACGCTAGTGAATCTCTGCTGCTTCATCCGACCTAATTGACGCAAGAAGATAGATTCTGCAGGGTTCCGTACATGACAAGAAACGAAAGCCGACTAAAAACCTTCGTGATGAACGTGAATAGCAGTATGGAACAAAAAGGATACGAAGGGCATCAGAGGTAAGTCACTAGGGAAACGGAAAGCAAAATAACTCCCAGGAAGAATGGTGTTCTAATTATCTCGAAGAATACACGACTGGAACTTTGCACGGGACATAGTGAGAAGCTATTTAAAGAGCCTACAGCCACACTAAATTTCCCCACCATCTAACACCTACCTGTTAGGGACATAGACACCGATCCTTCAACTGTAGCTGAGGTTGCAAGAACTGTCTGTAATCTGAAACAAGGTAAAGCGGCGGTAACTGATGATATGATTATACATGTGCTTAAGGATGGCAGTGGTGAACTATAGACTGAGAGAAATAAGATATTGGATAGTGTGTAGGAATCTGAGACACTGCCCCTGGACTAGTCCCACTTTATAGAATGGAAGACAAGTTTCCCCGAGTGATGATCATATAAGGACTAGCTTGACTAGCATAGCATCTAGGTTCAATAACCATGAGCAGACTAAGTCGTGCTCGGGGGAAACAAACGCGTCAAAACTAGGCACGCTGGGAAGACAGGATGCAATGATCATATCTCCACCCTTCGATAGATACCCTAAAAACTATTCGAAAAATGTATAATATTTATAGATGAACAAAGTTGCAAACTGTAACTCCACAAAATCAACTTTTTGTCAAATAAAAACTCACAGTTAACTCAAACTTTATTGCTGGCATAGAATGATGAAATTGACGTTTGCTACGGCGTGATCGAATACCTGAATTTGAAGATGGACAGGAGAAACCTCTAGGACTTGGCAGCTAAAGGTAAAATTAATAATTTAAGATACAAATTCATTAATAAGAGGACGTTAACTTGATTATTTAAAAGGTAATAAATATGATACTAAACTAAAACCTAATTACTTGCTATATACGTATATATGTCAAAAAAAGTAGCGGGCTTTCCGGTAACCTGAAGGACCAAGGTTTGATTCTCGATGCGGTCATGTGTGCGTACTGGTGAAGAATTTCAAACAAAAACGAAACAGCTGTTTATTACTCCCCCGTTTTTAATGTTTCGTCAAATCGCATCACTTTGTAATCTAACTTGAAATGAAACGAATCTCTGCGAACTAAAAGTTAACAAAGTAGCTATTCGACTGAAACATCATTGTCAAAAAGGCGTTTTCCAGTTAATAGCATGTAAGTTTTGATTGCACTTATCTTAACAAATTTAAACAAGACTTTAGAATTACTGCTAAATTAATCACTGTTTGCAAGGATAAACTGAAAACAGAAAAACGAAATGTAAACTATCCCTTAATAGTCATTATAATAAAGGTTTTTGTATTTCCCAATGAATGAAAAACAAAACGATATTGTTTTTACTGACGTTTCGCTATTTAATGCTAATAGCTTTATCAAAGTATTATTAAACCGGCTTTAACAGTTTGAAAAAATTTGGGCATTGGGTATATGATATGCATTATAATAAAGGTTTAATAATATCCCTTAATAGGTCGAAGAAAATGAAAATTAATAATTTATATTTTTACTTTCTGATCACACTACATTTCCATTTATTTACCTTTTTAGTTACAATTTCATAAAGTGGAAGTGTGGCATGCGCTACTGACAAGTTATTAGTAGTATATGAATAAACGTTGATAGGGCTAAGAGTATCAAATAGTGGAGAAATAGATTTGACGTCAAAGAGAGCGAATGAACCAGTACTGCGGCAGAACATGGGAGACACAAAAAGAAGACAAAGAAACACAATAGGAAGGGTAGAAGAAGCACAACACGGAAGATCTATGCAAATGACGATTTCACTATAAAGCACACATAATTTCTTTATATTTGTACACCAAACTGCAAATAAAAATTCCTTTATGAATTCTTTTGTCTTCTTTTGCTACAGAAGAAGTGCGTAGAGGATTTCTGTAACATGAGATTTAATTAACTAGTGAGGTGCCCATTTATGTATTATATTATGAAACTATTAGCTATCTCTCTTGTTAGATTTTTGTATGAACTACTCTGATATTATAACAAGACATATAAGCGAACAGTATTGTTTCCGATTAGATCCTTTTCAGACTTTACTCTAGTTTACTTAGATTTATATACAACAATTTTAACCAATGATGGTGATTTTGTGGATCAAATAATAATAATAATGAACGTCGCTAGTAACGATGAATATGATGATAACAAGATATTGATAATAAGGTTTATGCAGGTGGTGATAAGAATAACAAAGGTAGTAATATGTGTGTATGTAGACAATTCAATAAATAAATTAGGTCAAATCTTAAAAGTTATCTAATACTGAAGGCGAAGTGGACATATAATCGGAGTTTAAATAAATATCATAAAAGTACGAAGGAAATGGAAAATAAGAAAGGGTGGGAGGGTTTTGAATGGAATTCACCTAGGCTAAGCAAGGGAGAGACAAAGGTAGAACAAAATTCTTTTGTATGCAAAGACTAGGATTGTTCTCTCGAATTACCACAGCTTCAGCCATGTGTAAAAGGCGGGTTCGAATTCCGTTCGAAAGACCCGATGGAATACGAGAGATAACTTTGAAGGCACTATTTCTGTCCACTTGGTGACCGCTATCAATCAAATGAGCAAAAATAGAACTTCTTATAGATTTTATTTGACCTTTACCGTACCATGAAGGAAGATGCTCATTAATGCGTTTGTTAAGCTTGAACTCCGCAGTTTCAGTAGTGGTTGTTTGTTTTCAAAGGATGGAGTTGCTGATATTGCGCTTACCCTTCTCCCTTTACCGGGTTTACTATCAGCTAAGTAAGGTTTAGGAATTTATCAGCCAGGAGTCAAACTCAGGAGCACGCGCGTAATTGGTGATCACTCTACCATACCACTCTACATAGTTGAATGTACCTCCCTGAATATGAGCAATCACTCCCTTTTTTCGACACCTGTCTTCCATGAAAGTGTGTGGAAGTATCCAAACAGGTAAAATTTTAAAAACCACTTACTATGTCAGATAAAATATTAACTTACAGAAATATTTAAATCAATTTTATCGAAATAAATTCCAATAATGAAGACAGGAACCATTGAGGCAGAACGGCGAAGACGTCTAATTTTTCGACGTCTTGTTTGCGAATACTCCTCTCTACTAGGCCTGTGAATCTTCGGTTGCGATGTGCTATCACCAAGCTCCTCAGAAGAACGTGTATCACTTAAATGAGGTGTATAATGAACATTTGAAGGACTCGATGCCTCATCATAACTGGGATCATGAACTGATAACTGTGTGGCAACTTCTTGTTCATATGTATCCTCTAAGATACACTGTATGAGTTGTTTTAAACACTCAGTATCTAGCTGAGGTTCTTTTGTGTAGTTATCTATAGACTCACTATCTGATTCATCCGAATCTTCATTCATTGGGAGAATGGTGGGAACAAACGACCAAACCCATGATGCCCAAGATTGTGTCTCTGTATCTGATTTGTCAGTTTCATTGTTTAATTCACCAATTTGTGTAGAGGAATTATCTGAACTACCTGTTTCAATCTTTGTATTGTCACTTGAACTAGAGTCTAAGATAGACCAGTCAAATGTCTCCGTGCTTACACTCAGAAGAACTTGTATAAGTCTGCATAGTAAAGGAATCTGAGCTGGACTAATATGCGCAACAAACGTTTGACAATGTATTTTCAAATTAGTCAGCACTGTTTGGTTAATTAATGATGATTTAGCATTTGGTATACAAACAACTTGGAGGAAACATGACATACTGAATCGGTAGGCTATAGGATCTTCATAAACTTCAACGTAACCATTGGGTCCAGCACGATCAAGGCATACAGTGAGGTCAAAAAACTGCACATGACGATGAATTGCATAGGTAGAACGAGGATTTATATCAGCAAAAATAGGATTGCCGTTAGAATCAGTTACAAAGGAATCAGCCTTGTTCACACTAACCGACAATACTATGTCTTCTTCGATGAATTTTAAGTTTAAATTGTGAACAACAAAATGTATACTAGAAAGAAGTCTATGGATATAAACCTCTAAATAACCAGGTGGAACATTTGTTGGCATAGATTGACTTTTATATGTACAAAGATCGGCAAAATTACTTGGAAGTTGATTATTTTGATTGTTTCTTTTGACGTCACGTTTTTTCAAACCAAAAATACATTCTACAGTATGCAATGAGATAACAATACATTCAGAATTCAGCTTAGTCCATGGTACATGAATTCGTAATTCATGTACACGACCAGAACGAAAATTGACTGGAAAAGGAATAATATCCTCCAGAAAATCTAATCGTAAATCTAACTGGGTTAGTATAAGATCACCATCCCATATAGACATTGCGAATTGATCTTCACGCAGTTTTACATATTTATTGAGATAACTCATAAGCAATTTTCCGACATAAGTTTCCAACTTGAAAAATCGTTGCATTTTGAACTGATTTTTTTAATTTGTCAATAATTACATCAGTAAGAACTCACACTTAGTCGACCTAAAAACGAAAAGTTATGCGTAAAATAAGTGGAAGAACAAGTAACTATTAAAATACATGCCGCATTATTTAAATCAACAGGCATTTTGGGAAGGAAAATATAACAACATAGATTTATCGTACACGAACAGTTTAACTAATAGACAAATCAACGGAATACATTGAATTATTCAAGAGATACTGGCAGAAATGCAAGAGTATAGTTCCATAAAATGTAGTTCTGTATTAGATAAGTTTATCTGATATAACACTCACTAATGCAGTAGCACATGCATGTAAATGCAAGGCAACGGCCGAGCTTTTTTCTAGATTATCAAACTTAGCAGGGTCAGTCATTCTAACTCCAGCTGAATTTCTATATTCCGGTAATCTCACTGACACCGAAAACTAGTTTAACCCATGTAACTGACGTCACAGTCACTACATAGCATTTGGTTAAGTATAATATTGTCTTTCCAAATTGGATCTACTGGGCCTTTAAGCCTACAAAGTTTGGTTCTAGGTGAATTGGTTGGTTTTAAAGGCTACCCTGATTCCAGACTTCACAACAGTCTTACGTACGGCCCCTGAGGTTCCATATTTATATGGCGGTACTATCGAGGATTTGAACTCCATGTTATTTATATTATTTTCATTTTCATTACTATAGTTATTTTCTCTACGCGTCTTTAGATATTTCTGAATAAATTTTGGTAGGTAGTTATTCACCAGCAATACTTCCCTTATTTAGACCTTATGACTGTGGCAAAATCTAAGTGTGAACGGCTAAAAAATTCAAAACTACTGAATTCCACTTTCTACAAATTATGGTCGGTCTTAGGTATGTGATTATCTCTTTTCACACAACGCAAGTACCTGGTCAGAATAATCCACTTCACTACATACCAATACAATACTGGTATTAGATGGTTGGAGACGACCGGCAGGAAGCCTTGGACCTAGGTTTTGTGCTAGTTGGCACTCGTCAGCAAAGCCTATCTGCAACCTTGAAGGAACTCATGTCCCTTCTGAGATTCGAACCCGCCTCACCCAGTGTCATAGTCAGAGACGTTACCACTGAGCTATTCGGGCTGGCGACTGACATAATGTAGGACTGCAGTGGCTATTTTGATTGGACACTAGTAACTAATGCGACGTGTCTAGTTTTTTCTTTGGTGCAGACTGAATTCTATCAGTCAAGTTTGCAATGTGGCCACCATTCTAGGTGGCTCACCGTCACGGTGCACAATGATTTGATGATATTATCATGGTATTTACGCTCTGCTCTGAGGCATACTATTAGTAATCTTACTGAAGTGTTAAACATACTGAATATGAATACCAAATTTATACGTGCGCTTTCTGTCATTCAGTACATGTTGAGTAAGTGATGTAAACCACAATATAACGCTTAGTCTGCTTAAAAATTGTTATTAAGTTTCACTTTAAAAATCGAATTGAGTTATGATTTAGCTCTTAGACACCAATAAATGTGTACAATTATGCACCAGTTAGGACATCGATTAGGTTCCATTAACTACATACAGAATATACATGTCAGAAAACTGCATTCAGCATGAACCGATTTGTGCTGTCTCCTAACGAACTAAGGATAATATGAACACATAAGAAAAATACTAACGTATACCTTTCGATGATAAATTTTTTATTTAATTGATATGTTAATACTAGGTTTCTATGCATTACGAAAATATTCTCTGGGTTCTGTTTAAGTATTTTACAGAATCCCAAGTTTTTACGTTTTGGGGGTAAAGAATGACTTCAGACAAAACCAACCCATTATCATCAACTCAGATATGGGAGCGAAAATTGCACTTGAGGAGGAAAACAACTGGTTTGCCGCTTTATAGTCTTCATTTATGCAGTTGTCTATCTCCATTGTATCATCATTTTCCCAAATATATTCAGTCCCTAAAACGTATGTAGCAGTAATTTTTCGTTTACCACAAATGCAACTGGATTTATAGTAGATTATTTTACAACTGTTCTCCAAGGAGGAATTTACTGATAACATGTGCAAAACAAAAATACTTGAAATGAAAAATACAATTATTAGCCCGAAGTTAACTTTAGGCTGCTATTTCAGGAACTAAAAGTATCCCGAAAACCATTAATATGTTTATATTCCCTAAAAAGATTCCTATCTATTTAAAAATAGTGCATCGACGAAGGTTTTGATCATGTGTGGTGAATTACAATGATGATACAGATACGCAAAAAAAAATTTTGAAGATACTTCATAATTAAGTTGAAATGAAACTAATGATTATGGCTTACGCACGAACAGCTTGTTAGTCATTTTATGATAGGCGTGACCTTGAGATAAACGGCCACGTAGCGACACGGGCGATAGTCGCGGTTAAGTGTAACAGTAATATTCCTTTATGAAAACAAACACAAACACCGTCGATGATATCTGATGATTAATCGAATCCCGGCAACAGCAAAGAATAGACACTAACCTCAGACGATCTTGAAATAGCCAATCTGATTATTCTAGGTGAAAAGTGGTACTCAATTTATAAAGAAGTGTATCTATCATATATATATATATATATATAATAAAAATGAATCATATAAGGTATATATCTCTAATATGCTGCGGAAACTGGTTCCATATTCTCATAGAAATGGTTACAGATATATCAAACCGATGTATTCTATCTCTCCAGCTGTAGCAGATGCGGTTGCATATACTTTTTATTTTTTTTTTGATTTACAGCTTAATGCCAGACCGTATTTTCAGTACAAGTATGGAATTTTTAGCATGGATATCGGTAGCCCAAATTTTGCAGGCCGACCATAGATATCAGGTGTGCGTCGGCAAGGGATCGAACCCCGAACCATGTACATGGTCGGCGAGAGTCCTAACCACTGTGCCACCGACGCACAAAGCGGAGTGCGTCGGCCGGGAAAAATATATACGTCATATATTACTAAGTAAGAGCTTTGATTTCGGGAAGAAAGTGTCTAAAAAATCACCAGTTACGTGCGACTTAACAACTTATACGGACCTCCTCATGTAAAGTGGTTCCATCTGAATGCATAACCATCAATAGTCCGGCAATACTTTTGCACAGTCATTATCCCTCCCCATATGCTTGTTTATACCTCCCAACACATTTTCCACAGAGAAGTCAAAAACCAAATCTAGGAGACATTTTCAACGAGGATTAGGACTAGCGCCCACTTGTAATGCTGAGTCGCCTGATTGGTCAAATCAAGGTCATTTGACTTTGGTGTCTGTTGTTTACTCCTACCAAAGTCCCCTAAAACAGGTACACGCACAGCCGACAGGTAGTGTGCTTGGTCACGAGGACTGTAGGAAAAGTTTGAGGCTTAAACATTATCTATAAAAGATTCTTTTCCTCAGAGTTTATACAAGCTAATACACAACATTTAATTACCCGTGTTCAATACGTAATTACTTAGGCATGCGTCGGTGGCACAGTGGTTAGGACTCTCGCCGACCATGCACATGGTCCGGGGTTCGATTCCCTGCCGGCGCACACCCAATATCTATGGTATGCCTGAATTTGGGCAACCGATATCCATGCTGAAAATCCATACTTGTACTGAAAATACGGTGTGGAATCAAGCTGTAAATCAAAAAAAAACTGCAGAACACCAGCGATCCCGAAGTGCATTTGATTGTTGTTCTGTTTTAGCTTACTAAATGTCCTGCGGTCACACGAATAACATCACGGAGTATTGTGCACTATTCAAGCGTCCTCTCCTTTCGCCACAACTATGCTTGTCAGTACCATTCAATTTCTAGAAGTTTTCAGGTGGATTTTATTGGTGATAAATATTAGTAGTGTAATTTCATCATCCATAGTGTAATCTTCAAAAACCAGCCGGGATCATACACCCAAAGTATTCTTCATCATTCTATTAATGCACAGAATAAAGTGCTACCGTACTCGAGAACATGCTGCAGTGAGACCTTTATAATCTGTCCAAAAGAATAATGATAAATGGGTTTTCAGACACCAACTTTTCTGTCAAAACTGACATTCACATTACCAACCAACAGCTTGTAATATTGTGGAAAATTAATGAGACTTTTCACCCTTTATTTCCGAAGGCTTGACAGAGGGCGAGAGGAGCAGGTAAAACCTAGGCAGCCACATGGAAAACCATTCATCGTGTTACTTGGTTACTCGTCCTATCATTCTGAATTCCCCACTAATTAACTACACATGAAGCCGTATGGGTTCATATCTCATAATTATAGCATACCTCTTCACTATCAAGTAATATGCTGGGTGTCCATATGATATTTTCGTTAACCTCGATCAATTTTCTACAAGGCAAACAAGATTTGGTCGTCGTTCGTCGCTCCGGGAATATGGATTTTGTAATTTCTGTGAAAATAATTACTTTTTAACTCTCATAGTCAATATTATACCTTCATGATATACTGGGATATTCTCAGTAGTGAAAGTTTTATGAGAAGATGACTTACTCACGTGGAGGACCTAACCTGAAGAATATTTTAGTTTTATGTTAGGGTTATAATACATCTGAAAACCCTTATGAATCTTTACATGAAGGACATGAGTTAGGAGTTACCTTCCCCTTGACTTCGGCCCACTTCCTAGCAGCATACATGACCATACCACCTCCTATTTCATTATCCCAAAGTGAGGCAAACTCATCTGAAGTAAATGGGACTCGTCCCTCGACTAATTGAAGTCGAATATGTACTAAAATACACTTAGCTGACTATAGTATTAAATCTTTATTTCATATAATAACCTCAGAGGCTCACTCACCCAGGCCAGTTCATTATCAAGCAACCGCCGTTGTGTATTACAGATGTTTACAAGTAAGTCGCTTTACAACTCCCTAAAGTAACCAGCGGCGAAGGCTCTTGTCCCTCCTAATCTACAAACGCCTAGTCATTAGCTTCATCATCAGCGTGCCTTTGGCCATA